CTGCCCCACCTCCCAATGGGAAGAGTAGAGCACAGAGAGATTCCATTTCGCACCAACAGGAATTATGCCACCACCCTAAGAAGGCAGAGCAGCCCGTTTGGAGTTCAAATGACACTTTTCCTTGGGTCATAACGAGGGAGGGACAGATGAGAAGGGCTGGAGAAGTTCCTTTGAGGGTAGGCAAATGTGGGCTGGTGTTCTCAGAAGATTTTCCAGGGGAGATGGGGTGGGAGTGGTCCTCAAAGGACAGGTAGTCAACATTATTATGGCCAAACCCACACAATCTCTTTTAATACCTGCCCTGTGAAGTAGACATTAGTATGCTCAATTTGCACAGGAAAAAACTGAAGCCCAGAGAGAGGAAGAAACCTGGCTAAAATCACCAGCCTTTAAGTGACATAGCGTAGGAGTTCAAACCACGGCTCCAGGGCGCGAGGTGGCTCACGCCTGTAATCCTAGCACTCTTGAGGCCGAGGGGCAGGGGATTGCTCAAGGTCAGGAGTTCAAAAACCAGCCTCTGGAGCAAGATTCGCAGACCCATCTCTACTATAAAAAAAAAAAAACAGTAGAAGAAATAATTGACAATCAAAAATACTATATAGAAAAATAGCTGGGCATCCGGTGGCGCATGCCTGTAGTCCCAGGTACTCGCGAGGCTGAAGCAGCCAGGATTTGCTGCTTGAGCCCAGGAGTTTGAGGTTTGACTTGAGCTAGGCTGACACCATGGCACTCACTCAACTGGCAATCATGCCGAGTCTTTCTCAAAAAAAAAAAAAAAAAAAAAAAAACAGCTCCATTGGACACTTAAGCCTAATCTATTAACTCAACTCTATAGCCTCCTTGAGGGAAACAATCAACCATGGGATTCATTCATTCTCTCAGTTGATATACCACGTAGCACCACCACGCACCAAGCACTGCAGCAGAAGCAGCTCTGGACCAGGAGTTAGAGGACCTTGACTAGAGGCCTGGCCCTGAAATTTAAACACTTCTCTTCTCTAGGTCTCAGTTTCCCTCTCTGCAAAATGGGGATAATGTTTCTGACAACCTCCATCTCCGGACTACTATGGGGGAGTCCAAGCAGAAAGTGCATGTGTTGGTGCTTGAGATTGCCTTTAGTTCTGATGGGAGGTACACCCAGTGTGAGAGACAAGGAGTGGCTGGCTAGCTTGACTAAAGGGACATGTAAACTGAGACTAGGGAAGAATGTTTCTGACAGAGAATATTGTGTAAAGCCTCTGAGGCAGGGAGGAGCTTGCCACGTTGAAGGGACAGAAAGGACAGAGGAGCTGGAGTGGAATGGGGGGAACCGTGAAATCATACGGAGAGCTTATAGACACAACAGTTAGAACACAATTAGGGGCTAAATGGTAAAAGTTAAAGAAAGGGAGGGAGGTCGATGGGCTGGAACACATGGAGGGCTTTCTAGAGGAGAGTAAGGAAGATTTGCAGAACTGGAGAGGATGAGAGCGGGCTTGCTGTCCATCCATTCAGCAAACATTTATTCTAACGCACCATGATAAGCGCTTTGCCAGGAGTGTGGCCAAAGGACCATGGAGGTCTTGGGAACCAAAGGAAGGTGCCCCTTTCCATGCAGAGGATCTAGAATGGCTTCCCAGAGGAGGTGATGTTTGAGCTGAGCCTTGACAAGTAGGTGTCATTAGAGAGATAAGAGATGGGGAGAAACGGACTAAGCATTCCAGGCAGAGGGAACAGCATGTGCAGAGGCTGGGCGACCTGAAGGTGGACAGTGTGTGATGTTTTCAGGGACAGGGTGGCATCTGGTGTGGCCGGATTTGGGGGAGATGAGTCTGGGTGCCAGTGGCACAGAGCTGAGTTCAGTCTCTCAATCCCTGGCTTCCTGCACCTCGCCCCACACTGCCTTCTTTCACACCATATTAATAGCATCTCGGAAGGTTCTGGAAGGCTTTTTAGAGACTTTCTAAGCTAAGATCTGAAGGATAAGTTGAAGGTGGCCAGGAGAGGTGGGGTGAAAGGGTAAGGAAGGGTGTTCCAGGCAGAGGGAACAGCATATGCAAAGGTTTTAGAAGGGAGATGGCAAGGCCTGAGGTGGCAGCTCACTTGGGCTGGCTGGAGCATGGCTTTGCAGGTGGTTAGAGAGGAGGCTGGTGAGGCAGAGATGGGCCAGATCATGTTACCCTCCCCCCTTAAATCCCTTCCAAAGGCCCCCACCTCAGCAGCCAAAGCCTTCAGGATGTATCTCCCGTCTTCCGCTCCACCCTAAACGTCTGTGCCTTTGCTCATGCTGTTATAAGTGCCTAGAATGATGCTGATGATAACACAACTTTTTGGAGGCCCTTAGAATGTGTTAGGTGTGTGACGAGCCTTATTTCACTGAACCTCTCAGAACGCCATGGTTGGTATCTTTTTTTCTTTTTTTAGATTTTTTTCCTTTTTAGTAGACTTAATATTTTTAGAACATGTTTAGATTTATAAAAAAATTGAGAGGATATTACAGGGAATTCCCATATACCTTGTCTAATTTTCCCTATGAGTAACATCTTACGTTACTATTCATTACAGTCTGTTACAATCATTGATGGATACTTTTGTTGATACATTATTATTAACTGAAGTTCGTAGTTTATTTAGATTCTCTTAGTTTGTACTTGATGGCTTTTTTCTGTCCCTCTCATCTAGATTACCATGTTACAATTAGTTGTTACATCTGTTTAGGCTCCTCTAGGCTGTGACGGTTTTTCAGACTTCACGTTTTTATGACCCTGACAGTTTTGAGGTGCACTAGTCAGGTATTTTGTTGGCTGCTCCATTATTGGATTTTGTCTGTGTTTCTCATGACGAGACTGGGCTTGCGGGTTGCTAGGAGGAAGCCCACAGAGGTAAAGTGCCATTTTCATCACATCATGTCACGCGTCCATGCTATCAACATGGTATTGTGACTGTTGATGTTGGCCTTGATGGCTTGTCTGAGGTCGCAGTTGTCAGGTTTCTCCGATGCAAAGTTACTCTTTTGTCCCCTCCCTTCCCAGACTGTACTCTTTGGGAGAAGTCAGTATGTACAGCTCACCCCTACAGGAGTGATTTGTCTCTTCACCCCCACTTATTAATCGACGATCTCAAGGAACCTCTCAACAATGGGTTGGTACTTTTTTATCATCCTCATTTCTGGAAACTGGAAGGCCTTCCTTTCTCCTGCCTGCCCTCCCACCCCCTCACCCCAGCGCCAATTTCCGAAGACTTGGCCCACCTCTCTGGGAAAAAGAGTGGCTTCTTCTGTGTTCTCCCACCGTGCTTTGTAATTCCAGCTAATCCGTGTCACACGTTTATTGTGGCCCTGCTCTGGGCCAGGCACTGTGCTTGGGGCTTGGGGCTTGAGAAGCAGCGGCCCCTGGGGGCCCTGTCCTCAAGTTGCTCCCAGTGTTTGCCACCCTGTGCTAGACTAGCACCTTCCTGAGGGCTGGGACTTTGTCCAGCGTGTTCCCAGCTCACAGGGTCTGATGCTTAGGAGGTCCTCAGTACCTATTGACTGAGTTGGGAAATGCTCTCTGGAGAACAACACTGGCAGATGATTGTGTGTGTGCGTCCTTCCCCGGGGACCGCGCGCTCCCTGAGGGCAGGGACAGCCCCGATTCATCCTGGCGCAGAGGCTGGGCCACAGGGTGGCTTGGGTGCCGCGAAATCCAAGCTGGTGGAAGGACCCAGGAACTGGCCGCCTCCTCAGGTGGAAGTGAAGTTTGGAAGCTGACACAGCCCGGGAGGCCGAATCAGGAGGACTTGGTGACTGATTGGCTGGGGAGGGTGAGGCGGGAGGAGGAGTCACACAGATGGCTCTGAGGTCTGGAGCTGGGGGACAGCCGGTGCCACCTCTGACAGACTCTGCGAGAAGAGCCGCTGCCAGCTTCAGGCCGCCCCATCCGTTGGGGTTCAGGCCTAGGGCCAGGGAGGGGTGGCCTGGCCTGTGCAAACTTCTGCCCCCCACCTCCATGTCCTCGTCTTTAAAAAAAAAATCTCAGCTTGGATTTTGAGCGAGATCGTTTGTTATCAGGTGTGAGGGTCCATTCTGGGGGTCCCCTCCAGCCTGCCGTCTTCGAGGGAGACCCCCAGGGGCAGCCTGGCACCGCGAGCGCTCGGCCTGCTCAGGGCCGTAGCCGCCAGGCCCGGGTCCCCGGCCCGCCATCTCCCGGGAGGGGGGTGGCGAGGCGGCGGCCGGGCCTGGGCGGGACAATGGCCGCGGCCGCCGGGGCCCGGGAGCCCCCGCGCTGGGGAAGGGGCTGTCCTAGGGCCGGGCGCCGGTGCCCTCCCCGCGCGGCTCGGGCGGGCGGAGGGGGGCGAGGAGTTCCTTTGTGGCTCTGCCTCCGGCGCGGCGCGGGCGGGGGGCGCAGTGCAACTTTGCGAGGCGGCGGCGGCGGCGAGCGCGAGACGAGGCCCGGGGCCGAGCGGGCCCAGCGCGCGGCCCCCCGCCGCCCGCGGCCCCTCCCCTCGCGCGCCGTCGCCAGCGCCCGCGCTGCCCACTCGCGGGAGCCCCGGGCCGACGGCTGCGCAGCCGGAGAGGCGGGCCGACGCGGCCCCGGAGCCGGGCGCCTGGCGCGGGGGCTCGCCGAGCGCACGGGGGGCCGCGCGGCGCTGCAGACCCAGCCTCCCGCCGCCGCCGCCTCGGCGCTTGCAGAACCCAGAAGTGAACAGCAGGCGACCCGGAAGGTTTGCGCGCGGCTCCGCACCGAGCCGGAGCCGGAGCCCGAGCCCGGAGCCTGAGCCGGAGCCCCAGCCCGGCCCTGCTCGGGCCGCCGGGCGCGGGGCTGCGGCCGCGTCCGGAGGCGCCGCCAGCACAGCCAGGTCCGTGCGGGCCCGGCGCGCGGGGAGCGCCCAGGCGCGCCGGGCGCCTGCCCGCGGAAAGTTGCGCCGAGTTGCGGGCGGGGCCGGGCCGGGGCGCGGGCGCTGTCAGCGCGGCGGGGCGCTCCGAGGGCCCGGCGCCTGCGCCTGGGGCCCGGCCCGGAGCGGCGGCGGCGGCGGCGGGGCGCGCGGGGTAGGAAGTGTCTCCCGCGGCGTGTCTGGGGCTGGTCTCCGAGTGCGTGTGTGTGTGTGCGCGCGCGTGTGTGTGTGTTTTCTTAAGCCGGGCTATTCAAACCTGCTGCAATTCTCCGGTAAACAATGATTCATGGGGCTTAATGCAAATAAACGGATTGCAAACGGCGCGGTTCGCGCACTTTGCAGCCGGCCCGGTGGAGCGGCCAGTGCCGGATTTCTCCCTTTTTTTGCAGATCTGCAGAATATGGCGTCCCTGTCCTGTTTTAAAAATAAGCCAGGCTGCCATTTTTGTTTTTCTTTTGTCTGAAAATTTTAATAAAACTGTCTGAGAATGTGGGAGAGGCGGCTGGAAGCAGAGGGGGCACCCGAAGGGTTGGCTTTTTTTCCTTTTCTTTGGCGAGAGCCGCGAGCCTTTCGGGGAGGTGAGACACAATGCAATTGCACTTTAAAGAAAAAAAAAGGGGAAGCTGCCGGGCGATTTGGGGGGCAGGGCTGAGAATTTAAAGTTAACTCCGAAAGTTTTCTTTTCTTTTCTTTTCTTTTTTTTTTTTGAAAGGCAGTGAAATGCCGCGAAAGGATCCCGGGGCCCATTTCTCCCCCCAGCCAGCTGCCTTTGCAGGGTTTTTGGGAAAAGTTAACTGCCGGTTTCCTCGGAGCTGCGCTGGGGATGTGGAGGCTTGGGGATGGGAGTTTGGGGGGAAGCGGGAAACGTCTGTTGGAAGGAGCTCTACAAAAATGCCATTGTACAGAACTGTGTCCTCAGATCTGGGGGAGAGGGCTGGCAATTGGGGTTCGGAGCTAGCCTAGGGTTTCCAGCTAAGACCCCTGGCTTGAGGAAATAATCCTGTTCTCCCACCACCCTGCCCTGGAGCAGTGTGGAACCTTCGGGAGCGGTGTGTGTGTGGGGGGGTGGGCCTGTTTCCTTCATGGGTGGCCAGGCCCCCCTGGTAGGTGGCGATCCTGCCAGGCCCTGGGGTGACTCCCAGGCCCTTCACTCAAGTGTGCTTGGCTGTCTGCAGTTGCAGAGCCCCTTCCCCAACCTGGTGGTCTGCTTGGCCCCCAGAGGTGACATCTGGTGGTGAATAGCCCCACAGCTGCCCGTTGTGGGCTTTTGGCTGGGTGCAGGCCTGCAGCCCCAGCGGGTCCTGTCTGAGGGGAGTGGCAGGAGAGGTTGTCTGCTCTGCTGGTCACCAGAGCTGTGAGCTCTCCCCTGTGGTGGGCTCTTATCCCTTTCTGCCACCCCTGCCCTACACCCGGCAGTTTGAACTTCAGATAAGTTCCTAAAGTATCTCGCTGGACAGGTCAGGGCCTGCTGGCTCTGCACGCTGCTGAGGGGGTCTGAGGCAGGTCTGCAAGGTCTGGGGTGGCTGGTGGACAGTGTCAGCTCCCTGAAGACAGAGTCAGGTGTTGATGGCTGGGGTTTAGAGGTTCAGGGCTGTGGAACTTGGCACGCCTGAGCCAGAGGGTAACCAAGCCAGGCGCTGTTTAGATGGAGAAACTGAGGTCCAGAAAGTGGAAGTGACTTGCCCAAAGTCACACTGCCAGGTAGAAGAAGAGCTGAGCCAGGAGCCCAGATGTTCAGACTCCCATGGCGGGGGTGTCTCCCCTGTTCTGCACTGGGGGCCAAGACCCCTGGAAGATTCGTTTTGGACAGAACTGGACTGGAGTAGGGCAGCATGACCCCTTTACTCCCCCTCTAATTCCACCATCATAATCCTTCCTGAGAGGATTGGACTTTACAGTTTGTACAGCATGGTGTACAGTTGTTACCATGACTTAGGAAACCACGGCTGGGAGAGGTTGAACAGTGGCAGAGGTGGCTTAAACTCAGGCCTGCAGACTCCTTGTCTGCGACTTTTCCCAGGTGGACTTCAGTGCTCGTGGGCACATTTGAGAGAATTTGGTCTCTGAAATTCTTCTGCTGACCCTAGTGACTGTGTAAAAATACAGAGGCCCATCCCCCAAAGAATGTCAGAGCTAGAAAGGCCCTTTGAGGTCATCTGGGCTCAGAGAAGGGAAACCACCAGCTGGAAGTCACCTAATGATTTGGGGCCCAGCTAGGACCAGAGTCCTGGTCTACTGTCTCCATTCCTCTGTGAGATGCTCAGAGGGAGAGTGAACCACTCCAGCCACTGCCAGGCTCCACTGGGCCCAGGAGAGCATCGGTGGCTGGGGGTGATGCTCTACGGAGATGGGACTGTGGAATGATGACCAACACTTGGCGGAGACATGGGGACGTCTCCCCATCTTTAGTCTTGGGAAGCAGGCTGGTCCCAGGTGGCAAGGAGGAAGCTGAGATGTGGGTGAGGTGTGGACTGGGTCTGAAGCCAGGCTGGCCCCAGCCCTTCCCTGAGCAGACACCACCGTGCCCTGCCCCTCTGGCCATTCCTTCCTCCCTCCATCTGTTCATTCTTCCACCGCTGATTAGTTTATTCACTCATTTGTTGCTAGATCATTCCTTTATTCTTTCATTGTCCATTCATTAGTTTATTGGTTAGTCATCTCAGAAGTCCATCTGTCTGTCTGTCCATCCATCCTCACCTCGGCTCACCCAGCCCAGGTTGGACAGACATGTGAGATACAAGTATAGTCCTCTAGGGCTCTAAAGCCAATGAGAAAGAAGAGGTGAGATTGCAGGTGCCTAAAGCGCTACCCAGGGCAGTATTCACTGGGTGCCTACGTGAGTCCCCAGGGAAGTTCTCAGAGAATAGGAGGCTTGAAAACAGCAAGGGGGTTCCACAGACCATCGCAGTGTTGGACCTGGGGCCGGAGATCAAGTCCATGGTGTCACATGGCTGTGTGACTCTGAATACATTCTTTCCCTCTCTGAGCCTCAGTTTCCTCATCTCTGAAATGGGGTACTCTCCGTGAATCTCTCATGGGTTGTTGGGAGAGTTAGCAAGACAGTGTCTGCCATGTCTCCCAGCCCTGGCACAGGCACGGGGTTGGAGCTCTGTATACGCCCACCAAATGATGAGGATTGTTGGTTACCGTTCTAGGCCCTGCCTTGATTTTGAGAAACATGTTGGTTTCAGAATAAGCCAAATGATCTGGGGACCCTGAAAGCCCGCTCTGCCTTGTCATTCTCCTGCTGAAACTTCTAATGTTTCCTAGGCATTTAGAAGAAAAAACATCCCAGGGCCTTTTTGGGCCTACAAAGCTCTTCATGGTCTGGGCCCTGCCCACCTGTCAGCTCTCCCTCCTCACCCTGGAATCTCACCACCTCCAGCTTCTTTCCGCACCTAGAGTTTACAAAGCCTGTTGGCAGGGCCTTTGCACATTCCCCCGCCTGGAGTGCTTTTCCCTAAGTGTTTGCATGGCTGGCACCTTCTTATTTCACAGGTTTCCGCTTGAATGTCACCTCCTCAGAGAGGCTTCCCAGACCACTTGCTCTAAAATAGCTTCCCACTGCCACTCCCTGTCACATCAGCCTCTTTGAATTTTCTCTTGTGGCTCTTATCAGCATCTGAGACCTTTTCATCTGTTTATTTGCACTTCTTGCCTGTCTGCACCACTAGAACATGCCGAAACCCCCTGCGCGCGCATGAGCAGGTAGTTCTGCCATGGTGTGGCTGGGGCCTTAGCAGAGGTGAGGCAAGGCGAGCCAGTCCAGGTGTGGCGGCAGCCCTGGCCGACGGGCAGTGCCTGGGAGATGCAGTTCTCCTTCCCCTGGGAGGCTCAGGGCTGTTGTCAGGAAATAACAAGATGATTAAATCACGGAATCTAAGGATCTCAGTCTCTTCCAACCTCAGAACCTTAGATTCTCAAAAGCATCTGCGAAGCTTTCCAGCTCAGAACCTGTGGACACTTGAAGTTTTAACATGATATGATCTTAGATTTAAACTCTTGCAAGGTGAACTTTCAACTGCCTTATTTATTTAGTGGCTCAGAGCAATCACTTTGTGCCAGGCCAAAGGCTTTATAAATATTCACATAGTTAATTCCCATTTTACAGATGAGGAAACCGAGCCATAGAGAGATTAGGTGACTTGCTCAAGGTTGTGGTGCTCATTGGGGCTGTTGCTGGGATTTGAACCCAGCACTCTAGGACTCCTCCTTAGAATCCTTCAGCTGTTGAGGGGAAGCCCAGCCTCACCTCACCTGACCCCTGCACAGACCAAGATTCCCTTTCCCACACCCTCTACAAAAGGGCCTCTGGTCTCTGCTAGAAACCCACTCCAGTGAGCACCCTCCTCACCAGGGCCCCCCCCATCCCCCATTGTGACACAATTCTCATGGCTGGGGAGATTTCCTCCTTTACAAAGTGTAAAGTGCTGTACCTCCCCATATGCCTGCGACGTGATGTTAGTGTTAGGGTTTCCCAGTGCCTTGACCCTGTGGTTTCAGGGCTTCAGTAGCCTCTCTCTTCCCACTGGTTTGTGAACTTCTTGAGGGCAGGCAGCCTCCGTGCACAGCATTGAATGTGTGAATGAATGAATGGGTGTGCAGACACCAGGCAGGCAGCCTCCGTGCACAGCACTGAACATGTGAATGAATGAATGGGTATACAAACACCGGGCAGGCAGCCTCCGTGTGTTAAACGTGTGCGTGAATGAGTGAATGGGTGTACAGACACCAGGCGGGCAGCCTCAGTGCACGGTGTCGACTGTGTGGATGAGTGAATGGGTGTACCAACACCGCATGGACCCTCAGTGTTTCCCGAGCCCCTCCCATCTCTGTAGCCCAGTGCTTGACACTTACCCAGGGTATGTGGACAGGCTTGGTGTACTCAGGGAAAGGACACAACAGTATCCCTCCAATAAAGTCTGCACCAGATGACACTTAAGTACACAAATCTTGGAGAATTATGTGAGAGCCAAAGTCATGCCCTGTTAGGAGAGAAGTAGACTTCCACACCATCGAGTCAAACCTCATTTTACCCGTTGGGGAAACTGAAGTGGAAAGGCAGAGGGGCCGGGCCTCGTCCAAGGCCACGTGCATCTGTGGAGGCTTTACCTGGCGGGCTTTCTGCTCCCCAGGTGCCAGCAGGCTGCCACAGTGTCAGCCTTGGGTTCAAAGGCAGGGGAAAGCCCCTGCTGGGGCAGCCGCTCCCTCTCTGGCACCAGTTTCCTCCACACTCCACAATGGGGACAACATTCCTAGATGTCCAGGGCTGTGCGTGGCACTCGGGTGGGGCTGAGGAAGCTGTCCGCGGTGAAAGTGGGTTGCGGCCATGGTGGTGGGGATGGCTTTCCGGAACTCGTGGCTGGAGCTGGGCTGGATTTGGGGAGGTGGCTGAGTAGGATCTTCCGTGGATAAGGTCATGGGGAAGGCTGAGGGATTTGGCTCTGGGGCCTGCATGGTCCTGCCGTGTCCCTGCTTCATGTGTGTGGGCATAAGTGTGTCCTTGGTGGGCTCCCACCATCTGGGTCCTTTTCTGAGCTTTGGGCAAAGGCTTCAGGGTCCTCGAGGGGACAGTCTAGCCAGCCATCCAGGTTCTGGGATTCTGTGGGGGCAACACCTGGCTGGGGGGCACACCCCTCCACACTCAAATACCCACATTCATACATATTCACATTATCGGCTATTCCACTGCATGCTGACCCTCCCACCCACCCCACCTTTGCCAATTTGGGGTTCTCCCTTGCTGTTTCAGAAATACCCCTGCAGATGCCCTGAATTGGGCCGCCAGGAGTTGAGGAGGCACGTCTGCTGGAGTGTGCAGCCACACACGGTGCGCACACGCCATACAGGAGCATGTGCATACACTCCTGCCACCTGCAGGATCACACACCTGGCCATGCACCCATGTGTGCCCTCCCAGGAAGCAACATGCAGCCGCATGCCCATTCATCTGCACGCCTCTCACACTCTTGATACACGCCCTGCTCGTCTGCACACACAGCTCTGTGCACCCAGGCCTACTCAGGCACGCCTGTGTTTTTCCACATAGTGTGTCTTGCACACACGTGCTCATTTACACCTGTGAGAACGTGACCTTACATTCTGGGCCTCGAACATGCACCCTCATGCACACTCCTGCACTCGGGCATGTGCCTTACACCCTGCCTGGCTCTGCTCGAAGTGGTGGGGCAGGCAGCTCATTTCCACCCCCACCTTCCTCCAGGGGTATTCTTGAGCACTTACTGTATACCAGCCCTGTGCTAAGCTAAGCCCTGTGCTAAGGTGCGCAGAAAACAGATGTACGCAGACAGGGAGGCAGACGTCATACAAAAGGCCACACAAATAATTGTGTGATTACAGATTCTGGTCAGTGCTGGGAAGGAACTACTTTTCCATAAGGGCTTCCCTGTAGCCTCCTGCTTCTACATTCACCACGAGCAGGGTGACAGTGGTGGTGTTGGGGTGCTGGGAGGAATGGATACCTGGACTGTGACATTTTCTAGGTGAAGGGCATTCCAGGCAGAGGGAACAGCCTGCCCTGGGCCAAGACCTTGAGGTGGGACATCCAGGACTGCAGAGAAGGTGGTAGCCCTGCCACCTGGGGGAGGGCGTAGGGAGGAAGGGGCAGGTGGGGCCCAGTCTGGTAGGGCCTGGTATGTTGACCCCACCCACATGCCCACCCCAGACGCTGCCCACTCCTTTCTCTGACCAGCCCAACCTTCCTTCGCTGCCTTGCACTGCGCAGGGCCCACCCTGTCTGCCGCCTCCACCCCAGGCCCCACAGGCTGCGTGCTTGGCCGGGGTGGGGGGTGGGGTGGGGGGTGAGGCAGCAGGAGAGCAGGCGTATGGCCTCCTGCCAGGAGTTCCCTGCCCCAGGACCCCTGAGACCTGTCTAGAAAGCTCCTGGGGGCCAGGCCAGAGCTGGGGTTAGCAGTTGGCTTTCTTGTTTTGAGTTAATCCCAGATCTGGACCTCTGCCAGTCAGCTGGGCGGCCCCTGTGGGTCCTGAAAACTGCCCAGAGCTACTCCCCCCTACCTCCCAGGTAGCATCACTGGTTGGTCAGTTTTCCATGCCAGTCTGTGGAATGCTGGGAAAGGCTCTCAGGCCTTAGAGACCCTAACAACGATGACAACTGCTAATGCTTACAGAGTCCTTACTGTGTGCCAGGCACTATTCTAAAGACTTTGTACATATTAACTCATTTAATCCTCACAACAACCCCGTGGAAATACCATTATCATTCCCAGTTTACAGATGAGAAAACTGAGGCTTGGGGATTTAGGTAACAATACTAAGGGCCCAAGCTGGGGCTCTTTGGGCCCAGAAGCAGTACTTTTAACCCCTGAGCTGCTACCTTGTCCCTCTGAGGGTCCAGGAACCCAGGCTGTGATTTACTTGAACTCCTCCATCTTATAGAGGAGGGCGTGGAGGCCCAGAGCAGAAATGGACTTGCCAGAAAGTTCTGTCCCCACTGCCCTCCTATGCTGCATGACCTGGGACAGGCTAATACCCCTCTGAGCCTCATTCCTGACCCCAAACAAGGAAGAGATCATCACAGAAGCTTCGGGGGACAGGAGGGGACTGTAACTGATGAGGGACTAGAGGTGAAGGCTTCTTAGTTACCCTGGATGTGTGCTTCCTGGTAAGTCATTGGGCTGTCCGTGTATGTTCTAAGCATCTTTCTGCATATGTGTTTCAAAGAGATGTTCACAGCATCTATCTTAGGGGTCAGTGGAAGCCTGGGTCAGAGAAATGCTTGTGAAGCCTTACATGCCTTGTGCGGAGGAAGTATTATTATTATTGTTATTGTTATCATTTCAGGAGTTCCTATGGGGATGGGAGCTGGGCGTACCCTGGGGAGATGGAAGTAGGGAGGGGCATGTGCTCAAAGCCTGCAGAACATTCTCCCAGCCTGGATGAGGGCCCTGGGGAGACCGGTGGCTGGGGTGGGGCTGGGGGGAGGTCCAGAGGGCAAAGGGATGGGGAGTAGAGGGCAGGGAGGGGGAGAGGCAGCCTGCCAGCTCTCACTGACCCCGGTGCAGAAAGTACCCCTCCCACTCTGATCAGCCCTGCCCAGCCCCGCAGGGCTGCGGAAACCCAGCCTAATTGGATCCAGGACCTTTGGAGCTCTGTCCTCACAGGAAGTTCCCAGGGGCAAGTTTCTAAGGCTGGCCGTGCTTGGCCAGGGTCTTGGGGGTGGGGCGGCACAGCACTGGGGCTCAGGGCTCCAGGCTGCAGAGTGGGGGGCCAAGGGAGGCAAACTGTGCATTTGGGGGACTCAGGAGCTGTAAAGATGGGAAACCTCAGCTTCTCCTAGACCATCTACCTGTCCCCTCCAGGTCATCATTCTGGCCCCATAATGACCTGTCCATTGAAAATTGTGACCGTGACCCTCCCTTGCTCAGGGACTTCCCATGGCCCCCAATGGCCTTTCACCCAGGCACCTTAGCTTGGAACTCTAGCCCCTTGTGAGTGGCCCTGGCCACCTTTCCCTCTTTCCCCTGTGAATTCCCGTACCATACCCACCCCTGACCAACATGTGGCCGTGCACTTGCCTGCCCCTGGGCCTTTGCACATGCAGTGCTTGCTACTTGCCATGCCCTCCCCTTGCATCTCCCTCTAGAAATTTCCCCTTCTATCTATCAGTAAGTCCCACCTCCGTGGAGTCTTTGTTCCTCCTTCAGTGGGATGAGCCCCCTCTTCTAGGAACACTGCCACTGCCCTCCCTCCCTGCCCTGGCCAGAACACAGCAGGAGCTGTGCCCCTCTCAGGGGCAGGGACCGTGTGTGAGCCTTTGCTGTCCTAGGAAGCTAGCGTTTTTGCACGCCTTTGCGCACACTGCCTCTCTGCTGGGAACTCTCTCCTGGCAGACTTCTGGGTCTTCAAGGCCTGCATATAAAGACCCCTCCTCTCATCGATTTTCTCAATGAACATTTATTGAGCACCCAGTGTGTACTAGGCACATGAGCACCTACTGTGCAGCCAGCACTTGGCTCTGGGGCTGCAGCGGTGCCTCTGCCCCTGCCCCTGTGGGTCACGGCAGATGGGGAGGTAGGCCTGCAGGAGTATTTAGAGGCATGATATAAAGGTGGGGCGGGAGAATGCAGGGGGCCATGGGAGTGTATAACAGGGTAGCCCATTTCCTATGGGGGAAAGGTCAGAAAGTGACCTTTCAGCTGGGACCTTAGGGAAGAGCCAGGTGAGCTGGGGGGGGGCTGAGTGGGGGAATGGGGCTGTCACCAAGAACCAGGCCCAGCCCTGCTCTTGGGGAGCTCACTTGGGGGACTGGATAGATCAGTATTAATAACCAGACATGTCACTCACAACAGTGACAGCTAAGTTTTGAGGGCAGGGTTCCAGCTAGGTGGGCCCCAGATGAAGGGACACAGCCTGTGCAGAAGCTTGGTGTATCAGTGCACCTTGTCTGGGGGCCCTGGAGAGACAGGTGCAGAGGGAAGGGCAGAGAGTGAGTGTGGCTGGCAAGATGTTCTTGGCAAAAGCCTGGGTGTCAGGCTGTGGACTTTGAACTGTCCCCCAAAGTGATGGGACTCTAAGAAGGATTTTAAGCAGGAGCCTGAGTGCCCTGGGCAGGCTCTCCTTTGGCCTGGTCCTCCCTGCCAGAGCCCCTGGATGTGATGGGGAGTCCCCTCCTGACCCTGCTATCCTGGCTGGGGTCAGGGTGAGCCTTTGAATAGCCCCCTGCCTCTCCCTGAGCTCCTGTCTCTTGTGTTACAGGTGCACTCTAGCCTGGGTGACAAAGTAAGACCCTGTCCCCAAAACAAAAATACCTCACCTCCGTCTCTGTCCTCACCCCAAGCCTGAAACACCACCAAACTTGCAGGGCCTGAGGCCAGAATCCTATGTGAGGCGGGTGGGCTGGGCTCTGGGGTTTCTTTCTTTGCCAAAGCTTGCTGAACCTTTGGTTTTATTAAAAATATTCCTTAAAAAAATCAAATAACAGTACTTCTCCAGGCCTACCTCCCCATCAGCTGTGACATGCAGAAAAACCAGAAAATAGGGAGATGAAATAAATAAAAACCCACTTCTGGCTGGGCATGGCAGCTCACACCTGTAATCCCAGCATTCTGGGAGGCCGAGGCAGGAGGATTGCTTGAACCCAGGAATTTGAGGTTGCAGTTAGCTATGATGACACCACCATACTCTAGCCTGGGTGACAAAGTGAGACCCTGTCCCCAAAATAAAAAAAAACACCATCTCCATCTCTGTCCCCACCCCAAGCCTGAAACACCACCCCTGTTAGCATTTTCATCCCCTCTTTTCTCTCAATACCTGGTTTCTATGTAGATGCCATTACTTTGTCTATACAGATCATTTTTTAAATCTCTTCCTTTTCCCCCTGACTGTTGTATTACAAGTATTTTTTAAATGGCTGCAGAGTGGTTTGAATCCTTCTTAAGGGATCCGGTGTCAGGGTGGGAGGTACGGACTCCAGAGCCCAGTTGTCTGGATTCAAATCCTCCACTTACTGCTTGAATTCAGGCAAGTTTCCGGAGATATCTGTGCCTCAGTTCTTAATAGGGTGACATGAGTGTTAAATGAGTTGTTACAATGCCAGCAACATTGGCTATTATTAATGACCGTGGACTACGTTTCTGAGTAACTTCACTACAGAACCATCTCCCTGTTATTTAAAATTTTGGCAGATCCAGGTTTTTGCTATTGTAAAAAACCACTGAAGCAAACAGCCTTGTGCATATAACTTTTTCTATTTTGGGGTTATTTTCTAGGGATGGATGAACAAGAATGGGCTCGCTAGGCCAGGAAGTTTGAACATTTTTAGAGCTCTTGACACATTACTGCCAGATTGTTTTCAGAAATGATTGTTCCAATTTATACTCCCACCAGGAATACACGGGAGTGCTAATTTCACCATATCCTCACTAGTATTGAGTATTATCATTTTCGTATTTCTTTTTGCTATTTTGACAGGTGAAGCTCATTGCATTTTCACTGCTAGGGAAAATAAACTGCTGTGTTTATTAGCTGTTAACATCCCTTTTGGGTCCACCAGTCTTTACAGAGCACACACAACCCCTTTTCAGATCAATTAGGAAGGTAGGACTTAGATACAGGAAATAGGGAACAGTGTGACACAGGGGACAACACACTGCCAGAGTGGGTGGAGAAGACTCAGAGCAGGGGGAGGGGGTTTTCTTCTGTCCAGGCCACAGCACTTTCAGTTCTCTCCACCTAAGCATTCATTCATTCATTCAAAATTTACTAGGCACTGTGCGGGGCATAAAAGGTAAATGACTCAGCCTTGATCCCCCCCTGACCGAGTGCATATCTAGCAGCAGAGATGGATGAGAAAACAGACATAAAACGGGGTAAGAGGTGTAGTGATGATTGAAATCACAGGGTGCCAGGGAGCAAAGAGGAAGGTACCCAGCACAGCCCAGGAGTGGAGGTGGAGCAGTCCCCGAGGGCTTCCAGGAAGAAAAGGCCTGTAAGCTGGGGCCTGAGGGATGAGTTGGAATTAACCAGTGGCATGGGGAGGGCAGAAGGCACCAGGGAGAGGATGCAGCCTGTGCAAGGTGAGGAGACAAGGAGGGGAGCCTGTTGGTCTGGCTGGGCAGGGCAAGGTGGAGCAGCTGGCGAGGCCAGGGGACCCAGCAGGAGCTGGGCATGCAAGGCCAAAGCCACGCAGACATTGTTTGGAGGGAAGTAGGGAGCCATGGGAGGTTCTGAGTAGGGCAGGGTCGTGATCAGACTTACATTTTAGAGCTATCACAGTGGCTGCGGTAGGAGAGAGGAGCAGGGGAAGAAGGTGGAAGTGGGGAAACCTGTGAGGAGGCTCTTGCAACAGTTGAAGCCAGGGCTGAAGGGGGCCTAGCCCAGGGCAGGGGAGGTGGTGGAGACCCTCTTCTCTCCCCACCCTGTGGGGTCCTAACCAGCTGCAAAGTGTGGATGGAATGTCACCTCTTCCAGGTAGCCCTTGCGGACACCCCATTCCCTCCCTCGTCTGTGTGCCTCGAGCCTGGGGCTGTGCAGGGCCTGGCGTGCCAAGGTCAATCAAGTGCCCACCGGCAACTCACCCTGACCTCTCCCCTGCCCCTCTCTGCCTCCAGACCCCCCCATCTGTTTCCCGCCCCCATCCTTGGGCTGCCACTCACTTTCTTTCTTTCCTTTTTTAAGAATGATTTTATTGTTTTCATTATAAAAGCGACTGCACAGCATTGCTGAGAATTTGGAAACCAGAGAAACAAAGACAAGAAAACAAGATCAGCCCCAGCTGCCTCCCCCCACCCCATGCTCCCAGCCTCCCTCTGGGCGTGGTTCCCTGCAGCTTGCTTTTTCTGACGCAGGTTTTTATTTTTGCCTCCTTGTAATCATAGTGTCCGGACGGTTTTGGGTCCTGCTCTCTCCGGCTTGCTCTGTGAGGAGCTAGTTCCCATGTGGCCTTGGGGTCTGGGCAAATCTTGTTTTTGAACGTGTGTGGGATGGGCTGGGGAAGGGGGGCTGGGACAGAAGTTGCTTCACTACACCCCCTGTCCTCCAGTGGGCAAGGCTCATTCCATTCCGTCCTGGGCTGCCCGTCCGCTTTGTGTCCGTCTGTCTAGGTCTGAACGTCCCCAGGTGGCAGGGCTTGGGACCTGGTGTCCCCCTCCCTCAGCGCCCCTGCCCCCGTGCCCTTTGTGGAGATGGCTGGGCTGGCCTCAGAGACCACCCTCCTGGGAAAGGGTGAGGGACAGACCTGGTTTCAAATCCAGACTCAGCTCTGTGACCTCAGGCAAGTTGCTTAGCCTCTCTGGACCTTAGTTTCCTTATCTGTGCAATGGGTCTACTTTAACAGTAAAATAATGGCTATAAAATATCCTGACACACTTCCTGGCCCATAGTAAGTAACCCCCTTGGGCTACATGCCCGCAGAGGTGAATGAGCGCCAACCCTGCCTGTGAAGAGCATGAAGTCTGGTGGGGAAGACACCCAGGGAAACAGATAACCACGCCAGAGTGCAATCAGCCCTGTAGCGCAGGCCCAGACCTGTGTGCCATACTAACTCCATCACTTACTAGCTGTGTGACTTGGGGCAAGTTGGTCAACTTCTCTGAGCTGCAATTATTTTTTTTGTTAAATGCACATCTCACAGAGCGATTGGGGAGATTCAGTGACATGAATCATGACATATTCAACACGTGGGTGTTGAAATCAATGGTAGCTGCCATTTTATTATCATTATTATTGTTATTGTTATTCCCATATACAAGGTGCTGTTGGGAACACAGAGGAAGTGACTGACTGGGGGTTCAGGGAAAGCTCCGTAGAAGAGGGAACACTTGAGCTGGGTCTTGAAGGATGAGTAGAAGTTCACCAAGTGGGAAAGGACACTCTAGGTAAGGAGCCTGTGCTTCCAGGTTGCGATCTGTCAATGAGGGGTTTGTGCTTCGGGGGCCTGGGACATTGTGTCATCCCAACTTCCCTGAGCGCCCCACTGCTGCCGTCTGGGCCTGCCCTGCGGGAGGCGTGTCCCTCCCCAGCTGTAGCAGCCTCCTGTGGTCTGGTGGCCGTGGGTCCCTGCTCACGGCAGTTGCTGGATCCCTGTCAGTCCGTGTTTGGGGCTGCAGGTCTGTGTCTGTCACGTGTGTCTGGGTTTGGTGCTGTCTGTCTGCATGTTCCCGTGGCCGTGTTTGTCAGCGTTGGTATCCCGAGGGCCTCCCCGGCTCCACGCGGGGGCAGCCTGCATGCGTCCTCGGCCCCCAGCTCTAAGCAGTGAGCCTCTGTGGCCACTGTCCTCTCCCCTCCACTCGCCCGCAGCCTCTGCTGCCTCCTCTCCTGGCCGTCCAGTCCCTTCCACACGCGGCACCCGGAAGGGCCGCTCTCAGCCACAGGTTCCATCCCTCTGCCCGCTGCTTTAAGTCCAGCCGCCAGGCCTGGGGGTCAGGGAGCAACCTTCTCTGTCTGGCCCTGGCCGGTGGCTCCAGCCTCATTCCCGTGTCCCAGCCAACACTGCCCGCCCAGTGCTCCCTGCACACGCCTCTGCTTCTCACCTGCGGGCCTTTGCTCGAGCCGCTGCTTCTGCCGGGAGTGCTCCCCACTCCTTTGCCTGGCTAACTCCCACTCATCCTTGAAGACCCAGGAAGGCATCACCTCCCCTGGGAAGTCCTCCCGGGTCCTCTCCAGGCTGGGTCAGTCCCTGGCTCTGGGCTGCTAGTCTCTAACATGGGGGCAGGAGCAAGCGACTAGCCCAGGATCACACAGCTGGTGAGTCGGAGCCGAGATCTGAACCTGGCAGGCTGTTCCGTGGTCCAGGCAAGGCGACGGTGGCTGGGAGCCTTGGAGAGGAGGGCGGGTTTGAGAGAGATGTCAGAGTGGAGTCCTGAAGTGTTGTGGGTCACAGTGTGTCTTGGCAGAGTATCTGGGCAGGGGGGGTGTCCCTCTCAGAGTCGGGGAGGACCAAGTCCAGCTTAGGCCTGCTGAGTCTGCAGCCTGTGAGACAGCCAAGGGAGGTGCCGGGGAGGCCACTGGAGCTGGGCCTGGAGCTCCAGGGAGAGCTGGGGGGGCGACTTGGGGCTTGGCTGGCCTTTAGAGTCCTAGAGGGGATGGGCCACCAGGGACTGAGGCCGGTGGGAGAAGGGGGCTCCCGCCCCACCCTGAGGGGCCCAGCAGATGGGGGTAGGAGCTCGGCAGCTGTGAAGGCAGCTGAGAAGGTGAGGAACCCATGGGTCATGGCACACAGGTGTTCTCCAAGGGCCCGGGTGGCAAGGAGGCCACGGAGGATAGGCCTGGAGGGCGGCCCATTGGCTCTGCCCACATGGCGGTCATTGGTGGTGTGTGGTGGGTCTCACAGGTTTTTGCAGAAGCTTGTGGGTCACTTGTCTGCTTCCTTCACTTAGCTCGGGGCCCCCAGAGGGCAGGGATCTTCCCAGTTGCCTCAGGTTCCCCAGCACTGGCCCCCAGTTTGGCCCAGAGGATGTGTCCGGTGCAAATGGTGGACGGATGGACAGATGGGCCAGCGGCCATCAGCAGGCTGTTCTCAGTAGCCGCTCTAGGAGGTGTGTCATTCGTCCAGCCATTCAACTCTTTTCACCTTTTAGAATAAGAAAAATGGGCCCCACTGCAGGGATCAGGGCTGTGTCTCGGGGCTCACGGTACGGAGTCTTGGCTTCTGCCTGGTGCTTGTGGCCCCGCCCAGACTGCCTGTCCTGCCCGAACACTGGCGTGTCACTCGCTGCCCACCCTGGCATGCACAATCATGCCCAGCCCCAACCGTCACCAGCACACAGGCTTCTCCCTGACCTCAGTGGTCCCCTGCTTCATAGCTTCCCTGGCCTGGCATACTCCCCGTTGCCTTCTCGACACCGACATTGCCACCCAACCTCTTAGCATGGCATTCAGTGCCCTGCTGGCTGGCCCGTGTCTCTGGCCACCTCATCACTCTGCAGCTGTCATTGGTGCCTGCGGTGGCTACCTACTGTCCCTAGCCTGCCTGTGCTGCACACCTCATGCCTCTGCTCAAGCTGCTTCCTGTGCTGAAAAAGCCCTTCTGCCTTGCCCAGCCGTCTCAGACACACATCCGACCGCGTGTCGCTCCTGCTTCAAACCCCTCCCCCAGACCAGGCTCTGTGCGGCTTAGCCTGGCCCTGGCCACCTCCCCCGCCCCTGCCCTGCCCTCTCGTGCAGGGCCCAGGCCTGCACAGGGGCTCACATGAGATACTGGTGGCGAGCACCTAGCGATGTGCCTGACACCCAGTAGGAGCTCAGCAGATGCTTGGCCCTGCCCCGCCTTTCCTGCAGCTGGCACACAGTAGGTGGACGCCAGGGCTAGGGTCACTGACTGAATTCCTTATGACCGGCCAGACAAGGATGCAGAGAAATCAGGCAGAGGCTGTGCAGATCAGATTGAGTGACCAGGGCAGACCCCTGCTCCTCTGTGGGCCTGGTTCCCCAACTAAGGTGAGGGGTGGTCCCTAAGGACCTAAGAGGCCTAAGTGGCAGAGAGGATGCCTTGACCCAGATATGGGACTCTGGGCAAGGCCCCTCTTCCCCATAGCTCCCTGACCAGCGTATTGGCTCTGAACTTAATACTGAACTGAAGAGGAGGAGGAAGAAATGGCTCCTCCAGCACTGTCTGAGGAGCAGCCGGATACAGCAGGCAGAGTCCCGGGCCAAGGCAGCAACAAGGCAGGGCAGCTTGTTTTACCCCATTTTACAGATGAGGAAAACTGAGGCTTAGAGAGTCGACACCCAGCATTGCAGCACAGTGCTGCTTCCTGTTTCCCATCCATGTGGCCTGGAGCAAGGTGCCTCCCTCCTGGTGCCTAGTTTCTTCCTCTGAGAAATGGGGGTGAAAATTCTTCCCTGTTTGCCATCCTCCTAATGAGAATGCCAGTGGGCGCAGAAAAGCTTTGCAAATTGTGAACAGCATTAGATAATTGTGTGGGATTGTGTTTATGTAATTACTGAAGAAGGGATTCATTTACTCATTCTGTCATGCAACTCTCATTATTGATAACCTGTGGGCCTGCCTGGGTGCTGGGGATACCCAGATGAATGAAACAGGCCCCCCTGGAGGAGCTCCCCAGCTGCCTGTCCTCACCCTGGCTTTACAGCTCAGTCCCCTCCTCGTTTCCCTCTGTGGCCAACAGCAGGGTTGGGACAGGTCCTGAGACTGCCGAGTGAGTGGGTGCTCACTGTGGGGGTGCAGGCATGCATGCAGTCAGGATGCTTTGTCATAGCCCCAAATGGCCAAGAGATTGATGAGCCAGACTTTGGAGTCAGGCAGATTAGCATGGGAATCTCAGCTCTCTGCTTACTTCTGTGTGACCTCAAGCAAGTCACTCCACCTCTCTGAACTTCAGTTTCCTCACTTGTAAATTGGGGATGATGAGAGTTCCCTACCTGCCTTTCGGTGTCAGTGTGCCTGGCACCAGGTAGGCACTTGGTAACTTGCATCCTCCTCCCTGTTATTGTTTTGAAGTTTTTCTGGGAAAGGAGAAGTCCCGGGGATCTGGAGCAGGCAGGAGAACTCCAGGCAGGAAGTACTCTTGTGTCGGGCTGCAAGGGCTGGGCAGGGTTGGGATGGGCAGAGGGAAGGGTATCTTGGTGCCTGTGGGTGGTGGGAGCAGGAGGGCTGACAGACAGCAGGAGCTGCCCCAGCCGCTCCAGAGGAGGTTCTCTGACCCCCAGCCTGGCCAGGCTCAGATCCAAACCCCAGCCCTCAGACCAGGAATGAGGGGCGAGGACTTTTGCATATAGATATTGAGCCATTTGAATGTGGGTGTTTGCTCTATCAAGGTCTACGGTTTGCAAAGCAAATTCTCCAGGGGAACCAGCTTGAGCAAATCTCATTTCTAGTCTTGACTCTGGCACCTTGGCCCTGTGGTCGTAGATAGTCTCTTTTCCCCTCCAGCCTCAGTTTCTTCACCTATAAAATAGGATAACAGTACCTCTTGTGCCTACTTTCCAAGTAAAGATCACAAAAGATAATTCATAAAAAAGTTATTTCTTAAAATGTTGAGATTAGATTGTGTCCTTATTCAAGTTTTTCTTCTGAAACCCTATGGCTACATTTCTAGTAGGGGCTTCTCAAACTATTAGGACCAGGAAAAGAGGTTGAAGACACTTATTTTGTCCTTTCCAGTCAAAATAAACAATATCATTTAAGCAACAGTAGCAGTTAGGTAAGTAATGTTTGTCAGCGAGTTAAGAGAAACTTGATAGGGAGCAAGACTTAATGGAACACCTCTGTGCAGCATGGTCCCTGTAAGTCACTTCTTGACTTACTCTAGGGTCGCAGGAAGACTCAAACCCTCTGGAAGACTGAGATATCCCTGAAGGCCCATCCTTCATACTGCCCTGGCTGAAAAGGCCTTCTAACTGCATAGGCCTGCCATGGAACTTGCCAGAGGTGAGGGCCACCAGACAGATTGTCACACACTTTGTCATACACTTTTACTAAGGACCCCTAACCTGCCCTAGTTTCAGGCCTCTCCCTAATTAGGCACAGCACTCGGATGCACATCCTTGTACGACCAAATGTTGCACATGGTCTTGTATGGCCAAATGTTGCATGTTTCTTGAAGGTAAATTTCCAGAAGTACAATTTTTTGAGTCAAAGGGCAATAATCATTTGGGTCTCTGTAAATCATCCTGCCAAACTGCCCTTCAGATAGGCTATATCTGGTGACCCTGAGTTGCCCTCTGTATTTTGATGAGGATGTCTGTACTTCAGGGGACAGAAGGGCAGGGGGCAGGGATGGGCAGTTGCTTCTACTCTGTGGCTATTTGCAGAGTTGCTCCAGGACTCCCCGGTTTGTCTCTGGGGTGGGTGGGGGCTTCTGTGTGGAATACCTGGGTCCGTGAGGTTGGCTGTGCAGGCTAGGGCCCTCCTGGGGATGGAGATTGGTCTGCTGGCATCAGGGGGTGGGGTGGGGGTGGGCTGGGAGCACTCAAGCTGGATGTGACCTTTGTCCGCTGGGGCCCACTGAGGGGCACACTGAATTCCAGACTCTTCAGCCTGGAGATGTGGCTTCCCAGGCCTGGTGGGAGGCTGCTCTGCTGTGAGGCTGGGGGTCCCACGGGGATGGGGGCCCCGACTAGAGTGGGTGCAGCTGACCTGAGCTGGCCCCAGACCGGAGGGGAGGGCTCCCTTCCCCGTGACAGTCGCTCTCTCTCCGCAGGATGGCCGAGCCTCGATTTAACAACCCCTACTTCTGGCCCCCTCCTCCCACCATGCCCAGCCAGGTAAGACTGACGTCGTAGGTAAGACCCTGCAGCTGCCCTCCCGCAGCGGAGCTGCTTCGCTGTGCCTGGGCTTTGGCTGTGGCCTGCGGGGCGAGGCCCGAGGGGGCTCGCGAGTGGGCTGGCGGCCGGGGAAGGCGGGGACACAGCCCAGGCCGCCTCAGTCCCTCTCCTCTCCGGCCCGCAGCTGGACAACCTGGTCCTGATTAACAAGATCAAGGAGCAGCTGATGGCCGAGAAGATCCGGCCGCCTCACCTGCCGCCCACGTCGGCCTCGTCGCAGCAGCCGCTGCTAGTGCCGCCGGCGCCCGCCGAGAGCAGCCAGGCCGTCATGTCGCTGCCCAAGCTGCAGCAGGTGCCCGGGCTGCACCCGCAGGCAGTGCCGCAGCCCGACGTGGCGCTGCACGCGCGGCCGGCCACCAGCACCGTCACAGGTGCGCGGCGGGGGCGGGGCCTGGGTGGGCGGGGCTGTGGGGCGGGGCGGGGCCAGGTGAGAGCTGGCTGCACCGCCCAGGGCAGCTGGTCTGACGCGCACTGGAAGGACCCTCCTCCCCGCAGTGGACTGGACGGGGGCGGGTCACCGTCCGCTGGGGGCTCACCCTGGAAAGCCAAGTTAGCATGGAGAACTTGGGGGATCCGGCGAACAACCCTGGCCAGATTTGGGGGTGAGAGAAGACTTCCTTGGAGGAGTCGAAACGACAGGAAAGGCTGGCGGCAAACTAGGGAAGTGGGGCAGGAAGAGGGGTGTGTAGGAAGCAAGAGGAGGACAGTCTGGGGTGGGGAGGGCCAGACGATGATGATGGTGATGGCAGCGAACCCGAGGTGAGCACCTGTATGTGTTTACCGATAGTCATCGCATCACCCGCAGCAGCCTGGTGAGATGGGTGCTGTTAGTATTAGGTTGAACAGTGGACCATTTTGACTTACACAAACAGCAGTTTCACCCTAATCTGTCCATTCAACAGGTGAGGAAACTGAGGCAGAGAAAGGTAAAGCCACGTGCAACCATGGATTATAGCCAGTGAGAGGCAGGGGCAGGCAGTGTGGTTCCAGAGCCCATTTCTTAGCCCTTTCTCTACACCCAGTTCTCCTGTATGGCCCGGTGGGCCATGCTTAGCAGCTTGAACTCTACCCCTGGGCAGTGGGGAGCCGTGGGAGGTTTCTAAGTAGGGGAGGGACATGCTCAGATTTGGCAGGAGAAAGCTGAGTCTGGCTGCAAGGTAGAGACTGGGATGTCAGGGGACAAACATGGAAGCAGGGAGAACGTCAGGAGAGCCTGGTGGCCTAGGCAAGACAGTGGCAGTGGGGTTGGAGAGAAGTGCACAGATCTGAGGCACACTGAGGGGAAGAGTGGACAGGGCTTGGTGCTGGAGAGGGGGGAGATGAGAGAGTCTCCCAGGGCACTGCCCTGCCATGGGATCACAGAGGAAGAGCAGGACTGGGGACAGATGTGAGCTGAGTCTTGGATAGGTCGGGGAGGCTGGGGTGCCAGAGGGACATCCTGGGGTAGTGTCAGGGGGCTGCAGCCAACTGGTGCCCTCCTTGGAGGCTGGTGGACAGGCTTCCTTCAGAGGCCACTGCCGCAGGACTTTTGTCCCCCTCCCGCCCAGCTCAGCCCCTGTCGCCAGCCAGGCGCCTCTCGCTCTCTCCCTCCTCGTCTCAGAGACACACTGTACACATCCCCAGTTATTATGATTTTATTAAATTTATTTTTTCATTATAAAAGTAATATTAAAAAAGTAATATAAGCATATTAAGGGAAATTTGGAGAAAAGAGAAACGAACAAAAAAAAATCACTCATAATCCCCAGCTCCCAGCCCAGCAGCTTAGAGAGCCTTTTGGTCCATTTCCTTCCTTTTCCATATTTTTTGTTTGTTTTTTTAATATGCATGTGTGTTTTGCTGAGCGTGTGCTAGGACTGAACCCATGACTTTACCTTGCTTTTCCTACTAACCATTCTATCATAAATATATTTATTCATTTTTTATTATAAAGCTAATACATAGTCATTATAGAAAATATAGAAATTGCTGACAAGTTGGAAGGAGGAAAAATTAGCCTTAGTCGTACTACTGTTAGAATTTTTATGTTTTCTCTATAATTTATTGTATTTTATCCTTTAATCACAGATGTAAAAAATGGATGAATTTGCCAGGTAAAAGATTCAAATAACATAGAAGCAGATAGAAAAAATATGAAAATCTCCTTTTACCAAAAATTTCTTCTCCCTCCCTAGAAAGAACCACGGTTAGCAGTTTGATGTGTCTCTTCTCAGATCTCTCCCTGTGCACTCACACACATGTATATTGTCCTTATACACATATGTACATGTATGTAGTTTGCATTGTTTAAAATAGATGGGCTCATAATGTCAGTGGTTTGCTTTTTTCACCTGACAGCACATTTTGGCATTCTCTCTTGTCACTGCATCACCTCAATCTTATTTTAGTGGCTGTGCAGTCCTCCATATTGAGGACAGACCTCATCTGTTTGCAAAGCCCCTACTGAGGACAAACAGGTTGTGTCCAGTTTTGTCTGATCACAGTTTTATATGGAAGGCCCATGTACACAGATATTTGTGCTCATGTGGGCACATTTCTTAATGGTAGACTTTTAGACGCAGAATTGCTCAGTCGAAAGTTTATGTACATTTAAAATTGTAATGGCTGTTGCCAAACTACCCTCCATTAAGGCTGCACAAATGCGTACTCCCACCACCAGTGTATGATACAAAACATACTGGGCTGACTCCATATTAGCTTTTTCAGTGCACAGATTTTTAGTTCCTTTTTTAAAAAAGAAAAGTTTGAACCACATGATAGATACCATTTTTATCTTTTTATCTACTTAACTTGATATATATATATATATCAAATATATATATATATTTTTTTTTTATGAGACAGAGTCTCACTTTGTTGCCAGGCTAGAGTGTCGTGGCATCAGCCTAGCTCACAGCAACCTCAAATTCCTGGACTCAAGCGATCCTTCTGCCTCAGCCTCCCGAGTACCTGGGACTACAGGAATGCACCACCATGCCTGGCTAATTTTTTCTATATATTTTTAGTTGGCCAATTAATTTATTTCTATTTTTAGTAGAGATGGGGTCTCGCTCTTGCTCAGGCTGGTCTTGAACTCCTGACCTTGAGCAATCCGTCTGCCTCGGTCTCCCAGAGTGCTAGGATTACAGGCATGAGCCACTGCGCCCTGCCCTACTTGATATTGCTAATATTTCTGGTTCCTTCATTTTTAAAAGAATATCATTTATTACAGGAGTTTTTAAAAAGTTCATTGTCAAAGACTCAGGAAGTACAGTTAAGCCAAATTTTTAAAAAATGACTCCTAATTCTACCATCCACATCACATTTTGGCACATCCTCTCCTACTTATTTTTCTGTGGGTACATGTGCAATTTGTTTAAACAAACACAACCTCCCTTTTAATGGGCTGTTCAGTAGAGGAGGTTGATCACTGTTTAGTGAACCCTTCCTAATGTTGCATATTTCAATTGCCTCTAAATTTTTGCTATTATGAATAAGATAGTAGTGAACACCCTTGCGCACACTCTTTTTCTGTGTCTCGAATTATTTCCAAAGGGCCTCTGTTACCTAACTCAATTTAGCGTTAAGGTACGGAAGGCATCTTACACATAACATGAGCTCGCATTTAGCTACCCCTGGGTAATAACTGAGGAATGGGAAGGGGAGGCTCAGAGGCCGGCGGCCTGCCCAAGTCACACAGCTGGGCGGGTGGGGCCGGGCGGGTCTCTGAGGCTCCCCTCACCGCGCCCCCACAACGTGTCTTCGCAGGTCTGGGGCTCTCTTCCCGGACCCCGGCCGTGAGCACGTCGGAGTCGAGCGCGGGCACGGGCACGGGCACCAGCACCCCGTCCACACCCACCACCACCAGCCAGAGCCGCCTCATCGCCTCGTCCCCCACCCTCATCTCAGGGATCACCAGCCCCCCACTCCTGGACTCCATCAAGACAATCCAGGGCCACGGCCTGCTTGGCCCCCCCAAGTCCGAACGCGGCCGCAAAAAGATCAAGGCGGAGAACCCAGGGGGTCCGCCTGTCCTAGTAGTCCCCTACCCCATCCTGGCCTCGGGCGAGACTGCCAAGGAGGGCAAGACATACAGGTGGGGGTCTCAATGAGACGGGGGTCCGGGTGGGCTTGGGACTGCAGCTTGGGCCAGGGCTGTCCTAGGAGCCCAGCACCTGGCTGAAGGGTGGGGCTAAGGTGCAGGAGGCGGGGTCTCCTGTGGAGCCCCGCCCACGTCCTAGCCCTGGTAGGGGGCGGGGCCTGGAGAGGGGTTACTGGAACCTTAGCCCCTCTTGGTGGTCTGTGGCTGGTAGTCACCCCCACAGCCTGGGGTTGTGAGGGTCTGTCCTCTTCCCTTTAAGCAATGTTCTAAACCCTGGCCACCTTAAAATCATATGAAGAGCTTTCAAAAATGCTAATGCTGGGACTGCACCTCCAGAAATTCCAACTTGATTTGTTGAGGGTGTAGGGTATGGAGGGGCAGGCATTGGTGGTTCTTGGAAGCTTTGCAGACAATCGTAATGTGCAGTGAGGTTGAGAACTATCTAGAGTGTTAGAGCCTTATCACCTCCATCCCTGGGACGAGGCCCTGGGCAAACCCTCAAACCCGGGATCATGGGGTTTCCCTTTGAGCTGCAAATGCTCCCCCAGATGTAAGAGCTTCCTCTTCCAGATTGGAGGATGCCCAGGCTGGGAGCCTGCCCCCCATCTTTCAGGTGGGTCTGTGACTCCTGGGTTCCTCCCAGGAAAGATCTGTCACAGGTGCAAGTTCTCTCTGCTATAGAAGGTCTCCTTGAGATGTACAGGCAGGGGCTGGGGAATCTCCCCAGGTGTGAACCTGCCTCTTGCCCCGCAGGTGTAAGGTCTGCCCACTGACCTTTTTCACCAAGTCGGAGATGCAGATCCACTCCAAGTCGCACACAGAGGCCAAGCCCCACAAGTGCCCGCACTGCTCCAAGTCCTTTGCCAACGCCTCCTACCTGGCCCAGCACCTGCGCATCCACCTGGGCGTCAAGCCCTACCACTGCTCCTACTGTGATAAGTCCTTCCGACAGCTCTCCCACCTCCAGCAGCACACCAGGTGAGTGGCCTGCCTGGTGCCGCCTACTGCAGCCTGTTTCAGCTCAGCACCTGTGGCCTGGTGTACCACAGCTCAGCACCTGTGGCCTGGTGCATGGAGCTGGTGCAAAGAAGGACAGGGGCCTTCTCTAGGTGCCATTTGCCCTTGGGGTCAAGACCAAATTCCTTTGCTTGGCATCTGAGGCCTTGTATGCAATGGTCCTTGTGGGCCTCACTCGCCTCTGCTCTCACTACTGCACTACCTTCCTGCTACTTCTCTTCTCCGGGTCTGTGCACATGCTGTGTCCTTTACTGGAGACACTATCCCCTCCTTTTCCCTGTTTCTCAGGCTGTCTCCTATCCATTTCTCAGCCCAGCTTCCTCCAGGAAGCCCTCCCTGATCCCTCGAGCTGGGTAAGGGGTCTAGCCTCTGTTCCCATGCGCCGTGGTGTGTGTGCCCATCACAGCAGCTAGACTGTCACATACGTGTCCGTTTCTTTGCCCAATCTACTGGGGAGTTCTCCAGGGCAAGGGCTTGGTGTCCTCCCTTTCCGCATCCCCAGTGTGTGGCACACGATAAGCATTAGGCATTTGTTAAATATTTGTGGAATAAATAGGACTAGCTTCTATAGAACACATGATTCATGCATTTAGCAAATATTTACATTACTCTATGCCAGACACTGTGTCAGGCGCTGAGGATCCAGCAACTAGCCAGACAGACAGAAGTCCCTGCCCTCATGAGGTGTGCAGTCTTGTTGCATGTGTGGAAGGGCGGTTCAAAGATAGAAATGCTGTAAGGAAGGAAAAGTTTATTCGGGGGAGTACAGAGATCAGGAAGACTGGCTCACCAAATGAAATGCCAATAGGTATTTTCAAAAACCAGCCAAAGATGACCAAGATTGGAGTTCATCTGCTCAGAGGGGAGGAAACAGTTTTCCCACATGATGACTGTCACTTCTGGGAGCATTGTCACGTGTTTGCCAATATCAGCATTGTAAAAGTTAGGGCTAAAATTATGTCAGTTGTGGTGTTTGTGGCTTAAAGAGCTCTATTTTGAGGACTAATGCTATACAGAAGTCCCTATTTTTTAAAATCTAGTTATGTATTTAGGTTTTTGTCCCTTATTAATTTATCTCCATTGTCCTTATATCCTTTGTCCCATGGTGCAAAATGTTTCACCTCATCTGTCTCTCTGGCTTTGGGGCCTGATGTGCAGGTTGACAGTAAGAAGCCAATGGCGGCGTGTTATCGGGGTGGGGTGTCTGTCTGTTTTCTCATCCTCATGCCTCCTAAGGCATGGGTCTCACCCCACCAGTTTGTTTCAGCATTTTCTGATTTGGTTATTGCTTTGGTATTTTTTAATTTGGCCAAGTTTATGTAGATGGTGTGTGTAAAAAGGTGTTGATTAATAAAGAAAGTCCTGCTGGTTCCATGGTTCTTAAAATTAGGGCATGTGATACAAAGGCTTGAGCGTTAACTCTGTCAGGAGACTTTGTAAAGCTCCTGGTCAGGATTTTAATCATGTGCGAGTCTGTGTGTGTGTGTGTGTGTGTGTGGTGTGTGTGTGAAAAATTCTTAACATATTTTCAGAGATCAGGAACCTAGAACCATCTAATTCATCTCTGCCAGATTGTGCCTATACAACCTGTAACATTGGGGGTACCTCTTTTTAGAAGATCCTTTAGGTTGCCAGTATTACTGGACTAGCAGGAATTAATATTTTTGGTTTTGTTTTTTTTAATAACCGTAAAGGCTGGAATTCCACAAGCCATGAAGCAGGAGGCCTGGGGAGGCCACATTCCCACGTTTTGAAGCATAGTCCTTGTTTCTCTCTATCAGGCTTGTCATAGTAAATTAGTAAATTAAATGAGATTTGTCTTTAAATGTGCCATTTCTGGCATGGTCATGGTTACAAATTTGATTTACCCAATTATATCCTATTAGGAAGCCAGACAGATTCTTACTGAACCTGTTTATAGAACTAATGATCATGAAAAGAAAAGGGTCTCCATAAAGGCATTTGGAATATTTTTTAGTAATTATTCCAAGTAGTTTTGTAAATAAGGCCAATTACGTATATTGTTTTTTTCTTTCTTTTTTTTTTTTTTTTTTTTAGACAGAGTCTCACTTTATTGCCCAGGCTAGAGTGAGTGCCGTTGCGTCAGCTAGCTCACAGCAACCTCAACTCCTGGCTCAAGCAATTCTCCTGCCTCAGCCTCCCAGTAGCTGGGACTACAGGCATTCCACCATGCCATAATTTTTTGTATATATTTATAGTGGCCAATTAATTTCTTTCTATTTATAGTGAACGGGTCTCGCTCTTGCTCAGGCTGGTTTGAATCCTGACCTCGAGCGAATCCGGCCCGCCTCGGCCTCCCAGAGAGCTAGGATTACAGGCGTGAGCCACCGCGCCCGGCCTGTTTTTTTCTTTTTTGAGACAGAGTCTCGCTCTGTTGCCCGGGCTAGAGTGCCGTGGCGTCAGCCTAACTCATAGCACCCTCAAACTCCTGGGCTCAAGCAATCCTCCTGCCTCAGCCTCCCGAGTAGCTGGGACTACAAGCATGTGCCACCATGCCCGGCTAATTTTTTCTGTATATTTTTAGTTGGCCGATTAATTTCTTTCTATTTTTAGTAAAGACGGGGTTTCGCTCTTGCTCAGGCTGATTTTGAACTCCTGACCTTGAGCGATCCGCCTGCCTCAGCCTCCCAGAGTGTTAGGATTATAGGCATGAGCCACTGCGCCTGGCCCGGTATATTGTTTTCAATAGAATTATTATTTTTAAGTTTCTTTGATATCTAATTAGTTTATATCTACCTATATTTAAATTTTTATAGTCTCCCCCCACTCCAGAATTCTGAAGATTTAGTTGGAACAAGGCACCATTTAAGGAATATTTTATTCTGGTTTTTGAAATACAGCCTCCTAAATCAGGAATTAGAGATAAATCAAAGAAAGAATTTTCTCATATGCCATTAGAAAATAGAACATTAACCACAATGAAACAAGTTTCATCCAATACTAGGTAATAATTCCTGTTCCTCTGACCCTGGGTTAGTCCACTTTGCAAAGTTATCTGCTTCTGGACTAAGGACTCTCAGACCCTGCCTTGGCCTCTGGCAGTTTCTGGTCCTGTGGGGGTGTCAGCTAGGGAGCCTGTACCCATTTGTCTATTCCCTAGTATAAAGAGCCAAGTGTATGTGTTACAGTCTTGGACTGGAGCTGTCATTCTCTTGATGTTTCTTTCAGAAGATTCAATTTCTGACCTGCAGCTCCAAGCAGAAGACTTTAGGCAAGTGTGAGGGGTAGGGGGAATCAAACCAGTTGATAAGACTAAATCAGGTATGATGTGTGATCAATTTTGCAGATTAAAAACACTATAGGGGCTGGGCGTGGTGGCTCACTCCTGTAATCCTAGCACTTTGGGAGGCCAAGGCGGGAGGATCGCTCAAGGTCAGGAGTTTGAAACCAGCCTGAGCAAGAGTGAGACCCTGTCTCTACTATAAATAGAAATAAAATTAATTGACTAACTAAAATATATAGAAAAAATTAGCCGGGCATGGTGGCACATGCCTGTAGTCCCAGCTACTCGGGAGGCTGAGGCAGGAGGATTGCTTGAGCCCAGGAGTTTGAGGTTGCTGTGAGCTAGGGTGATGCCATGGGACTCTAACCCAGGCAAGAGAGTGAGACTCTGTTTCAAAAAAAAACCACTATAGGCAGCAAAGGCTCTGGCCCATCTTCAGGGTCTTTTAATTTATCTCATAAAGATGGGTTAGGATTTTCACTAACTGATAAGGGTATTTTAAATCTAGAGACAAAATTGTTTTAAAAGAAATGTCTTTGTTGTTTACTATGCCAGTCTCTGTACATTAAAATAGTTTTTTGTCCATATTAAAAAGCTCACAGAAACATAAATATTCATATTACATATTATATATTTATGTACATACACAATTAACCCAGAGAGGTTGAGTTCCTCTTCTTCTGATTTGCCAGCTTTTTATACCGCAACCTCCAAAGAGCAGCTGTCACTCTAGTGTTTGGCTAATTAAAAATAGGGAGAATACAAAACAACCCCAAACATTGCGAGTATCCCTGTTTTTATAAAGTGAGGGATCAAATCTTTGGTGTTGCCCCGTGGCCATCTGGAAACCCCAAGAGCATTCGCATGTAAAAGACACCTTGACAATCTTGTCCTTCTGAATCAGGGGCCTGGATTTGAGAAAGGCAGTAGCACACAGTTGGCAGAATGGGCCAGCTAATAAACACAGTAACAAGTGATAGTCATGATTAAGAATTTTGTTTTCTTCACAAGTAGGCTTCGTTTAAAAATATCATTTAAGAACATGACCCAAAAAAGCAACAAAACACTAACAGGCCCTTGAAGGAGAGTATTTTGCCAGAATATTCCTTGACGTAGGGATTCCTCTTCATTCCTAAGGATACAATATTCTCTCTCTCTCTCTTTCTCTCTCTCTCTCTCTCTTTTTCTTTTCAGTGATTTGAGTTCATAAGGATAGGAAACCAAACAAACAACATAAGAGGATTCTGTCAACAATTGGAAGACGATTTATAAGTCACTAGGCACTGGCACATATAATTAAACTGATGTGTCCTAACGCCATGGCAGGGAGGCCCAGATTCCCAAAAGTCTCAGAATTCTTTAGACAAACAACTAAAAAAAAAACCCCCAAAGCTAAAGAAGTAACCAGATTCCTTGTCCTCTGCTATTCCACTGAGACCCCTTCCCACTTACTTGTCCCTTGGCAGAGACCCAGACATCAGATCATAGAATCAAATCTGTCTTCCCAATGCGACAGCCACCAATGAAGGGAATAAAGGTCATGTCAAAAACAGAGCCAGCCTGGTGAAGCAACAGAGGTAGAATTAGAAAGCGGGGTAAGCAAGATCCGCCCTGGGAGTTGAGAAAGATGAGCCTGGTGGCACTGTCGACGTGGCCGAGTGGCGTTGGTGACTCTGTTGCACCCGGCCTGCAGTGCGGAAAGGAAGGCCCGACAAGTAAAGAAAAGTAGGTGACTTGCAAAGTGTTGCATGTCCAAACCTCAGAAGGATGAGCCTGTTCACAAATAAATACCACAAGGCTTTATGGAGAGAATAAACAGAACATTTTCTGTTGTAGTTAATCTGATCATGGTAGAAAAACAGCAATTGCCGTGCAATTAGTGTGGACATAAGGGTCCTCATGTACCCGTAGACATCATGGTGCAAAAGTCAGGGCTGACATTGTTTGGGGAGGGCATTAGTAAATTATAGGAAAGGGCTCCAAGTTTTATTTATTTTCGGAACTAGTGCTAGACGGAGTGACTCTGGATTTGTTTGTTTATTTGGGGTGCAAAGTGTTTTTTGGTTTTGTTTTTCTTTCCCTGGCTGTGTGATGTTATGTACACGTGTAATAATAAGTGCAGCTGGGGAAGGTACCGTTTTATTTTCTCAAGCCTGACGATTTGTAGTAATAATAATAACAACAACTGTTCCTTGGCGGAGAGCTCCCATGTGCCTGGTCCCACATAGAGCGCTTTAGTACGAGGTGTCCAAAAGTCCTCATACGGTGCGAATTTATATTTCTTCATAAGAGATCAGGAATTTGAAAATGGGGAAAATCTCAAGGAATGTTTAACTTTTACTATCTCTGCCATCATTTTGGTTACAAAGCACAATATGGGGTGGGAGGGCTGTGAGGGGAGAAAAAGAAAATAAAAAATAATAAAAACAAAGCACAACATGGCTGAACCCATTCAGTATAACACGCAGCTTAATGCCTGAGAAAGGAAAGTGTTTGGCAGGGCGTGGTGGCTCACGCCTGTCATCCCAGCGCTCTGGGAGGCCGAGGAGGGCGGATCTTCTTTAGCCCAGGAGTTTGAGGTTGCTGTGAGCTGGGCTGATGCCACAGCACTCTCTAGCCCGGGCAACAGAGTGAGACTCTGTCTCAAAAAAAAAAAAAAAAAAAAAAAAAAGAAAAGTGTTAATTAATGAATCCTTAATTTTATTTAAACATTGAATAAATTCCCTCTTTGTCATAAATTATTTGTCTTCAATAGAAATTAATGTATTAAAAACTAACCCTGCAGAAGTATTTTATGAACACCTTTTATATGAAGTTACTTAATCCTTACAATTCTTACTATCTTTATTGTTATCCCCATATTAGAGAGGAGGAACTGGGGCTGAGGGAGGCAAAGTCTCTTGCCCAGCGTCACCCAGCTAAGAGGTGGCGGAAGTGAGGTTCAAGCGCGCGCCAGGGAGCAGCGTGTGCTCAGGGAGCAGGAGTGGCCGGGGAGTCAGGCTGCAGGAGGCGCTCGCGTGTGGCAGACGTGCCAGGCAAGAGAGCAGAGGGGGTCTTTGGAGCCCCTGGGGTGGGACTGGGGCAGTCCAGGGGCCCCGGCTTCAGCTCAGCTTCCCTGCACTGCCCAAGGAAGAGTGACCGTCTGGAATCAGGGTGAGCCTCCCACTAGCGTGATGTGGGAGGCAGGGCCAGGCGCCCCCCTAGGGGGAAGGCACCCTACAAAGGAAGGATGCTGTCGTTCAAATAGAGGGCTTGGGCTGAAGACAAGAGCTTGGTGGCCAGTGAGAACTGGCCGCTTGTTCAGTTTCACCCGGCAGTTGCTCCCTGAAGCTCTTTCTGAGCCAGCCCAGTGCCAGATGGGCGCAGGGACAAATGGGTGGTCAGAGGCTGGGAGGCTGGTGGATGCAGAAACTCCCATCAGAGGAGTAGGAGATGAGTCGGTGGGTCATCTGGGTTGGCAGTGGGGGCAGCTAGCACAGGCCCAGAGACTTGCTGGGGGGCGGCGTGTGTTGGGGGAGGTTGGTAATATGCCCCGCTGGGGAGCACAGTGGCAAAGGAGGAGGCTTTAGAAACCGAGGGCCAGAATGTGAAGGGCCTTGAAAGCTGGGAACAGGGTTTGGACTCTGTCCTGGAAAAGAGGCAGTCAGTGGGGGCTGCCAAGCAGGGCTGTGACAAGGTCAGACGCCTACAGCTACTGCCATGGGCAGGCCGGGCAGGGAGAGGCTGAGGCTGGGAGACCAGGGAGGAGTCTGGGCAGTTGTTGCACTTGGATTGGAGGAGGCCGGAGGGGCAGCTTGTTGGTCGAGAGGGCTTGGCTGTGTCTCTGAGGAAGGACCTGAAGTGCCTGGGGACTGTCTGTCAGTCAGTCAACAAACACTCACAAAATACACCTCAGGCATGGAAGTTTTTGATTATGTGGAGCATCTTTCTGTTGTCAGTGACTGACTTCAGAGAGAAAGAACTCACTTTCCTTCACTCAATCCACAGCTATGCAGGGGCTCCCCTCTGTGCCAAGCCTGTGCCAGGCACTGACTGGGGCGAGGGTGGTGAATGAGCCCGAGGGAGTTCTTGCTCTCGATGAGGCAGCCAAGAAAAAGTGACCAGACATTGACAAAATGAGTACCTGTGCCCAGACCTCTGGGAAGGGGGTGTCTTTGGTGCTTGGGGGCTGGGCTGCAGGGGGCCCAACCTAGCCTGGGGGATCAGGGAAGGCTGTCCTGATGAGGGGGCTTTTATACTGAGAACAGCAGTGTGAGTTTTAGTCAGGTATTAGCTGAGGGACAAGTGTGGCTGGTGGAGGGAACAGCCTGGACAAAGGATTGGAGGTAGGAAGGAGCTCAGAGTGCCAGAGGAGGCGGTGAGGCCAGTGGGGCTTGGCTTCCAGGCAAGGGCGAGGAGTGTCTTGAGCAGAGGACCCAAGAGGTGGGTGTTGTGGGTGCTTTTTGGTTTTATTTTGTTTTTTTTTTTTTTTTTAGAGACAAGGTCTTGCTCTGTTGCCTAGGCTGGAGTACAGTGGCACAATCATAACTCACTGCAACCTCAAACTGCCAGGCTCAAGCGATCCTCCTGCCTCAGCCTCCCAAGTGGCACGCACCACCACCCCTGGCTAAATGTTTTTTTTTAAAGATGGGGTCTCACTATGTTGCCTGTGCTGGTCATGAACTCCTGGCCTCAAGTGATCCTCCTGCCTTGGCCTCCCCAGGTGCTGGGATTACAGGTGTGAGGTACCATGGCCAGCCAGTTGTGGAGTTTAAAACAAAGTCATCATGTGTCCCAGGGACCCTTAGACCCCTCTGCCACCCTGGAGAGGAGTGAGGACGGATGCAGTGGAGGGGATGCTGGCACCAGCTGGAGTTGGTCCACATGACCCTTGAGGGGTCAATATAGAGGCAGAGTGCAGTAGCCTGAGATAATGTCCCCAAACATGTGGCACCCACAATGTACAGGTAGAATCCAGGTTCTCAGAACTGGCTCAGCCTAGCTGATGGGCAGAGCAAACCCAGTGGGTGAGATGGGCCAGGGCCTTGGTGGAGGGACAGACACCATGTGGCCGGATCTGGATTTTGCCTCCACTTAATGTTCCTTAGCACATTAAGCAAAGAGGTGCGGGCCCAGCCCGAAGGTCACTGCCCACCTGCTTGGCACAGGGGATTTGCCAGAGCAGGTGATTCAAGGCAAGCCCGGGGGACAGGGCAGGGGCTGGAGTGCGGACAGCAGTAAAGGCTGCTGTCCATGGGCGCCAGGCTCTGAGCTGCAGAGCCATGTGCAGACCTCATCTCTCAGGCCACTGCGTCCTCACCTGGGCTGCTGGACAAGCACTGTTGCCCAGTGTCACCTTCTTCATGAGGCTCCCCTGGCCACCCTTTTGAAAACTGCACCCCTCCCTCCCCTGGCACTCACAGTCCCCCTCACCTTGTTCTGCTTTCCTCGTGGCGTTTGTCACCTTCTGTGTGTGCTTTATTTACTTATTTCATGCTTGTGTGTTTCCACCGGGCAGTGGTTTTTGTCTGTTTTGTTCACTGGTGCATTCCAGGTAGCTAGCATGGTGCCTGGCACATGGGTGCCCGTTGTGGTAAATGTCGAATGGATGAATAATAGTAACACTGGCAAATGTTTACTGAGTGCTGACTTTGTGCCAACTCTAGGCTAAGCCCCCTACACGTGTTATCTGATGTAATCTTCACAAAGTCCAGTGAGGTAGGGAGCATATTTTTATACCCATTTTGCAGATGAGGAAACTGAGAGGATCAGTGATTTGCCCAAGTAAGTAGTAATAAATTGTAGAGCCAGGATGAGAACTCAGGAATGGGGGGACAGAAGGGTTCCCAGGAAGGACACAAGGGAGCTGAGCTTCAGGGTAACGCTGTCCTGCATAATCTCAGTTACTCATGGACAGGGGACTGGGCCAATGAGAGGGAGATGTCTCCTTCTTCGGGAAGGAAGTGGGGCAGCCAGGGAAAGTCCCTACAAAGGTGTGAATTTATGTTCTTTCCAATGGGTGGCCTGCAGGGTGGAGTTTTTAGAAGAATGCAATCAAAGCAGGCCCCTACGAGCTGGAGGCCTAGACTGGGTCTCTGAGTGGGCGCTGGTGGTGGGTGAGGGGCAGTGGGGACCTCTGGGGCGTGGGGAGGCTCTGGTCAGACTAGCAGTGGAGGCCAAAGGAGGAAGGGGGAGATGGTGGCCTTTGAAGTCCCCAGCTCTTGCCTGGGGCTCACCATTGGCCACTAGGGAGAGTGGGTGGACTGGGGACCCGGAAGCTTGGGGGCCAGAGGTCTGTCCCAGGCCAGCCAAGGGCCGGGGGACTGGAGTGTCTGGGGTATGTGTCAGGGACTTCCCCTCACCGGGCTGCCCGTTGCAGAATCCACACAGGCGACAGACCCTACAAGTGCCCACATCCTGGCTGCGAAAAGGCTTTCACTCAGCTCTCCAACCTCCAGGTGAGTGCTGCCTCCCGCCCACCCGGTGCACGGCTGCCCCCTCCCAGGGAGCATAACAAGGGGCTGGGGCTGGGGCGCCCTGCCCATGTGTGACCCTGCTGTGCTCCCTGCAGTCTCACCAGCGCCAGCACAACAAGGACAAGCCCTACAAGTGTCCCAACTGCTACCGGGCCTACTCCGACTCCGCCTCCCTGCAGATCCACCTCTCAGCCCACGCCATCAAGCACGCCAAGGCTTACTGCTGCAGCATGTGTGGGCGGGCCTACACCTCGGTGAGTGCCAGCGAGTGCCAGCCGCCTGCGCCTGCGGCCCAGAGAGCTGCTTCCTCTTCCTGGGCCTCATGCGGCCTCCTCCTCAGATCTGTACTGACTCTTCCCATTTTCCAGACAGAGAAACTGAGGCCTAGACAGGGGAAGTGATTCTCTAAGATCACAGGGAATCTCAGAGCCAGGGCCTCTGCTTCCCACTTCTGTTTCCGGCTGCCCCTGGCGCAGCCCCCAGCCTCCTGCCTGACTGTAGCCTGGGTTCGCCGGCCCTGGGATACTCAAGGCAGGGATGGGGGGCCTTCCACCAACAGCGAGGGAGAGAGAAAGGCCTTCCTGCTCCTGGGGAAGCTGCAGCCCCCATTGTGGCCACACGGTGGCACAGTGACTTGGCCCAGAGCCACCCTTGTTTCTGGAAAGGCCTGAACTGCACTAGAAATAGCATCCAGCCCCTTGTCCCTGGGTGGGGATTTCCCCAAACAAGGGCCTTTTGGCATCCAGGTGAGTCACTGTGTGTGTTCTTCTGGCTAATCAAATATTCCAGTTGACAGAACTCCTATTCCCAACATAAAGGTCACTGAGCCTCGATTTCCTCATCTGTAAGATGGATTAACTCATAGGGCTGTTGGCTGGTGGAGCAGTGGCTAACTAGCCTGAGCTCGGTGTGTGCTAAACGCTTGCGCCCAGCTCTCGGGAATCAGGATGAACCAGACAGACATATTTTTTGCCCCCAGGGAGGTTAGAGACTACTGTTAGAGACAGGTATGAAACAAGTGACCACACAATAAACATTAATGGAAATTGTGGTAATTGCTTTGAAGCAGAGTTCCCAACCCTAGTCCCTATCAGCATTTGGGTGCAATTACTTTTTGTCGCAGGGCACTCTCCCGTGCCGGGGAGGATGTTAAGCAGCATCCGTGAGATGCCAGTAGCAACCCCCTCCCCATTGCAACAACCAAAAATGTCTCCAGACTTTGCTAGATGTCCCTAGGGGGCAAAATTGCCTCAACTGAGAAGCACTGCTCTGAAGGAGGAGCACGCTTTGAAAGGCTGCAGCAGGGAGGACAGAGGAGTTGGGGAGGGGGTGGGTCCAGAGAGGCCACTTGGGGAAGGACCATGCAGCCGAAGCCTTGAAGGATGGTTAGATGGGGTTGGGGGGAAAGAGGGGAAAGAACCTTCCATGCAGGGAACAGTGAGTACAAACACATTGAGGTGGAACAAACTTGGTGTGTTACAAGAACTGAAGGAAAATTAGGTCCTGTGGGCCCTTGGGGGCCCTGTTTGAGAGTTTGGACACTTTTCCAGGTGAAATGGGAAGCCACTGGGAGGGGACCTTTGGTTTTTGTTTTAGAGATGGGATCTCGCTATGTTGCCCAGGCTGGATGCAAACTCCTGGACTCAAGTGATCCTCCCACTGCAACCTCCAGAGTAGCCGGGGCTACAAGCACTCGCCACTGTACCTGGCGGGGAGGGTGATTTTGAGAGGTCACTGGCCAGAGGCAGCGCATGGATTGTAGGCAGGGTGGTCAGCAGCACTTGTCGGGTGCCACCAGTGCTGCTGCTTGCTAAGTGCTGAGCCTGTGACATTTATTCTTCTCTGGAGTTCAGGGGGCAGAAGAGGTTGGAGAGGCTGAGGACAGAACCTGTAGGGACGAGGGCCCCAAGCAGGTGGGGGAGACCCCACTGGGCTGACTGATCTCCAGTCTGTCCCTGCTTCTCTCCAAGACTCAAGTTCTCCGTGGCCCCTACACCACCAGCCACTCCTGCGTCATCCATATCCCTGTTTTTCCAAGTGAAACCCCGACATCATATCATTTTATTTGTACAGATTTCAGTTTGTGTTTCTAAAGATAAAGACTCCTTTTGAGCATCTGCACAATACCTTTAGAATATCTAAAAGTAATTAACTGAAGTCCTTATCATCATCAAACACCCATTCAGCACTGACATTTTCATTTGTCTCATGAATGCCATGGTTTTGTATATTTACAATATTAATTTCTAATCAAGATCCAAATAAGGTTCCTACATTGTCCTGGGTCAGTATACCTTTTCATCTTGAGGGCCCCTCCTCTCCTTTTCTTCCTTTTGCTCTTTATTCACTGTAGAATCGTTTCCTAGATTGGGATTTGCTGACTTCTTCCCTCTGGTATTGTTTAACAGCACGTTGCCACCACATTTAGGGACTTCCTCTGCTGGCTTCTGAGCATGTTGGGGTCTGAGGCCAAGAAGTGGCAGTTGGGGCCGGGAGTACCGCCTCTGTTACTGGCAAAGGCCGTTGGAAGGATGTGGCTTAGTGTGAGGGCCTCTGGGCCTGCAATGAGCCCTGGGCCACCTTGCCCACCCAGCCCTGGTGCCTCAGATCACAGCTGGCAGAGCCAGTGGGGGGCTTAGGGCTGGGTTCTGCCCCCGGGAGGATGGAGTGGGGGGTGGTACAGAGGCCAGACTGGGGAAGGCGTGGTCCCCTCAACCCTTGCTGCATGCTAAGGGCTATATCTGTGTCACCATCGCAGCCTTTGAGGTTGTTCCTCCCCCATCCCTGCTTACAGAGGAGGAAACTGAGGCTTGGAGAGACAAGCTGACTTGTCCAATTTCCCGCTGCTAAGAAACGGCAGAACTAGGCTCAAACCCAGGCCTGCTGCCTTGCTCTTGCTGGGGTCGCCAGGCAGAGGTGGGCGTGGTGTAGACGCACAGGCAGGGCTGAGGGGCAGCTGGTGCACCCTGTCACGCCAGCTGGTAGAGGGCTGGGGGCCCGGCCCTGGGCAGCCACAGGTGGCGCTGCTGAGGGGTGAGCTGTGCTTGCTGGCTCCCCACACAGCCCTCTGGGCTTGTACTCTGGCAAGGGCCAGCACTCACCCCTGGCAGTATCGCTGGAACAATGCCGGGTGCCCATCTGACCCCCAAAGCCGTGGCCACCCACCACCAGCTGGCGCACTGACCAAGGAGCCCTCTAGTGGCCGCCTGTGGGAACCGCGGCCTCCCCTGCCTCCCTTACCAGCGGTTCCATGTTCTGATCTCGCCCCCGCCCGCAGGAGACCTACCTGATGAAGCACATGTCCAAACACACGGTGGTGGAGCACCTGGTGAGCCATCACTCGCCCCAGAGGACGGAGTCCCCCGGCATCCCGGTGCGAATCTCTCTCATCTGAGCCCACGGGAGGCGCCGCCCCGCCCGGCCCACTGGCAGACAGACCCAGGCAGCACCGGCCCTGACTCCCTCCAGGGGCCCTCCTGGAACCGCCGAGCTCCTCACGACCTTCCCAACCTTCCAGAACGCTTGGTCCGCAGAAGCCCTGCCTGGTCCAGCTCCGGGGCGGCCAGGCCAACTGCAAGATTCTGGACTGTTTTGGTAGCATCCAAAGACGATCTCAGAGCACTTTGAACCTCTCTGTTGGGTTTTCTTTTTGTTCCCCACCCTTCACTTGCTTCACTGTTTTTTTTTTTTGTTGTTTTTTTTTTTTAAGTTTGTTTTGGAAATAACAAAAAAGATATTTATTGGCCAGGAAGTTGGTGCTGCTAAGACCGAGAAATTAAAAGAATCGGACAGATGGACGCAGAGAACCACAGGGCAGCGTGGGACCTTCTCTTGCCGTGGCCTCAGGTCTTGAGGGAAGGCTCGGGCCTGCGTTTCTGGACTGCAAAGGGGACCACGAGGTGAGGGGGGCAGGGGGTCGTTGGAGTGCGCCCCTCGCCCCCGGGTGCCCCGCTCGGCCCTCTCGAGCTGTGCCCCGGGCGTCGCCCAGCAGAGGGATGCGGCAGCCGCCGGGGCTGCCCAGGCTTCCGGAGGCGGCGACGAGAGAGGGGCCCCGAGATCCGCAGGACCAAAGGGTGCAGTGATGGGCTGGGTGGCGGGCCCAGGGACGTGGGGTGGGGGCGGGCTGGGTAAGACCTGGCCCTCCCTCGCTGCCCTGAAGACCACCCCAGTCTACCTCGGTGCTGGCCAGGAAACCTATAGGCTACCTCTCCCGCCATCCCAGACTGTGGGCAGGGGGATGGGGAGGGAGTGGGCCTGGGCCTGGGACCCCCCTCCAGAATTTCCTCCAGATGGGGGCAGTGCCCAGGGAGGGGTCATTTGTCTTCCCTGCCATGGAGGGGGAATCCCCAACCCAGGCCCTATGCCCCTCAGCAGGGAAGGGATCCTCGGGGAGGCGGGTCCCAGGAGCAGACCCTGTCCCCAGCCCCCACGGCACACCCCAATCTGAAAGCCATGCGTGTCCGTGTATATAGGAACCATGTACAGAGCCCGGAGAAGCCCCCCACGTCCCCCCGGGAAAAAAAGAAAACTAGACAGAAACTCATCTATATATTCTGTATCTGGAGTTCCGTTTTGAATATTAACTGTGTTATTTTTATACACTTTTTAAGCCTTAACTCGCCATTGATTTACCAGTTTAACGTTTCCTGGGGTTTCTTTTCCCATGGGGTTCTCTGGCCCCACCCCCACCCCTTTGTTTGACTTGCGTCGTCTGATAAACTCAGTATTGTAGCTTTTTGTCCGCATGTTACTACCCTGTAAATACGCTGTTATACATACTGTTAACACCCCTTTGCTTTTTTCTATGGGACCTCCAGGCCACCATATTTAGAACTAGTTACCTTATTAAAAAAGAGAAAACAGTCTGTTGGCTTCTCAGTCTGCATCTTGGTGGCAGGGAGGTGAGGGCAGGTGCCCCTCAGACACTTCAGGAAAGAAGTTTGCATTCTATTTAAAAAGGGGGTGGGGAGCAAAATAATCAAATGTGGGGGGAGAACACTAAAGGGGGCAAGAAACAAAGGAATTACAAACCCTCTGCTCTTTGTATTTCTCTGTTGTGAAGAATAAACTGTACCTGCACCCGGGTGGCGGCAGTGTGTGGCGTGCTCTGTGCGAGGGTGGGGCTGGGGGGCACCTTTCCACTGCTCCTCTCCCCGCCCCCGCCCCCAGATTGGGGAAGGAAGGAAACGGTTCCCTACTGTGGGCCTCTAGGTGGGGCATTGAGTGTTTCGTGTTGGTTGCCTCACCACTCTCCTAGCAAGTGAGTAGCAAACTGACTGAGGCTTTGTGCTAAGGATCATGGTGCAATTAAGCGGTGGGGACATACATTTACCACAAATTGTCTAGTTCTGGAGCCTTTTTGGATGTATTGGGTCCACCATGAGTCTCACTTCCCTGTTCCCTGAGGGGCACCCCACCCTCTCTGGGGGTCTATGGTAAGTGCCTGTTTTATGGAAGCTATTCTAGTGATAGGGGAGGGGTCAAGACTCCCCCTCACTTACATCCTCCCCCCCACCCCAGGTCAGTGTTTTGATTGCCTAGGAGGGAAATGCAGGAATTCCCCCAAAGTTTCTCAGGGCTGGCCCTATGGAGACATTGTGAGGGAGACAGAAATGACTCAGCTGCGAGTCAGTGTGGAACTCATCATCCGGAACTTGTTCCTCTGAGTCCTCACAGTCCTGTGTGTCAAGACTTGGCTGTGAATGATAGAAAGTTCAAACGGGAATTTATTGACTCACGTCACAGGATGGTGGTCAGGCCAACCTCAGGGCCCACAGGACGTGTCTCCGGCTCCTTCTGGCTCTGCTGAGTCAGCTGCAACCTCAGGCTCCTGTGGGGTCAGCAGCTCTAGCCCCAGGTTCCCAGAAATCAAGCCTGTCTCTCTGCCAGAAGCCCCAGTGTCTCAGTCTGTTTTATGGACTGGGTTATACCACAGATTGGGTAATTTATAATGAACAGCAATGTATTTGACAGTTCTGGAGGCCGGAAATCCAAGCATGGCACCAGTATCTGCTGAGGGCCTCCATGCTGCATCATCCCATGGTGGAAGGCAGAAGGGCAAGAGAGGGTTAGAGTGAGAGAGGTGGAACGCTCAGCCTCCAGCCCCTTTATAATCAGCATTAATCCATTCATGCAGGTGGAGCCCTCACGACCTAAACGCCTCCCATTGAGCACCATCTACCAACACTGTTGCATTGGAGAGTAAGTTTCCAACACATGCTTTTGGGGCACACGTTCAAATCATAACACCCAGGGAAAGTCTAGTTGGGTCCTCCTGGTTCTGACCGGTTGCACTATGTGCTTGTTTGGCTTGGGCCTAGAGTCCATGCCCTAAGCCTGGAGCAGAGGGTGAAACGCCCATCCCAAGAGGAAACCAGACTCTGTTACCATCAGAAGGAGAAGTGGATGTGGGGTAGCCAAGAACCAGTATGTTTTCAGTAATCTCACCGGCCTCATCTCTCTCTGAAATTGACCTCCCATAGCCTGCTGTGCCATGAAGGGATGGGTGGTGGCAGCCATATCTGTGCCACATGACTCCATTGCAGCCACAGCTGATTGGCTGTGCTGATTGGCCAGCAGTGGACACCTGACTTGGTGACTTGATCCATGGATGCAGCCAGTGTGTGTAATGGCCATCCTGGTTCATTTGAGCAAATTGTGCACACCCCGTCCCAACTATGCATTCAGTGAGTACTGGTAGCTCGAAATCAGCCATGGCGTGATTTACACCACGGAAACTGGCAAATGCTATGAACCAGGGCTTGCTTTCCCCTTGAAGAACCAGTTGCTAGACGTCTGTTCCATGAGTCAGGAACAAGTTGGTTAGGAAACAGTGGGCACCTGAAATGCACGGCCCCGTGGACTGGGGGCTGGGTGGCTGTGCTGAGCCAAACACTAGCAGGAGAACAAAGGAGGCAGAGAGAAAAGCAGAAATGGACAGAGGAGACCAAGACCCTGACTGTCAGTCTTCATCCTCTGGTCATGTTTAATTTCCTTTTTGTTCTCACGTGAATTTAAGTTGCTAATGGTGTGATATTGGATTAGTTACTTAACCTCTCTCTGCCTGATTTCCTCATATGTAAAATGTAGATAATAGTGACCAATTTATAGCGTGGATGTGAGGATTAAATGAATCAGTACATGCCTACTGCTTAGAACTGTGCCTGGCACATGGTAAGTACCTGGTAAATATGCATGTTGTCATTGCTATCAATTGACTTAGCTCTAGTGGACCCATGTTCCTTGCAATTATTGATCCTTGACCAAGACAGCTGAAGATGTTTGGGAATTTCTGGAGGTGGCATCTGAACTGGCAGGCAGGGTGGGCCAGCATGAAGCAATGAGGACACTGAGGACAGAGGGCTGATTTTCATGTGCTCACCTGGGGACTGTGTGAGCACCACCGTCCCTGTGGGGCCCAGGATGGGTGCTGACGGCCATGGAGGTAGCAGCAAAAGGAGCTTTATTCTTCTTCCTGTTTCAGCCCCGAGTCCCTCTATACCCCCCACCTCCTTAGGCCTCTGGGGTCCCTAGGAGAGAGCCATTCTCAGAAGGGTTGTCCACCCTGAAGCTTCCTCAAACCCTCCCCCTTCTGAGGAAGATGTCCATCAACAGCACAAGGCTGCCCCTAGCCCAGGGCCTAGAAATTCCTGACGATCAGAAATTCCTTTATGGTCAGAAATGGCTGTTGCCTGATGAATCCTTTGCACTCCATGAACTTGCTAAGGGGAAGTCAGGGAAAGGGAGGCAAGTCATGTTTTCTGGAGCACGACAACAACCCCTGCAGGAGGGCAACTGGCACCCCCATTTTACATATGGGAAAACTGAGACCCAGCAGAGGCAAGGAACTTGCCCACAGACAGGGAGTTAGAAGAGGAGCTGGTTCACATCCAGACCTCATGGGCCCATGCTCAGCTCGCTGGTGGCCCAAGGGTTGTTAGGGTTGGCACACGTAGCACTTGGAATGATGCAGGATAAGATGAAGGACACACACTCTCCCACCTGAGGAAGTTATGCGCCAGCTCACAGCCAGCAAATAACCACCTATTCTTAGGCACACCTGGTCCGATCTCATCTCTAATCCCAACTCCAGACGGCCTTCCAGGTTTTGCTAATCTAATTTGGTTGGAGGCATTTCAAATTGCTTTTGACAGGAGAGATCTCTTATTGTGCATCATCAATAACCGAACCTACTTGTACAAATGATCATATTGTAAAAATCATATCAGTGTTGGACCAGGTAAATAGCCAGAATTGCTGCCCTGGCTGGGAACAGTGAAGGCTATTAAAAATGCAAAGTTCAGCCAGGCGCAGTGGCTCACACCTGTAATCCTAGCTAGCACTCTGGGGGGCCGAGGCCGGAGGATTGCTCAAGATTAGGAGTTCAAGACCAGTCTGAGCAAGAGTGGGACCCTCCCCCCCATCTCTACTAAAAATAGAAAGAAATTAATTGGACAACTAAAAATATATAGAAAAAATTAGCTGGACATTGGTGGCTCATGCCTGTAGTCCCAGCTACTCGGGAGGCTGAGGCAGGAGGATTGCTTGAGCTGAGGAGTTTGAGGTTGCTGTGAGGCTAGGCTGATGCCACGGCACTCTAGCCTGGGCAACTGAATGAGACTCTGTGTCAGAGAAAAAAAATGCAAGGTTGGAGAGTACACTACATAAAGGATTCAGAAGACCTGGAGTGAAATCCCAGTCTCTTAGGGGGCCTCAGTTTTCCTAACTGTGTGACAAAATCTCAGGAGCTTCTAATGGCAACCTTCCCTATCTCCTCAGCTCTGTGACCACCTTCCCAGGAGGGTCTGACCACATCACAAACTCCTGTTCACAGCCTGTGTTTTTTCTGGTTGAGGATGAGGATCTGGACAGCAGCCATGGCTGCAGAAACTTACCTGCCAGATACTGTGGCCAAACTTAGCCCTACCATCCTGAGGCCAGAAAATGTCATTTTTGTGGATGTAGGAGAGAAAAAGGACATAAGGACAAGTTAGGAATGTCTAAATTAAGTTTTTAGAGAATTAAAGTTAGTTTTATTTAGAAGTCTTATCGAGGACTACAGACTGAGGGCTACAACAAGGGAACAGTCTTTTAGAGAGGTTTTATCAGACTGTTTTGATGTAGTATTTTTGTTCATAGTTTATATACAGGTAAAGATTTAGTATGTATAAAATTATACCTAAGTTTGGGTGTAAGATTGTACCTCGTTATAGTTTATAGAAGCATAATCACCCTGTCATACGTTATCTTATGTGTAGGAAAAGGCAAGGACTGGAGTCATTTTTTTTATTTTTTATTTTAATTTTTTTAGAGACTGGGTCTAGCTCTGTCACCCAGGCTGGAGTGCACCATAGTTCACTGCAGCCTTGAACTCCTGGGTTCAAACCATCCTTCTGCCTTAGCCTCCTGAGCAGCTGGGACTACAGGTGTGAGACACCATGCCCTGCTAATTTTTTATTATTTGTAGAGATGGGGTCTTACAATGTTGACCAGGCTGGTCCCAAACTCCTGGCGACAAGCACTTCTTCTCCCTCATTCCCTCAAAAGCAGGTCATTTATTTTTTAAGGAATATAGTGACTCAGGCAAGAGAGAAGGGGGGGGGGCATGTTTCTTATTTTGTTTTGTCTTGAAAGTATCTTTCTTGAGAGCTAAATGTTTTCATAGAGTCAGAGACTTTGTGAAAGGATTTTGGCAAGTAAAAATGAACAAACATGGATTTTTGTGCTTGTTATTTTGCCTTATAAGTTTTTTCTTTTGGTAATAAATTATTTGGTGGCATTTATAAGATTAATGTTGGCTGTCTTCTATAGCTAGGAAGGGTCATTTTTAGGAAGATCAATAGTCTTTAGTAGTAGTTGTAAAGAATGAGTATTAGGCCTGGCATGTATATTTGTCTATTTATTGAAAAACTTTGGATTGTATTTATTTTTTATTTAGTATTATTTGGTTTTTTTTAACATTGTCTTTTTTATATTTAATATATAAATTATAATAGGACTATTTTAGGATATTATAGATTATATATAGCAGTATATATTTAATAGTATTAAAGTGAGTTACAGATTGGAAAAATATAACTATTTAATAAAATTGGAATATATATTTGTTTATTAAATTATTATTTTTGTATTTATATTTATTAGGGTTTTTTCATGAAAAGTAATTTTGGACTAGAGGTGATTGAAAATGTTTTGTTTTTTGAGACAGGGTCTTGCTCTGTTGCACAGGCTAGAGGACAGTGTCATCATCATAGCTCACTGCAGCCTCGAACTCCTGGGCTCAAGTGATCCTCCTGCCTTGGCCTCACAAAGGCTCAAGTGATCCTCCTGCCTAGGATCACAGGTGTAAGCAACCAATGCCCAGTCCTGAAAATATTTTTAGAGAGGAATTTAGTATAATAATTGTGAATGGCAAAAATTTAAAATAGTCATGGTTAAAATTTGATGCAAGTTTTTAATTGACAAGGAAATTTAGTTTTTGTTGTATGTAGTATTTAAAAATAATAACTAGAATTATGACTATGTCATATCAGGACTATTAGACTTTTATAATTTTACATAATTTTTAGAATATTTATATTAGTATATTCATATAAATATGATTATAGAAAATATTTAGTATAATAAGTAAAATGACTGACAATGTATGCTTTTAGGAATTTATATGGTTTTTAGAATATTTATAGTTATATTAATAATATAACTATAAATATAAAAGAAATATCTAGTAGTATTTATTATTTGATAGTATCTTTCATATAATTTACTAAATAAGTTTAATTATTTAATATCTCTATAGGATGAGAGATATATTTTTTGAGGCTGCTTAGGGTCCCATGTGGAAAATTTTAAAGTTAATTTTAGGCCAAAAAGAGTTAATTTATAATTCTGATCTGGAGGAAATCTGTCAAAGATGTCAAAAGGTTTAAAATATTTGATTAAAATAGAATTATTGGTCATTGTGAAATAACATTTATGTATTTAATTATAGTAATAATTAAAAGACTGAAAAAGCAATAAAGAAAGTTATATGGATGTAAAAATCTTTACCCTTTTAATGCTCAGTTTTTTTTAAGTAATCAAAAACCTAATAAAGACAAGATAACAATTATCTTGATAAAATATAAAATCTTTATTTTTTTCAGCCAGCTACCAAAAAGGTAAAGAAAAATCTCTTGTAGTGTCATTCTTTCTCTTTATGGGAAGTCTATGTAGATAAATCAGAAGTCCAACCTGCTAAAAAGAGCATTTGAATTGAATCAGACATGGGTATGTCCAGAAGAGTATGTCCAGAATTAGGAGTATATGTTATATGTTATAATGTAAACAAAAAAATTAGTAACTCGGCTAGGGAAATAGATGGCTGTTAGTAACAGTATGAAAGTTTTTTGGTTATAATTGAATAATTTAGACATATTAAGAGTGCCAAGAATATAGAATTAAGTTATACTGGAAGAAAATATTGTGTTTTTTAGACTTTTAAGGTAACTGTTTTAGTGTCAGGCTACAACAATAGAGTTAGAACCAAAGAAAAAAGTCACAGGAGTTGATGAAAGGTTGAAGGAGAGTGTTATCATCTTAGTCAAGCAAAAAAGATAAATCTTTTTAAGGAGAAAAGGAACAGAAGGCAATGATGTTTGGCTTGTAAATCATGTGTAGTGAGGTATAGGAAAAATAGATTTTTTGAGAGATAAATTTGAGAAGTTTTAGAAAGGAATATATTTTAGAATTAAAAATTAAAGTCTCTTGTAATTTTATTAAGAATAAATTAATTATTTTATGAAAACCTTGTTTTAATATAGATGACCAAAGTTTTAGTTTTGTATTCATGTATTTTTAATATTAAAGCTTAATTTTTAGAAACATAAATAATTTTTAAATTATAGTTAATTTTATATATAAAATTTTTTAATAGTTTTTTTTCCTAGCCTGCCATTAAGCCAGAAAAGGATATTAATAAATTTTTTTATGAATCTTAGTATAAGTTATCTAAACCATTATGACTTGTTTGGATTTTTTGTTTTGTGTTATATTTTTTAAAAATTGGTCATTTTAGGAAAAAATTTATTATATATGATTTTTTTTCATATAAAACTATTTTTAAAATAAAAAATTAATAGTATCTTTATATTTATAATTTTTGTCTTTTTCTTATTTATTGGTGTTTAAAAATTTGTTTTGAAAATAATCTTTGAATAATCTCTGAATTAGGCAAAATTATTTTTTATAAAGAACATATGCCTTTTAATACTTTTTAAAATTAACTTTTTTGGTGTGTTATGTATGAGATTATATTAATCATATCTTAATTAGAAATTTTAATTCTTAGTAATCTTAAATTTTACTAAAAATCTAGGAAGAAAGTTTGAATTGTCTGTCACATATCAGTTTTATAGATGAGAATCATTCTATAATTAAAAAAATATTTTTATAACAATTTTTAAAAAGTGGAAATGACCCAAATATTTAATGAGTACCTATTATTTAACTTTAAGATTTTAAATGTTATGAAAAGTTTAAGTTTATATATATTATGAAAACTGAGGTATTAGACAAATGAAGTCATCATTTTAAGTTATTTTCCTGTTTTACTTTTATAGCTTGTAAATATCAGGTATTTAAGTAAGAATCTTAAAGTTAAATATACGGGTATTTTTGTTGGTAACTTAGAAGATATAACTGTTTGTATTAAATTAACAATGTTAAATTCATCTTTATTACAAATTATATAAACAAAGATTATTTTGTTTTGAGCTGTATTTATAGCTTTACAACTTTTAATGTCAAGTTCTGACAGCTCAAAGTATCGAGTAGAGAGAAATATAAAATTGTCTGACCAGTAAACCTAAGCAAAAAGATATATTGACAATTTAAGATATTTTTATTTTTATTTTATCAATAATTTTAAAGCCAGTTTATTTATTAAAGTTTATTTAAGTCAAATGAACTTCAAAAATATTTCAGCTTATTAATTTATGAGCGCTCATTATTTTATGTTACTTTGGTATTACGTAGATACAACATATGTGTGTATATATATATACACATTTAAAAATAAATATATACATATACACACACACAAATGAAGATCTTATAGCTGTTATTTTAGAAGTTTAGTGATGAGATAGTAATATAGCCTCACTGGCTTATAAAAGATGGTTGGATTCAAAGTATTTTTGACAAAATTGGGAACTGTTTATATGGCTACACTTTATTTGTCCTGAAGGTAATCTTATGAAGGCTATGGAGCAAAATTTTGGATAAAGTATTAAATAGTTTTAATGACAGTTTGATTTAAAAACCTCTTTTGCTCCTTTTTTTCCCTTCAGTTTTAAGTGAGCGTAGGGTTATATCTTTAATGTTTACATTTTAGCTACAACTGGCTGAATTGTGTAAGAAAAATAAAATCTCTAAGTAGCCTTGAAGTAGTAACACCATTAAGTAGTCAGTTTTATCTTACAACCAGTAGAAAAGACTGCAGATTTAAAATAGGCAGAAAAAAAAAAAAAATAGGGAGATGGAGAACTTATAAGACTCTACATGTTAACTCCATATTGTAGGTTTTTTGAATAATGATCATTTGAGTTTTGAATTTTTCTTGATGTAATTTGTCTATCAATTTAAAAATGTGTACATGAACAGGCCATAACATATAGTTTGCTGAAGTCCTAACAAATCTGGCATGCCTTCATGTCTGAGAATCCCATTTTTGGCCATTATAGTGTTAAATCTCTTTTAGTAAACTCCCATCCGGGGAGATACTTGCAAGCAGAGGCTCATATGTGTTATCCATGAAGCCTGGGGAGCACTGACTGAAGGTTGGTTGTCTGGCATCCCTGTGGTTTCAGTTTCGGATGATTTATTTCCCATCGTGAGAGCCTTGTTTATGGAGTCCAGTTGAAAGGGAAAGAAAGCGCTGTCACAACCTAGCCAATCAGACAGCCTCACACATCTGTTCCTTCCTAGCATCTTTCAAGCAGGATTCCTCTTCTTGAGAAACAAAATTCTCCAGGAAGGACTTATCCTTTCCTCAAGGAGTGAGAGCAACTAGCTGATTAAAAACTCAAGACGGTCAACCAAGTGGGAGGCCCGAGACTCAGGAGAAACTCACCCAGTTTGCAACCTTTGGGGAGCTGGAGGGGCTCAAAGGGTAGGTGCTGGCACCAAGGATCTGGGTCCCCAAAATGTTTTGGACAACCCTTGACAGTCTGCTCTGGATCCCTTTGTGGTTGCCATGATTGTCTATTAAAGAAAAAAAAAAATCAAGCTTTTTTTGAGTCAGAGTCTCACTCTGTTGCCCGGGCTAGAGTGCCGTGGTGTCAGCCTAGCTCACAGCAACCTCAAACTCTGGGCTCAAGCAATCCTCCTGCCTCAGCCTCTCGAGTAACTGGGACTACAGACATGAGCCACCATGCCTGGCTAATTTTTTCTATATATTTTTAGTTGGCCAATTAATTTCTTTCTATTTTTGGTAGAGACGGGGTCTTGTTCTTGCTCAGGCTGGTTTTGAACTCCTGACCTTCAGCGATCCACCCACCTCGGTCTCCCAGAGTGTTAGGATGACAGGCGTGAACCACCACGCCAGGCCAGAATCAAGCTTTTAAAGAACTTACGTTGGTTTTATTTAGATGTCTTACTGAGGACTACAGACTGAAGTCTACAGCCCGGTACCAGCCTTTACAGAGGTTCTAGTGGACTGTTTTAATGCAGTATTTTAGCTTACAGTTTATATATAGGTGGTGGAGATTTAGAGTACATCTGGTTATAGTTTAGAAAAGCATCACCACCAACTTCCTCAGACGTATGTGGAGGAAAAGGCCAGGATGAATGCAGTCGTGGGAAGCCCTGTGCTCTAAACTGTTTTGTCTTCAAAGCATCTTTCTGGAAAGCTGTTCGTGGTCTCAGAGTCACACGCTTTGTGAAATGCCGCTGGCAAGCAGAGATGAGCAGTCGGTGGCTTCTTACGTTTGCTATTTTGTCTCACAGGAACAATTTATGACAACATGATTCAAATAAGTATAAACTATGCTTATGGGTAGGGGAGGTAAAAAGGCAGAGCTCATGGCGAGGCCACCTGTGTTCCTCCCTGTGGCTCAGGCCCAGAGGCAGCTGTAAGTGCCCGAGGGGCCAGTCCTGGATCTCCAACTGCCAGGGTTACATAGTCTGTGTCCTTGGGTGGTTATATTTTTACCTACCCTGCCTCTTTATGCCTCAGTCTCCTTATTAAAAAAAGGAGGGGTGGGAGAGACTAAAATATCTCTCCAAGAGGCAGTAAGGCCAGAGGTGAAAGGTCTATAGACTGCTTGTACCAGGCACTGTTGCAGTTGTGCTTCAGCCACTGTTGACAGTGTGGGAAGGGTTGGCTAACGCCCATAACATAAACAAAATTTAAAAATAAAAAATTATAAAATGAAGGAGGGGATTTTTCTCTTCAAGTATGAGGCTCCCAAGGCTAGGACCTCCTCCTCCCACTCACACAGACGGGCACACAAGGGAGCGAGTAGGGCTTTTTTCTACCAATATCTCTCTGCCCCCCAAAGTGCCATGCCGCTTCAGAAGGGACTTCGACTGGCTTCAGGATCTCCGTCCTGTGGCCACGGCCGGTGGGAACGGCCCTGGCGCTGGGCCCGAGAGGCGGGGAGGGCCAGGCGCCAGCTGAGGCCGGGCTCTGTCCTGGGCGCGCCGAGGCCCGGGCGGCGGCGCTAGTCCCGCAGCAGGTGGTACTCCTTGGGTGCCCAGAGCAGGCGCGGGCGGCGGATCTCGGCCCGCCGGCCGATTTCCGGGCTCCAGCAGAACTCGGGCGACAGCACCTTGGCGGGCTTGTGCAGCCAGAAGAACTTGTTGAGGTGGCTCTCGTCGTGCCAGCGCGCCTCCAGGCCGCGCGCGCGGTCCCGCCGCAGGCCCTGCGCGCAGTGCGCCGTCAGCTCGCGCAGCGCCGCCACGCTGCCCCCGAACACGGCCGCGTGGTAGTAGAAGTCGCCCTCGCCCGGCGCCAGCGCGGCGGCCGAGCGCCCGTCGCGCTCGAAGGGCAGCAGCAGGCGCGGCCAGTGGTAGTGCCAGGCGTGCAGCTGCGCCACCGACTCGGCCAGCGCCTCGGGCCCGAAGGCGCCGCTGAAGTGCTGGTCCACGTCCATGCAGAACACGAAGCTCGCCTCGCGGCCCAGCCGCCCGCCCAGCGCCGCGTGCAGCGTGCGCATGCGCCCCATGCACACGTCCTGCCAGCGCCCCTCACGCGCCACTAGCTCCACGCGCAGCCGGCGGCCCGGGCCCAGCGCCACGCGCGGCACGGCGGCCGGCCGCTCGGTGAACACGTAGTACACCACGCGCTGACCCACCATGAAGTGCTGCTCGGCCGTCTCCAGGAAGCGCGCCAGGTACTTCTCCAGGTACCTGCCAGGCGGGGCGGGCGGCACGGTCAGCCTGAAAGCGGCGCCCCGCGCGGCGTGGCCGCCCCTCCCTCACCCCTTCATGCCGCCCGGTGCTCCCCATGCCAGTCCGTGGGACTGCGGAACCTTCCAGTCCTGGAATCGTTCAGCTTTGGGGAGGGTCGGGTTAAAGATGCTTGCCACACTTGCGCTGTGCTGGCCCTGTGAGGGACTGGCAGCAGTCGTCTCTTTAGAGCTCTGCCATGATGTGAGGAAGCCCAACCTAGCAGTGAGGAAGAGGGGCCCCACCAGTTTTCAGCAGTTGGTCTCCCATTTGAGACCTAGGCATTTGGGACCGGTGGGGAGCCCTTCCTGCTGAATCCTGTCTGAATTCCCGACTCACAAAATTATTGTGTGAGCTATAATTATAAGTTGTTTTAAGTCACTGGGTTTGTTTCTTTATCCAGATAACCAGACTGCTTGGAATACTGGACACTTTATATTAACAGACCTCGAGATTAAATAGTAATAACGCCTAATATTGTGAACATTTATCATGTGGCAGACACAGTTGAGTCTGTGTGTTATCTCATTTAAAGAGCTTCAGTAACTTGTACAAGTATGCACAGTGGTAGAGCCAGGATTTGAACCAGCTTGGCATTGGATCCTGTACCTTTACTCACAGTTTGCTCCATTTCTGGTGGAACTGTGGGAAACGAATCAGAGACCTAGGAAATAGCATCCCAGGGTGTTGGACTCATACCATCTTGGAACTCAAGATCCTGGAATTTCTTTTCCTTGAGACCCTGACCCCTAGGACTGATGCAGAAACACCCTACTCGGTATGCATAATGGAAGTGGAGGCATCAAGGCCCTGGGAGAGGCCAAGGCCCCAAGTGGCTTACTGTGAATAGTTCTGCCCATCTGGTCCATGGGTCATTCTTGGCCCTGTTTGCCCCCTTGCCTTTCTTTTTCTTTTCTTTTCTTTCTTTCTTTCTTTCTTTTTTTTTTTTGTTGAGACAGAGTCTCGCTTTGTTGCCCAGGCTAGAGTGAGTGCCATGGTGTCAGCCTAGCTCACAGCAACCTCAAATTCCTGGGCTCAAGCGATCCTGCTGCCTCAGCCTCCCGAGTAGCTGGGACTACAGGCATGCACCACCATGCCCGGCTAATTTTTTCTATATATATTAGTTGGCCAATTAATTTCTTTCTATTTATAGTAGAGACGGGGTCTCACTCTTGCTCAGGCTGGTTTCGAACTCCTGACCTCGAGCAATCCGCCCGCCTCAGCCTCCCAGAGTGCTAGGATTACAGGCGTGAGCCACCACGCCCGGCCGCCCCCTTGCCTTTCAACAGCCCTCCTGGGGTGTAGGGACAGACTTGGAGGAGCCTTGAACAGTTGTCTGGGGTATCTGATAACAAAATTCCCTCCCCAGAGTTTCCAGTATCTCTTCCTGGATGGGAAGCTCTTACTGCCTTCCCAAAGCAGTCTATTCCATTATTAGGAATGCTTCCTTTAATTACCCTGAACTTTGTTCTCTGTATCTTGGGGGATGTAGGATCTGATTGCCACACTAGGCCAGGAGTCCCTTTTGCATCACTTGTGGCAGGTGGACACCTGGCTTGGACACCCCGTCCCGTCTATAATGGGGAGGTCAATGCCCCTTCCATTTCTTCTGCACACCTAGAAGCCCATCCATTGCCCGGGTGCCTCGGTCCTGTGATTGCCCTCTCTGCAGTGGTTCTGTCCTCCTCCCTCCTTCATCACCTGCTCGCATGGCCACTTCCTTGACTTGGTCATACCAGTGTCTGTCCCACTCTGTGAGGACTACATCCTTCTGTTCTCATTTGTTTTTTTGTTTGTTTTGGGGGCCATTGAGGCCCATGAAGGTCCAGGAGTGGGACTGCAGAGGGTATTCGGGCCACTGGCCCTAGCCTAGCCATCCAGGCTGCTGTTGCTGGGGTCTGGGGCCCAGAGCCTTGGTGGTGCTTGCTCTGGTGCTGTGACCTCATCCTTCTAGCTCACTTACTCTGATTACTGCCTCTCTCCCTTCCCCACAAACAGTCCTCCCTCACTGAGTCCTCTAATCTGGCGACCCTGCCACTCTCTCAGTGTCTGTCACCCTCTTCTCTTTATTTCCCTCTTTACCCAGTTTGGATTCACTCCCTTGAAAAACTCCTCAGCTCCCCAGTCCCTCTCCCTCCATCAGGCATGCTTGGCACCCCCAATTCCCACTATGTGCCTGCACCTTAGCCCCTGACCTCCAGTGGGCACTTACTGCAGAAGATCATCCCTGTACTTACGCAGTCACTCGCCCTCTCTTGTCATCACTCTCACTTGAAAGACTTCATGATTTTCTCACCACAAACCCAGTGTCTCCAGATGGACCAGCTCCAGCCCCTGGGCAGCCCCTTCTAGACATGGTTCTGACCCCCTGGCTACCTGTGTTGGGTGGGCTGTATGTTGCTAGTGTCCAGGGAGGCGGAGAAGGGTGGTCCTGTGCTCACCGTGAGTGCCTGGGACAAGGGGTACTGTCCTCTTGCTTCACTTTGAGATCCGATGGCACAGGGCACAGGGGAACAGAGTGCCCCACTTCCTACATCACATGCATACACCTCCCACTCCCTGCCTGGGCAGCACCACTCCCCTACCCAGGCCTTACCTGCCTATAGCAAAGACAGTCAGCCCAATGGTGAGGTTCTTCTGTCCAGCCTTTTTCTGGACCACATCTGGGTCGAAGGTGCCATCCCAAATAATGGGAGCCCCCCAGGAGGTACACGTCAGGACTTCAGGCCGGGCCCTGGCCAGGGTAGGGATGGGAGACAGCTCCATTCATCTGCCCACTTGGTGCATGCTCACTGCCACCTTCATTCCTTCTTCCACCCACAGATGGATCAGTCCCTGTCCCTAGAAGCCCTTAGCTTAGAACAACAGTTAGAGGACTGGACAATGTGTGGCCTGATGGGGCTGCTGGGGTTGACGGGCAGAGCGCCTGGCTCTGCTGGGGTGGGGCAGAACTCTGTAGGGTTGGGGGTGCTCTCAGAGTGGGAGGGATGGTAGCTCTTACCAGGGACGCAGGACACCTGTGAAGTTGTCTCTCAGCAAGGACATTGTGGCCGCTGGGCAGACGCCCATGGGGATGAGAACTTCCAGATGCCTGTGGGGTGGGGACAGAAATGAGGGATGGGTCGGCCTGCTCAGGAGCCTTCTTGCTGTGCTCCTTACAAGGAGGGAGAGCCCACGAGGACATGTGCCCCAGCCGAGCTAGCCACCACCCTTCATCCCTCGGGAGGCACTCGGAAAGACTCACTTTAACCCTGACCCTGGTGGTCCCACCTCAAGGGCTGGGGGAAGTGGCTTGTACCTGACACTAGGGAGCCCATACAGGAGTAGGCCTAAGAGGCCAAGTGCAAGTAGGATCCGTCGCCAGAAGATTCTCTTCCAGGCCCTGAGGGGAAAGGCATTTGTTTATATCTATCCACACTTATTTATATGTACATGTATATGAGAAATTATTTGTATAATTTTAACGTTTCATTTTATTTGCCTTTTTAAATGAGAATATATTCTATTCACATGGTACAGACATTCAGAGGGATAAAAGAGTATACACGTGAAAAGTATTTTCTGTTTCTGCTGACTGGTTCCTCTGCATGGAGGCAGCTGGTGTTACCAGTTTTTGTGTGTCCTTCAAGAGATGGTTTACACATTGCTTCTTGGCTTTTGGGCTAAGATCAAGTGTAGTATCTGTTCTTATCAATTGAATATCTGATATGTCCTAAAATTTAAAAAATTTAACAACAATGGTTTATGCATACACAGGCAAATTCTTTCTCTCTCTCTCTTCGTCTTTCTTTGTTGCCCCCACAAATGGCAGCACAGTGGACAAGCCATTCTGCAGTTTTCCTTTTTCAGTGACCATTACATCTATGAGGCTAGTCCATCTTGGTACTTAAGGAACATCCTTCCCCTTTTGTCCAGCTGCCACTGACTGGAGAAGGCATAATTTGCCTGGCCAGGGCCCTGAGGATGAGCATCTAGATGGCCAGTCCTTTGCTTTCCTCGGCAATGCTGCAGGGCATGACTTTGGGCACGTTTAGGGGCAGTAACCTTGTGGGTTGGGGTGCTTAGCCTGGATGGGGGGGTGAGACTGACCTCGGCCCGGAGGAGAAGGCCAGGGGAGGGTGCAGAGGTGTTTGTGGGTTTATAACTGGGGATTGAGAGCTGCCTGGGTCTTAGAGACTAGTCTCGGGGCTGGCTGTAGTCAGAGACCACGTGTCTGTGGTGGCTCTAGTCACTGGGCCGGTGAGTTCCTCCATTCCTGGCTCAGAGGATGTGGGCTTTGGGATTTGTCCATGGTTAGTTAGTTGTTTTCCAGGAAGGGCCCCAAGTGTTGAGAATTTTGACGAGCTCCTCCTGGGGGGCATTCTCCCCTCTTCTGCTGTGTGCCCACATCTCTAGTGACACAGGAACCATGTGTAGGGGGCACAGACACTGGGGCCACATTCCTGGGTTTGAATCCCAGCTCCAACACTCATTAGCTGTCTGGCCTTGGGCAAGGTCAGTCTCCTCATCTGTAAGATGGGGATAATGAGAATACCAGCCTCCTAGGGCTGTCATGGGCATTGAGTAACACAGCTAAGTGACTAGAACAGGCTTTGCCCATTGTTCTTGTGGGCTCACTAAACTTCAGCTTTTGCTGCTGCTGCTGCTGCTGCTGCTGCTCCTTTTTCCTGAACACACTTCATTGTCCCCCGGGCAAACTCTTAGCTCTACTTGCTGCCTGACAAATCCTTCCAAAGTCTGGCTCCCCTGGTCTCCTTTTTGAAATCTGCTTGCCTCAAACCCTCCTGCCCCAGCCTTGTCTGCTACCCTGTAACCATTCCTCACTGGGTGTAACTAGAAAAGAGCTCTGAGACCTACCTTGCAGGGGGGTGTGTGTGCCCATGTCCACCTGGGCACATCTCAGCACATAGCACCTCATTCTCTTCACTCAGCCAAGCCAGAAACCCAGCCCCACCCCAACCATCCCCTCCCCCACCCACCGTCTGCCACCAGCCCCCAGGTTGGACTGACTTGGCCTCCTTGATCTCTGCCCCTCCTCCTCCCTGCAGCCCCAGTGACTCCCATGGTGACACTGGCCTGCTTGTCTGTCACCAGGACCATTGCAGTAGATCCCTTCCTGCTTCTGCTCAGTCCCTACACATCCCCAGAATCATCTTGCCTTAACAGTTCCCATGTCACACAGACAGGTGAATCCCCAAAGAAGAAATACATTCAGTATTCAAACATATGGAAAAATGTTCACTCTCACCAGTAATCAAAGACATACAAATTAGAACATGGTGGTATGTTTTGCCTATAAAATGAGCACTTAAAAAAAAGCTGTAATGAAAATAGCCAGGCTGCAAGAGCACAGTGAGCTAGGCACTCTTACACTTGTGGTGGGAGTGTGGTTGCCACAGCCCTTTGGAAAGCTACTTAGCTATGGAAATTGAAAGCTTTCGATATTCATCCTGTTTGATTCAGTAATTCCCAACTTCTGGGACTATGTTCAAAGGAGATAATCTTCAGTGGGAAAAGTTTATATATCGAGATGTTCGACATGTATCAAGCACTATGCCAGGTCATAGAATTTTTTTTTTTTGAGACAAAGTCTTTTTCTGTTTCCCTGGGTAGGGAGCCACAGCTCACAGCAACCTCAAACTACAGGGCTCAAGCAATCCTACTGCTTCAGCCTACTGAGTAGCTGGGACTATAGGTGTGCACCACCATGCCTGGCTAATCTTTCTATTTTTAGTAGAGATGGGGTCTCACTCTCGTTCAGGCTGGTCTTGGAACTTCTGAACTCAAGCAGTCCTCCAGCCTTAGCCTCCCAGAGTGCTAGGATTATAGGTGTGAGCCACTGCACCTGGCCCAGGTCTTGGATTTCAAGGTGAATGAGACACAGACTTTGTCCTCAGGGTGTGAAGTCAAGGAGACATGGGTGTGGGTGAGGGAATTACTCTCAAGCCACACTGAAAACAGATGAATGGACAGTTGGGGAGGAAGTCAGGAGGCTTTCTGGAGGAGGTGACCTCTGAGCTAGGACCTGGAGAATTAGAAGTGATCCAGGCAAAGAAGTCAGTGGAGGGGAAAGAAGGACCATGAAAAGGAAACAACAATGTGCAAAAAAATGAGGAAGTGCGAGAAAGCTTGGAATGTACCCTCTAGGGGTGGAGTGTAGAGTGCGATGGGGGTGGGGAGAGGCGAGGCTGCAGAGGTGAGCCGGGACCAGGGCACCCAGGGCCTGCAGTCCAGCCTCAGGGGTTTGGGCTTCATCTCCAAGGCCATGGGGAGTCCTGAAAGGTGTTTCCTCCAGGAAGTGACACAGTCACATTTTTGTCTGAAAAAAACCAGAAGTACCTCCAGCTGAACTGTTGAGCCTGACTCTGGTGGGGTGGGAGGGAGGGCACGATGGAGGCAGGAAGAGGAGTTAGGGGCCAGGGTGCCAGCCCATGGGAGCTACCGGGGCATGAACCAGGGTGTTGGTGGCTGAGTGGGGAGGAATAGGTGGAGTAGGGCTGTTGGGGCGTGGGGGAGGATGGGCAGGACTTGGCCATTGATGAGAGGGACAGGGCCGGAGGACTGGAAATCCCTGGTTGTCTGGCAGGAGGTAGGGGCTGGAGCCCAAAGGTGGGCAGGGACATTACATCATGGGAGAGGGAGACCCAGTGGGTAGAGGTGCAGGGGTGGAGGAGGGTTGGGGCGACTCCAGAAGTTTGGCTGTGAGGTCTAAGACAGGATAGAAACTGGAGGCGGCAGGGGGTTGGGATTGATGGAGGTGTGTTTGTTTCTGAAGGGTCTGGCTTAATAAACTTGTTATGAAGACTCTGCATTCATGTGGAAAAATGGTTACACAGGAACATTATAGGGAAAAAAGCAGGATCTAAAATCGATGTGCACCATGATCATAGTTTATCAAGAATAAAAATATGCGTTAGAAAATAAGTCTAGAAGGAAACACTTAAGTGTGCAATAAGATTACAGTAGAGTTTTTCTTTATTTTTCTCTCCAGTTGTCTATGATGTACTTATATTGCTTTTTTTAATAAAGGAAAATTTCAAAGTTAGTAATTTACCAGAAACCCAAGTTGTTTTATGACTTCCTGCTGACTGCAGGACAAAGACCCATCTCCTAGCCATGCCTAAGAAGCCTTCCAGATCTGTCCCCTCCACTGTAGCCTTGTCAGTGCTCACCGGCCCCTGGCCCAGTTTTCCCGCCTCTGGGAATGGCGACTCCACAGTGATCAGTCCAAGGATGGTCCCATAGCACCGTGTGAAAAGCAAATGGATATAAACAGCCTCAAGTTCATCAGTTGGGAACTGGATGAATGAATTATGCGTATCTATGGCAGGTTGAGTATCTCATTAATGCTTGAGACCAGAAGTGTTTTGGATTTTTTCAGATTTTGAAACATTTGCATTATACTTAACATCCAAACGTCCCTAATCTCAAAATCTGAAATCTGAAATGTTCCAGTGAGCATTTCCTCTGAATGTTCTGTTGGCACTCAAAAAGTTTTGGATTTTAAAGTGTTTCGGATTTCAGATTTTTGGATTAGAGATACTCAACCTGTACCATAGAGATCAAGGTGAACATTAAAAAGCATGAGATAGTTTTATATGTACTCTCTGAAAACAGACCCTAATCAGTGGAAAAGGGAGTAACATCACCAGTATGTGGAGGCCAGCTGTGCCTGTGGGAGGGAGAGCTCCTAACCTGTGTCCCTGTTTACAGTCATGTATGTCCGTAAAATACAGTCACATGTTTTATGTGTAGGAAGAGATCTGGAATAGTATTATCCAATAGAAATATGTGAGCCACATAAGTAATTTAAAATTTTCTAGTAGCCACATTTAAAAAGTGAAAAGAGACAGGTGTAATTTGAGACATGTTGGGTTAAATAAAAATATTGTTAAAGTTAATTGGTTTTAATTTTTCAATCTGTATACCTATGAGTCCTTCCTGACTCCTCTCAGTCCTGACACGCACCCACCAGCAATCCCTGTGGGTGCTGCCCACACCCAGCCTCCTCTCCTTCTGCTCCAGGCCACTATGTCCCTCACCTGGACAGCCTTCCCAGCTCCCCACCAGCCTCCTGCTTCTGCTCTTGCCCCTGCAGCCGCTGACGTGCATGCGAACACTGCCCTCCCCTCTTCAAGGCCTCCCTTCTCACTGCTCTTAGAGCCTAACTCACGCCCTGGACTCTAGTCTGCTCAGCTCCGTGGCTTCTGGCCTCTGCCACCTCCTGTCTCATCCCGCCGCTCTGCCCCTTCACAAGGCCGCCTGGCCTTCCAGCTCACCTCTGCAAGGCTTGTCCTCTCATCGTTCTAGTCTCAGTTACACATGTCCATCCTTCACCCTGCACCATGAAGTTTCCTAAGCTAGCAACGACTGTTTCCTTCCATTCTATATGTAGATTGTGCCTTTCCTGTCATCTACCAGCAAGCTCTGAATCATTCTGCAGTGCCAGCTTGCTCTTGTGTGGCACCTTGCTTGACATCCCCTTCCACTCCCTCCCCTAGTTTGCGCCTCTGTACCTCTTCCAGACCTCTCCTCCCGTCCTTGGAGACTCTCTACCCTGCCGCTAGGCTATGAGTTTCTTTGTTTTAGTAGACTTTGTATTCTTGGTGCCAAATCCCAGAGCCTGCCTTGTAATTCATAGTATTAATAATTATTTGTTCAGTAAATGAATGGAGCAATGAATGGGTCTTTGTCTTCATTCTCTTTTCTAAACTGTTACTTCTTTGCTTAAAACCCCATTTTCTTCAGGATTAAGTCTGCATTCCTTATTAATAATCCCAGACACCTACTGAGCCAGACATTTTGCCAAGTGTTTTATGTGCCTGTCTCATTGAGGTCTGACCACAGTCCCTTGAAGGAGATGCTGATTATCTCTACTGTATAAATGAGGAAACTGAAGCTCAGAAAGGTTAAACCACTTGCTCAGGGGTGCACAGTTGGTCAGTGGTGGGGCAAGCTTTGGGCAGGTCTGTCTGACTCCTGAGCCAGAACTTCCAGCGTGGATGGCATTTGGGCTCCTTTTGACCTGGCCCCAGCTCAGCCTTGAGGCTCCTCTTCCAAGGGTCCCAGCCTTGCTAGTTTTCGCTATAGGCTTGGCTTTTCCCAGGTCACCTCACGTTTCCAGCCGGTCACTGTCTATGCTGCAAGAGGCCTCCCCCTCCCCGCTCCATCTTCACTTCCTGTCCGAGCCAGGGCTGGCAGCAGCTGGGGTTTTCCGGCTCCTGGAAGCCCCGTCAAAGCTGATACTGGCAGCTGGCATGATTGCCTCGGGGGTGCACTCTGGGGATGCAGGGCACTATGCAGGGGCTACAGGGCAGGAAAAGGCTGGAGGGGCCTCTGCCTGCCCTGGTGGCTGCTCCAACCCTCTGCACCAGCCCCCTCCCAACCAGGGTAGGGCAGGCCGATACTTATCTCAGGCACTGGGCCGCAGCCAGGCAGAGCTAGTCCTGGGTGGCTCAGACAAGCTCCAGTGGTCAGATCCGAGAGGGTGTGGAGACCCAGGCCTGGGGTAGGGACCCACCAGCTCCTCCCGCCCCTTTCCGTAGCCCAGTCTGGAAGCCCTCAGTCTATGGAGGCCCCTGCCTGGCCCACCCCCCACATTCCTTGAGTAGATATTTCCAGAAGGACCCAGTCCCACCCCAGCTCTACCTGGAGAAGGTGGGCCCTTAAGCCCCACACTGTGCCCTGCTCCCCACTCTCCTTGCTTTTAAGAAAAGGTTAAAGATCAGCCATTGGTTCTTAAGGGGGAACAAGTTTCCAGTCCTGGGCGGTCAGCCCCAGTGGGGATAGAGAGAGCTCTGAGTTCCAGTGGGGAAGGAACGTGCCTTGGGCCTTTGCTTTCTGGCTCGCTAAGGGGGTTTAGAGGAAGCAGGAGGAGTCCAGCTTTCATCAGCTACAAGATCTCCTGGGGTACGGCCTCCCCCACCTCAGTATCCATCTGCACAGACTATCCGTCTTTCTACTCCTTGGACGACGTCCCCTCTGTGAGTCACCTTTTCCCAGGACCTGTACTTTTCTCTGTACTCAGCTAGTACTCAGTGGCTAGCTTTGGTACCTCCCGTTTGGACTGTTTTGGCCACCAGACCGGACCCCTCTTAAGTCAACAGTCCCCACTCACCCGAGTCCCTCTTTGAGAGCCATTATCGAGAGGCTGATAGGACAGACTGCAACGAACTCTCTCAGCTCAGAGCCAGGGAGGAAATGGCCTCTTGCTTGAGAAGCGGCAAAGCAGCTCCTGCCCGCTGTGTCAGGAACCACCCTCACAGTAGCGAGCAGGGATGGACTGTCTGAGAGGGACCTGCCCGGGGCGGGCCCTCCTGGAGGAAACTGGCCCCAGGTGCCCGTGGGGCTGGCAGCCCCTTTGGGACCAATCACCTGGAAGAGGGTGGATCTGAGTAGGCCAGCTCTGGTTGGCTGGAGGGAGTGTTTTTGTGTAGACTCCTCGCCCTTCCCCAGGGGTCAGGGTATGGTGTTTGCCACCCAAGGGAAACCTGGTTCTGCACAGAGCCTCAGCTCAGGCTGAGCTGCAGGGCACTGGACACTTGATTGTGACCTTGGACAGTTCGCCACATGGAGTCCTTTACCTCCTCAGTAAAATGGTGTACATACACCAGTCCCCAGGAGAGTGTGAGATCACGGATGTGGAGCAGTTCTGGAAAGTTTACTCTGGGCAGCATTTTTAAAAGTGAGCTGCGACCCATCAGAGGGCTGTGAAATCAGATTAGTGGATTGCGACCAAGATTTAAGAGTATGAACAGGAAGAGAAGTGAAAAGAAAATATCGGAATGTATTGTGTATAAGGGTAGGTTTTGTTTCATGAAATCTTTCCATTAATATATATTTAAGTGTGTATACAAGGTTGGGAAATATTTTTCAAAACGGTCACGATTGGCTGGTGGCTCACACCTGTAATTTTAGCACTAGGGTGGCTAAGGTGGGAGGGTTGCTTGAGGCTAGGAGTTCAAGACCAGCCTGAGCAAGAGTGAGACCACCTCTACCCCAATCTCTACAAAAAATAGAGAAAAAATTTAGCCGGGCGTGTTGGTACGTACCTGTAGTCCCAGCTACTCAGGAGGCTGAGGTGTGGAGGGATATTTGAAGCCCATGGAGTTCAAGGTTGCAGTGACCTGTGATGAGGCCAATGTACTCCAGTCTGGGCCACAGAGCAAGACTGTCTGGGGGTGGGGAGGGAACTGGGTCATGATCAAAAAGCATTTGCAGGCCAGGCGCTGTGGGCGCTCACGCCTGGTAATCTAGCTCCTCTGGGAGGCTGAGGCGCTGGACTTGCTTCGAGGTGGGGAGTTCGAAACCAGCCTGAGCAAGAGCGAACCCGTCTCTACTATAAATAGAAAAGAAAACTTAATTGGCCACTAAATATATAAAAAAATTAGCCGGGCATGGTGGCTCATGCCTGTAGTCCCAGGGCTACTTTGGAGGCTGAGACAGAAGGATCGCTTGAGCCAGGAGTTTGAGTTGCTGTGAGGCTAGGCTGACGCCAGTGGCACTCACTCTAGCCTAGGCAACAAAGCTGAGACTCTTCTCAAAAAAAACAAAAACAAAAACAAAAAACAAAAAGCATTTGCAAAATTCTGTGTAAAATGTAAATGATAGGAGCAAATTTATTTTTAAGGACATACCCTTCAAACTTGGAATAGGTTGGGACTTTTCACCCCCCCCCCCCCCCCTCCCCCCCCCCCCCCCCCCCCCCCCCCCCCCCCCCCCCCCCCCCCCCCCCCCCCCCCCCCCCCCCCCCCCCCCCCCCCCCCCCCCTAATAAATAAAGAACATGGATACTTACTTATCTGTGAGTTGGAGTGGTTTTGCTTCCCTCCCTCTTAACCACATATATAAGAACAAACTCAGGTGAGGCCTGATCTTCATTTTCTTCCATAAAGGGAAACTCTAGGTCCAGGAGGTAAATGGCCCAGAGTCCTGGAGGCCAGCAGAGCAGCTGCGTCACATGGCCCTCATCCCTTAGCATGTGAGCCCCCTGCCAGCTCAGGGTCCTGCTAGCTACTCCCTGCCTCCTGAGACACATGGCTTTCCAGCCCCTCCTTCTACCCTTTGGGGATTAACTAATGGGTTTCTTTCTCCTCCTCCTCCAGATAATGGTTACATTTTAACAGGCATTCCAGAGAGCAGTTATCAAGATACGAGGAGTATTGGTTCTGTGCTTAATCTTCCTTTAGAGGTTCTGATTCAGTAGGTTGGGGCCTGGCTCTCAAAACCCATTTTTTTTTTTTATTTCAGCATATTATGGGGAAAACCCATATTCTTAATAGGTGGAAACACTGCCTTAAGGACAAGCGTGAGGCTGGGCGCGGTGGCTCACGCCTGTAATCCTAGCACTCTGGGAGGCTGAGGCGGGCGGATTACTCAAGGTCAGGAGTTCGAAACTAACCTGAGCAAGAGCGAGACCCGTCTCTACTAAAATAGAAAGAATTAATTGGTCAACTAAAAATAGATAGAAAAAATTAGCTGGGCATGGTGGCGCATGCCTGTAGTCCCTGCTACTTGGGAGGCTGAGGCAGGAGGATTGCTTGAGCCCAGGGGTTTGAGGTTGCTGTGAGCTAGGCTGACACCACGGCACCCTAGCCCAGGCAACAAGAGTGAGACGCTGACTCAAAAAAAAAAAAAAAAAAGATAATAAGCATGGTCAAGAGGAAGGAACAGTGAGGCCAGCTGCCTCCTCTTCCGTTCCCCCAAGGATGCAGGGATTTCGCCATACAGGACAGGGGATGCAGTGCTTGTTTTCACCCTCAGCCTGGTTTCTAGCGCAGGGCCTGGTTCACAGAGGCCGTGGTCAGCACATGCCGTTAGCAGCACACATGGCATCCCGTCCAGCTGGCTTGACTCCCACTCACCCACATGGCAACGTTCCCGCTTCTGCCTTTGCACATGCGGCCTTGGTCTGCAACGCCCTTTCTCCTCCTTTATTCAAGGCTTAGGTGTTACCTCCTCTGTTCTTATCATTTTCTACTTCAGCATCCAAAAAATGCTTCAAAAGTGCTTTGTGAACCAAAGCTGTCCCAAGGGCTCTTCTGGACACTGGGTAGCTCTATCCAGAGCTGTTTGTTGGAGGTTGGGAGTCTGAGGTCTGCCCCAGGTGTTCCAGATGCTGCTGGCCCAACAGAGTCCGTCTCCCAAGTGGGAATGGGTAGTGGGGCTGACAGTCTTAAGTGGCTTCTGGATCCTCCCAATTCAAAGGACACTCGTGTGAAAAACAGCTGGTATTGACTTTTCCCCCAGTGTGAACTGGGGTTAAGGGCATCCTCAAATGACCTGGCCCCAGCAAAGTGTGGAGAGTATGCTGTCTAGTTAAGGCCACTTCCCAGCCCAGGGACCCACCTCTCTCTGTATGGGTGAAAAGTAGCCATTTGGGCCTAGAGATAGGCACCCCTACTGAAGAAAGGCACAGAGGAGATGATGGATTTTACAGATTTATTTTTAAAAAACAAAAAAGGTTAAAAAAGTCCTTCATTTCCAACCCTGGCTGGGGGTGCGGGTGGGGAATAGAACAAGCTGAGAAAGGTGCCCACCCCCTTTCTGCAAAGGACACCCCCAGGAGCCTGCAAAGGACAGGGCAAGTCAGAGGCAGGCCCTCGCCCTTCCTGCCCTGCCGCCTCCTCAGGCAGCTGCAACTGCTGCTAGCAAGTTTTATAGGCAAAGAAGTGTGGGAGCGGGAGGCCAAGAGCTGCCTTCCTCACATCACATCACGGTCACATCAGCGGTTCTCTCCCCTCAGCGTTCACTGGGGCTTGCAGGGCAGCCGGGCAGGCGGGCTTTGCGGCCCAGCCCACCGCAGCTTGCTTAATGCTGTTTGTGAGCCAGGAGGGCGGTCAGGGGAGCTTCACAGTGTGGGGCAGGGGGTCAGAGACACCTTGACCAGTCTGGAAAGGGAAATCTCCCGATCTCTGTCTTTCTCTGATCTTGCCTCTCTGCACCGGGCTGTCCTTCTTTGCTATTCCCCATCCTGAGACCGAGTGGAGTCCAGGACAAAGCACTAAGTGGCTGTTTGCTACAAAACACCTGGAGATGCCAGAGGCTGGCCCTTGGCCCATCTGTCAGTCCAGGCTCCCACACAGTCATACAGTCATACACACAGCGTTAAGGCGTCTGTGCCAGCAGGCATGGCCCAACTGGGCCCAGCTTCTCTCTCTCCACCTGCAGAGGGTATGGGGGGAAACCCCGGCTGCTGCAGAAGCAGGCTGAAGGGGGAGAAGCTGGCAACGGAAGAGTTAACCAGGCCCGGAGAAAGAAGTGGGAGGAAGGAAGGCAAGGGCTTTCTAGGCCTCTATCCAGGCCTGCTGGCTGCCCTTGGAAGTAACCCAACTCAGGTTGGGGAGCCCTGACCATATACCCCCTGGAAAATGGGGGACAGAGAAAGGGGAAGAGAGCGGGGCTAGAGGATTGGGACTTTGGAGGAAGCCAGTGCTATCAATATTTACAAGCATAAAGCCCCATCTTCTTTGCCACCTACCTCTCTGCCCCTCCCACAGAAATGAAAGGCCCCTGAGAGCCACGGAGGAGGTGCCCAGACCTCCTCACCAGCCATGCCCCTAGGGAGAGCCCCTTCCCTCCGACTGGCCCCATTTCTGGGCCCCTCAGGAATGTCTGTCTGGCTCTGCTCAGTCGGGAGGAGGAAGCCTGGGCCAGAATGCTGGCTGCCCGGCCAGCCCTAGGAGTCCTTGAGCATGCTGATGCGAGCGTAGATCTTCAGGGCGGGCCCCAGCTTGATGTTCATGGCACTCATCAGGTGGTCCTCCTTGAGCAGCAGCAGAGCTTGCCCGTCGATTTCCTGGGCACGGAATTCCTCTGCTATCTCTTGGCAGCCTGAGGGAGACACCACCGAAGACGGTATCAGCCAGAGCTGCCAGTATTTACTCTTGGCAGCCACTGCACTTCAGACACATTGTCTTGTTTAATCCTCATAACCATACCTTGAGGAAGGTATTGCTATTCTTATTTTGCAGCTTGCAAGAAGCTAAGTGACTTACCTACCCATGGTAGCCTTGATCCATGCCTTCTTGTTTGTGCCCTTGTTCAGATCTCCCTCCAGGAACTGGACTGGCACTAGTGACCACTAAGGTGTTGTGGAAGTGACATCGTGTGATTTCCAAGGCTAGCTCAAAAAGGGCACAGTAGTTTTCACCTTGCTCTTTTGGATAATTTATTTTGGAGTAAGTCAGCCACTATGATGAGGACACACACTCAAGCAGCCCTCTAGAGAGGCCACATGGAGAGCAACTGAGGCCTCTTGCCAATAGCCTGCCATGTGAGTGAGCCACCTTGGAAGCAGATCCTCTGGCTCCAAACCTTCAGCAAAGTACAGTCCTGGCTGACGTCTTAACTGAGATCTCAGAGAGACCCCAAGCCAGAATTGTCCAGCTAAGCCGCTCCGAATTCCTGACGCACAGAGCCCATGAGAGAATAAGTGATGATTGTTTAAAGCCACTCAGTTCTGGACTAATTTGCATCACAGCAATAGGTAACTGGTACTGGGACAGGAGCGCTGCCGTGCACGCTGAGATGTGGCCATGTGTCAGAACTGGCAGTGGGCAGGAGCTGGACAGACTTGGAGGAGAGTGTTAGTGAGTGTTTAAGGTATCTTGCGAGACTAAGTAGATGGCCTTTGAGGAAGCTGCTGCGGAGGCCTACAGCAAAGTGAGGAAACTTAGTGGAGTTCGGTAAAAACAGAATCCCTGTTATGAAATGGAAAATTCTGCAACACTGTTGGTGGTGGTAACCCGGTAAGTTTAATGTACCTAAATGGACTGAGCTAAGGAGATTTTTGGGCAGAATACTGAAGGTGTCGCTTGGTTTCTTATAGCTGCTCATAGTAAAGTAAGAGGAGAGACAGAGAAAGTGAAAAAAAAAAATGTTCAACATAAAGGGGCTAGGATTTAAAAATGCCCAGCCTCTCCAGATGGTAAATGATGCTAAAATTAAGAAATGGTTTCTAGGCAAAGATCAAATCCAGGGCACAGTCAAGAAAACATGGCCAGGCCGGGTACGGTGGCTCATGCCTGTAATCCTAGTGCTCTGGGAGGCCAAGGGGGAAGGATTGTTTGAGCTCAGGAGTTCAAGACTAGCCTGAGCAAGAATGAGACCCCATCTCTACTAAAAAAATAGAAAGAAATTTGCTGGACAACTACATATATATATTAAAAAAAAATTAGCTAGGTGTGGTGGTGCATGCTTGTAGTCCCAGCTACTCGGGAGGCTGAGGCAGGAGGATTGCTTGAACCCAGGAGTTTGAGGTTGCTGTGGGCAGAGCTGATGCCATGGCACTCTAGCCTAGGCAAGAGAGTGAGACTCTATCTAAAAAAAAAAAAAAAAAAATTAAAAAAGAAAACATGGCCAGGTGACACAGAGGGTGTGAATTAAATCTTTTGTTAAGACCTCAGAGAGATCCAGTGCAATTCCTCAAAGAATTGTCAATCCAAAGGCTCCCTAAGGAGTTTCTGGGGAGGCCTCACAGACCTCTGTTCAATAGCAGAACTAAGAATTGTTAAGGGCGCTCTCCCTCAGCTGCCAAAAAAGCCAATGTACATAAAGGATTATCTCGAAGACAATTCTGGGTGTGGTTTTTGTCTAATGGAATGGACCCCCAATAAGATTCACAGCCCATAACGATTTTAAGAAATACTGAACTACTGATTTTAAGGGTCAGAGGTGATATAAACTAAAAAGCAGCAGGAAGGAGGCTGAGAAGACTACTATGCTGACAACAGGCTACCTTTCAGAGAAAAGGAAGGCTGACTCAGAGGCCAGTACCAAGAGTGAAAGAGAATCATTCTCAGGCTTGGAGTCGTAATCAGGGAAACACCAGCATGTGCCCTACTAGATTTCAGAACTGGTATGGATCTGTGACTCTTGTATGTTCCCCGTTTCTTCCCTTTTTGAGTGAGCAGGTGTACAGGGGTTATCCTGCACCTACCCCACTACAGATTGGGTTGGGGAGGGAGGGGAGCAGATAACCTGTCTCTAGTTTGCATGTCTTCAGATTGAGAGGAACCACACTTGAAGAGCTGGACCCAAGGAGCCTCATCCGTTATCTGTGTTTGAGTTAGAATTGTGATGGATGAGATGCTTTAATGACATGGGAGACTCTTGGGGAGTTTGGTAGGGGGCCGAGGGTATGTTGTGTGAGGAAGGAACATGAATCCCTAGGGTTCAGTAGAGAACTAGGGGAGCCTGTCTGTGAATGGCTGCCAGTGATCCCTGCTCCCCAGTATTCATGCCTCGTGAGTCTCCTCACAGCGAACATGAATGACCCAGGTGACCACTAGGATACAGCGAAAATGCCAGCATGTGTCTTCTGAGGCTAGGTGTAAAGGGCATGATGGCTCTGCCTTGCTCTTTCAGATCACCACCTGTGGGGAAACCTGCTGCCACGCGTGTCCTGAGAACACCTGGCAGACTGTGGAGAGGCCCATGTGGACAGGAAGTGAGACCTCTTGCCACCAGCCAGCCCCTGCTTGTAGATCACATGAGGTACCTTGAAAAAGTGTCCTACAGCCCTAGTGAAGCCTTCAGATAACCTCAGCTATCTTAACTGCAACCTCACAAGAGACCCTGCAGCAAAACAGCCCAGCTAAGCCACTCCTGCCTGAATTCCTTATCTACAGCAACTGTGTGGTGACAAATTTGGGGCATGTAGCATTAGATAAGTAACACACTGGGTGAAGCAACAGAGCCAGGATTTGGACCAGTTCTGTGTGACTCAGAAGTCTGTTCTTAACCACATTCCCCTCTCTGAGTAAGAGGCCTGTGGTTGCATCAGTCCCTGACCAGGTCGTGCACAGTGAGACTGGCAGACAGCAGAGAAGGTCCAGAAAGCATCTGAGTGGCGAGGCTCGCCTCTTCAGGTTCACGTCTGGATTCTCACAGCCTGCACGCCGCCACACAGGGCTCTTTCATGTCTTCCTGCCTCTGCTCACGTGCTCCCTCACATGGTCTCTCCCTCTCCCAAAGCACACCTGTCCACTGCCATTCAGCTTACATTTTCTTAATTTTGATATTCTCCTTGACAGATTTCCTATACTCCCACCTGACTCCCCTTCCCAACCTGCCCCAGGAGAGAGACAAGGTTAATTACATTATCATCTCTGCATTTCACACAGACCACTTACCATGCCAGAAAATATACTGAGTTATAGCTGTGGAATTTTATTTTTTGAGATGGGGGTCTTGCTCTGTTGCCCAGGCTAGAGTACAGTGGCTATTCACAGGCCTGATCAGAGCTCACTGCAGCCTGGAACTCCTGGGCTCAAGTGATTCTCCCACTTAGCCTCCCAAGTATCTGGGACTACAGGTGTACACCACCGTGTCCTACTAGCTATGGAATATTAGGAATATTATTTTTGTTTGTGTTCTGCACTAGAATATAATCCCTTCCAGGCAGGACCTCCTCTTGTTGATCTCTGTACCCAAGTTCCTGGACCTGAGTCATTAACTGAACTACCTAATCCTCCTGGTGGGGGGAGATGAAATCTCTCACCCCCTCCCATTCCTTGCTATTCGAGGCAGGCATGGAACTTCCAAGGGCCTTACCTGGCAGAGAGCGGATGAATTCGTAGACATCTTCCACGTTCCATTTGGTGGGCTCACTTGGCAGGAAGTGATGTCCCATGCCCACCAGGTCCCGCATGTGCATGTCGGGGAGCTCCAGGTCCCGCTGGCCTTGTCGCCGGCGGGAGGTGGATGAGCTGGCTGAGATGGGTGACAGGGGTTCCTCATAGCTTGAGTTATCTGAGCAACGGCTAGAGTCTTCCTGGCTGTGTGTTAGCTGCAAGGCAGCAGTAACTGAAAGGGGTACAGTGCCTGTTGGCTGGGAGCAGAGAGAAACAGTTTTTTTTTCAGGAAATAAACCATCTCTAACAGCAGTGCGGGGCACAGGCAAGCGTTTCTCTCTTCTCTACCTGGGTTACTACTCCATATCTTTGAGTTCCTAGATCAGGTATCATTTTCTGTGCTGTCCCCTCTCTGACCCTAGGCAGAGTTAGTCCCTCCCAGTATTGTCGCAGGTACCACACTGTACTGCAGTTATCTGACTACATGCCTATCTTTTCTTCTAGACGCAGGGTTTTAAATTTGGGCTCTGTGGGTTTCAGGAAGTGGTCTATGGACCACCTGAAATAGCATGTAAAATGTCTTTTGTATGTACATTTTGGGCCACAGCTTTCATCATTCTTCAGGAGGTTTAAGATAAAAATAATAAAAACAAGCAAAATACACATAAGGTTATGAAACATCATACTAGGCTGTGAGTTTCTTCAGGGCAGGACTGTCCTTAGAGCCTCAGTGCCTAACAGAGTTCCTGGCATGTGGCTGATGCTAAAAAGTTATTTAATGACTGAATCCTCATGTTTTTGGTAGGGACCGTCAAGAATTCACTGCTCTAGTATTCAAGGAGGCAAAAAGGTGGCAGATAAAGGGTGTAGGCTGCCTTCTCACCTACCTCCATGTCAGACAGGAGGTGACCTGAACAGCCTAGGGGAGACCCCATTTCCATGACCCCAGAAGTCAAGGATAGAGGCAAACCGGAAGGTGAGGGGTGATGGTGGGACAAGGCCAGTGAGGGGAGTAAAGGTCCTCATAAGCACCCATGGATCTAAAGGAAGGGACCTACTAAGGGACATGGGGAAGGCTTGATTGGACAGATCTGTGAGAGATGAGAACACAATAGAGTGTACTGAAACCACGCTGGAAGGGAACTTGAGTGTCTAGGGTCATGTATGAAGGGCAGCTGGTGGGAACTCATGGGAATGGAGTGTCGGGCTCTGCCAGCATCTCACCTGCTTCTTGGTATCCTTGGTAAGTGTTGGCAGACTGGCTTTGCTGGCCCGACGGCGGTTGTGGGTTGTGGCTCCTGCCTTCTGCAGCTTGCTCCGGTCAGAGTGGAACAGACCCACGCGTTTGGTGCATCCCACGTTGTACCTGTCAGAGACGAGGGACTGGGGAGTCAGAGCAGTTGTGGGGCTTATGGTCTCAGAATGAGAGCAGCCATGCTATCTGGCAAAACCAGAGTCCATCTATGGTTCCACTCCTAACTCTGCCACTTATCACTAGCTGTGTGACTGGGCAAGTCACTTGAGCACTGAGCCTCGGTTTCCTTATCTGGAGTTGGGGGTAATACCACTCACTTTCGAAGACTGGTTACACATGACATGAGACTGTGAACTGTTTGACACGCTGACTTGGATCACAGTGAGAACTCACAGCTACATGTGCTACTGTAAATATCACCCGTGCCAGGAAACTACTGTTCACTGTCCTGCCGGAGAGCAGCTTGGCAAAGCTCGACAAAGGCACCTGGGCTATCTCCAGCACAGCCCAAGGGGAAGAGGGCTGAAGACAGTTGAACTCTAGCTTGGCATGCAGAGCACCTGCCTGGCACCTAGAGATTTCTTCTCTTTTGGGGGCTTAGGGCTTCAAGGTTATCCGCCTCTACCCACTTGGTACAGAGACCACTGAAGGCCTTAGAATCAGGTGAGTATAAATCTCTAGGTCTGTGACTTAGCAGCTATGTCATATTAGGCACAACTTCTCCTTTATGCCTTAGTTTGCCAACCTGTATAAAGGGGACAGTAGTAATACCCGTCTTGTGGAGTTATTTTGAAGATGAGATGATGCATATCGATTGACTAGGACAGTGCCCAGCAAATGGCAGCTTCTCAATAAATGAAGGTAGTTTTTATTATAACCATTGGTTTTCTAAGCAGGGCGAAAGCTCGCAAAGGGAACGCTATAGTGAGTGCCACGGTTCTGGACAAGGCTTCCCATGGAGGATACCCGAAGGCAGTGGGAGCTGCCAAGGGCAGGAAAGGGGAATGGGTGCTAGTGGGGCCCAGGAGGGCCAGCTGGCCAAGCCAAAGCGCTGCTTCCTTTCCTTGGACTCTTCTGCCCTCTCTCCATCTGCTCTTAGGTTCTGGTTTCTCATGTGTGTGTGGTGGATTAGGGATGTAACCCTGCTTCCACACAGGCCAAGGAAATAGGAAGCTGGATAAGCCACACATGTGGCCTTGCAGGTGGACTACTACCGTGTTTCCCCAAAAATAAGACCTACCCATAAAAGTCCTAGCAGGAATTCTAAGCATTTGCACAATATAAGCCCTACCCCAAAAATAATACCTAGTGATGGGTGTGGCTGTGCAGCGTATTTGCACAACCCGTGCACTTCGTGGCGGAGCGGTAAAGAAGATGAGCAGCCCTTCTCATCTGCCCCATGAGAGCTCTATTGCTCGACATGAGAGACTGGGGCCAATGGTTCTAAAGGAAATAGAGTCACAAGAAATTGAGGATGGAATTTGGGGTTTGGAGAGTTATGATGATGTTCCAGAAGAAAATGACTTAACTGTATTTGAATAAATGTAGATTATTATACTGGACTTAAAAAAATAATACATCTCCTGAAACCCTAGGGTGTCTTCTTGAGGAAAAATAAATATAAGACCCTGTCTTATTTTCCGGGAAACATGGTACTGGAAAGAGGAGACAAAGGCACAATGCTGAGGAAATGGAATGGGCTGGGCATGGCAGCAGGGCTGAGGTCACTCACCTCTTTGCACAAGCCATGGAACAGAAGCGCTTGGAACGCTTGAACTTGTAGGCAAAGTCCACCCGGCCACAGAGCTCACACTTGAGTTTGAGGGGTGTACCCTCCTCTTTGGATTCTGAAAAGCATGGAAACAGCAAAGTGTAGAGAATGAGAAACTCCTGCAGGACTGCAGACAGCCCCACCACAGACCTCCCTACGTCATCCTGCCTCTTCCTCCAGCTCCCACAGCTGTGAAACACAGCAGCAAGCTAGCTTGGAAAATGTCAAATTGTTCTCATTACTGTTTTTATAACAACTACATCCTCTCCCCCATAAAGCACCCAAGTGTCTGATGATGCCACTTGTATAGCTGACATTTTTCTCTTCCAAGAGCTATAAGCCTGAGGCAAAACACAAGTGGGGAAGAAACAGCCCCTTCTTAAGACAGTGGAAGAAGGCAGGGGGCTTGCAGGAAAAGCTCTGGATGCTGGGATCACACCATCCCACCTCACTCCATCTAGCTGGCGGCTGACCTGGGTAGCAGAACCCAGAGGCCTAAGCTGCTGTCACTGCACAGCACTGCTAGTCAGTGGTTCAGGTGGAAAATGCAGCTCTTGCCTAGCTGCTGCTGTGCCTCTGAGTGACCCCAGTCCCGTGCACAGGCTCCCCAGGCAGTAATGAAGGGCTCAACTTGCCTAGCACGGGTCCTACACTCACTCCTGCAACTTGCCAGTGATTCCCAGGGAGAATCAACTCTTAGCAACTTGTGGGTGGCTGGAGTGGGGTTGTAGAAGCAGGGGACAAATGGTTCCCCTGATTTCTCCCATCCCTGTTTTCTAGGGAGAGAGGCTGAGGGCACTGGGGAAAGTATTTACATACTCCCTGGCTCAGAGTTCCTCTATAGATATCAAGAAACAAAGCAGGGCCTGCCTTTCCAGCCCCATTGGAAGGCTATAAGATTGAGGGTCTGAGATGCCTACCTTGCAGATAGGGCTCTTCCATCTCCGAGTCAGTGGTGGTTGTGTGCTCTTGCTGTGGAAGTTTCTCAGGCAAGAACCCCTGTGCATACTTCTTCTTGAGATTCCCCACCAGCAGGGACGAACGTCCCACCTAGAGGACAGGTGATACGGAGGCCGTGAGGGTAGGTGGAGATGCTTCCATGCTGTCCAGCCTTATCACAATTACATATATAAAGTATCCAGGTGCAGATGCTAGCCCTGCTCCAACCTCCCCCCAGGTCATCATCCATGTGTGCCCTGCTCAAGGCCTTATTTTGCTGTTTAGCTCATGAGGCAAGATGCTAATGGGCAACAAAGTACAGAAATGGCTTCAGGCCAGGACCAATGGATCATTGCTCAGGAGTCTAAGGGCAGAGATCAGGTTTCCCACAGCTCCAGATCAAGTGCCAAGACCCAGTGCTCACATGGTGCCAGGCAGGGACAGGGCTGAGTCTGTGTGAAAGTGTGTGTATGAAAGACAGACTCAGCACTCGTTTTTTAATTTCTTAGTGTTGTCTACCTTACCACCGCCCCACCCAAGCCCAAGGTAAGGGCCGCTGTGAAAGAGAGCAGGATGACACAGACCGGGGCCACACAGCCCTCTGGGGTCGTCAGGATCCCAGAATGGCTTGTTCATGCTTTTGGCTCTCCCTTTGCTGCCTTTGTTCAGGCAGTCTGGTGGCTAGATCACATGGCGTCCGACTCTAGGGCGATGCTAGCCGTGCTATTCAATCTGCCTCCACCCTGTGAGCTCAGCTGGTTTCTAGTGTTACTCCCGGAGGCCCAGGGCAGCACCCAGTCTAATGAGGGAAAGGATGTAACAGAGCTACTTATGGCTAAGGTGCTCCGGGTAGATTTCTTTGCCATTGGCTTTGGACAACTTCCAGAGGGAAAGAGGACAAAAACCTTTCTGTCTTTTGGTTTTTAAGAACTGTTCACCCATCTCAGTTAATCAAGTTCAGGGTCTTCTGCTGGCTAATCACACCATTCATGGATCCAAAGAATGAGCAAAAGGCAGATGGTATCCCAGGAAGATGGTGTATGTCTAACAGCCAGATACTTTTCATCATAGGCTAGTGTGCACCTGGCTCTAGGCTCCTCCCCACCTATAGAGCAGTACCACCTGTCCTCCAGGTCACACTGCTCAAAATCAGCTCTGGGGCTGTGTTCTAATAACCCATCTTTGTGATTCTCTTACATTTTCCTTTGTTCTTATGCTTTCATTGGAGGCACTTGCTTGTGCCCTTTCTGAATGGCCCTCAGTCTCATTCACTCATCTTTCAAGGCCCCCAGGTAAAAAGCCTCAGGTTGTGACCCTATTCCTCCTTACTTTCCCATATACGTATCTTGAGAATTCTGTTCTATGCAGGTTCCTGTTGTTTTCTAACTGGCTGAAGTTTTGCCATTCAGAGGTTCTGACATTCAAAACTCAATGAGGTCTAATTTCCCAAAGGCCATCTTCCCTCACCAAATATCCCAGAGTGAACTCTCTTTTAACCAAGGTGTCCCACGTCACCAGGCAGGGACATGGCTGAGTCTGTGTGTGGAAACTCTAACCCAGGGGTCTTGCTAATAATTCTTGATCACTGACCCCGCTTCTGGACCACGGGAAGATAATCCTAGAAGGAAATGGCTCTGACATTCTTTGGGGGAGGAAATTAACAAGGAAAGAGCAAATTGTTCACATTTTTAGAAATTTTACATGGAAATGTAAAAATATTCTAATACACATCCAAAATATACTTAAAAAAAAAAAAAAGAGGGGAAAAGAAGTAGTCCGTACCGGGAAAGGCTCCGCCCCCTCCTGGATCACAAACCCTTCGATAACATGCGTCAGGATTTGGGGTTTCACAATGGCCTGTGGTGGTTTATTCTCACCATTCTGGGGGGCAGTGCCGGCGATGCTGGAGGCAGAATTTCCGTTCCCTGAGGTCATGCCGGGGCTGCTGAGGTCGGTCAGTGCATGAACAATGCCCTGCCCTGTCTCTGCACAAGGGAGAGCAGGAAGACAAAGCAGGAGACATCAGAACCAGAGTCCAGGGCCAGAGAGGGACACTGAGGACTCACACTGCACCTGGCTTTTTCCATGGAGCCAAACGGCAATGCAAACCAAGCAGTGCCCTCCCTCAATCACCCATTTAAAAGTGGTGCAGTTGCAATGGATCACCAAGGTGAGTGCAGTCAGTTCTGCGACGATCTAGCTGATCAGCTGGCAATGTTTCTTCATTTCCCAACAGTGCTAAGAACAGTTTAACCAGGTTAAACAGACAAGAATTCTGTGTTGGAGGAGGTAAGACCTTGGTTGATACTGATTTGGACAAATAAGGTAACATTCAGTTTGAGGGAGAAAATTAAGTATTCAAGGTGACATCTGAAATCAGGATATGAAGCTGAACTATGTATAGAGCTTAGAGTAAGACAGAGTTTGGGTTAAGAGGTTAAATAAACCTTCCATGTCATACCTTGGAAGAAGATGAGATTTTAAGAGCCCTGTGGAAATGTCAAAGCACTGAGCCTCAGAAATTGAGGCCAAGGGAATTTGGGGGCTGAACCTCAAGTGCACACTATCATGCAGATCTGATTTCAAAGACTGTATATTTGGGGGTCACTGCATTAAGATAACCATATATTCTATTTTTCCAAGGAAGCTGCTAGGCAGAGCTGAGATTTTCTATGCTGTTTCTCCTGGCCCAGTGCTCTCAACCAAGCCTCTTGCCCAGTTCTCAGCTATATACCAAATCTGATCATCAGCAAATCATAGACCCCTCCCCTCCATCTTTCTGTGGACAGCCTTTCCTGAGTTCTCCTTCTCCATGGGCTGCTAGCCTTCCTCTAAAAGACCTAACAGAGTGTTCTGCAAAGTGTGACGAGGGGTCGACACACAACCGCACCACGGTAGACTTCCTCTCTCCCACTTCAGACAGCATCTCTCATAAACTGCCTTATGTGGTAGGGGTGTGAGACTTCCTCTCCTCACTGTGTAACTCACTCCCTGCCCCCTTCCCAGGGCTCTTCCCACCACCAACTGCCCCGGAGCTGGGGTTGCCTTCAACAGAACTTCCTAAAAAAGCAAAAGCAAAGAAAGGGCCATTTCTTTATTGTAATAAGCCCATAAATATAGCCCAGTGTAGGGGGTGTGTGTATGAGAGAGACAGAGATTATTTGTTTTTAAAGTATGTTAGTACATTTGTTACTTAAGTAATTTTTATATAAAACTTTATATGAAGATGTTCTTATTTCATGTTAAAGATTCAAAATCCCATTACAGAATAGAAATTCACAGTGCTTAATTATATACTTGGAGAAATCAAGATAGATACATTTTAGAAAAAGTTTATAACTGGGTCACAATGGATGCTGATCCACTCAAGCTCATTTTCTTACTAATAGTCCTAATGCTCAGTAAACCAGGATAAATACTTTTTAATGAAAGAGAGTTGGCTATGACACACATCTTTAGTACTCAGTCCTCCGTAATGCAACTATATAATAAACTTCAGAGCTGAGCAAGAATCATCCAAGACATAGGACTGATGAGGTTTTGGGTTTTTTTTTTAAAAAACGAATTTTGTTTGAGACAGTCACCAGCAAGTTAGAAAATTTCTATTATGTCTATATTCATTTGAAAAAAATTTTTTTAAACAGCTTTGGCTTTCCTATAGAGATGGAGAAATTCCCCCTTTTAAAATCAGTCTTTCTAAATTGTAAAGGTGTTTGGGAACTGAAAAAAGAAATCTATGAAAAAGTAGGAGAACTGAGTTAATGACACAATCAAATTAAGTTTCTCTGCTTTTAACTTTAAAATATTAAGTCTGCGTTCACACAATTATATTTTTCTTATTTTATTTAATATTTTAAATATGCAAAGGAATAAAATATATTGTTTAAAATGATGAGTAAGTGTTGTTAAAATACAAAGCTTACTATGAAAGCTAAAATTTTATTTTTAGATGATGGCTATTTCCTCCTAATTAGAGCCTAGTAAAATATTCTCTGATGAATCTAATAAACTATGGATTATAGAATCACAGGATTGGAAAGTCTAGTTCAATGTCTTACCAATGCTTGAATGTTCCCTGTAACAGCCACCCCCCACCACCATTGAATTTCTGGCATTTGTCTGAATACCTCTAGTGACAAAGGAACTCACTACCCCTCAAGCAGTTTGTTCCCACCTTGAACAGCTCATTAGTTCTTCCTTATAATGAGCTGAAAATCTGTTCTCCTGTTAATTTCTTCCCAGTTATCCTGGTTCTGTTTCTTAAGCCCATAGAGAACAAGGTCAGTTAGATTTGTATTATGAGCAAAAACACAGGCTTAGACCTGGCTTAGAGACTGGTCTCTACTACTGAGTGAACCACGGACAAGTCACTGTCCCTCTCTGAGCCTCAGTTCATTGGATACTACATACCTTCGGTGTTGCTGTGAAGACTAAATGAGACAGTGAGTAGCAATGCAGTGCTAGCTGAGGAAGAAATGCTCAAGAGATGCTCCTGGTATCATGAAAGATGTCTTTCAGGACACCCAATATATTCTCTCCTCAAGGCCAGACCCCCTCTGCTCTCTTTCACCTACTGGGGTCTTGCTCTATTGCGTAGGCTGGAGTGCAGTGGTGCTATCATAGCTCACTGTAACCTTGATCTCCTAGGCTCTCAAGGTGACCCTCCTGCCTCAGCCTCCAGAGTAGCTGGGACTACAGGCGTGTGCCACCATACCTGGCTAATTTTTAAATTTTTTTGTAGAGACAGGGTATTGCTATGTTGCCCAAGCTGATCTCAAATTCCTGGCCTCAAGCAGTTCTCCTACCTCGGCCTCCCAAAGTGCTGGGATTATAGACTTGAGCCACTTCGCCCAGCCCTTTCAAGGATTCTTATACAGAAGGGTCGCAAGTTAACCATCTTCCTAGGTCCTGTTTGCTTATATCTTTTAGTGTCAGGTACCCGGTCAATACTAAGCATAATCTAAGAGATACGGTTAGTAAGATTTTTGGGTTTTTGTATTTGTTTTACACATGGTCACATCTCTGACTGAGAGCTCTGGTAGAGGTAAATTAGTGACTCCCTCATTTCAGTTTAATCAATTCCTCCTTGGAATTAACCCACTCTTCTCTAAATTCTGGGAGGACTCTCACCTCCAACCTTTCACTGATATTCCTCACAAAGCAGCTTCTGATACCTTGTCTCCTTTTATGGGATCTCTCTGTCCTTGCTTAACTTCTCTCCTCGCCCCTCCTTCCTGTCTCTCAGATCTGTGCCAGTTCTGTACAGTGCAAGACAGTGGACTAGCTCTTGAGGTCAGATTCTTTCCTCATGCCAAATACACTAGTGAACAGGTAAGTCACCAGCTTAGAGCAGCGCTCCCCAACCTTTTTGGCACCAGGAACTGGTTTCGTGGAAGACAACTTTTCCAGACTGGCGGGGGGGCTGGTTTCAGGACGACTCAAGCACATTACATGTATTGTGCAGTCAAACCTCTCTGCTAATGATGAGCTGTGTTTGCAGCGGCTCCCCAGTGCCAGCATCACTGCCTCAGCTCCACCTCAGACCATCAGGGATTAGATTCTCGTAAGAGGCTGGGCGCGGTGGCTCACGCCTGTAATCCTAGCACTCTGGGAGGCCAGGGTGGGCAGATCGCTTTAACTCAGGAGTCCAGCCTGAGCAAGAGCGAGACCCGTCTCTACCAAAAATAGAAAAGAAGTTAATTGGACAGCTAAAAATATATATAGGAAAAATTAGCCAGGCATGGTGGTGCATGCCTGTAGTCCCAGCTACTCGGGAGGCTGAGGCAGGAGGATCACTTGAGCCCAGGAGTTTGAGGTTGCTGTGAGCTAGGCTGATGCCATGGCACTCTAGCCCGGGCAACAGAGTGAGGCTGTCTCAAAAAAAAAAAAGATTCTCCTAAGGAGCACAACCTAGATCTAATTCCGCCACTGATCTGACAGGAGGCAGAGCTTATGTGGTGAGACACGCGATGGGGAGCGGCTGTAAATACAGATGAAGCTTCACTTGCTGGCTCGCCACTCACCTCCTGCTGTGCGGCCTGGTTCCTCACAGGCCAGGGACTCGTACCAGTCTGCAGCCCGGGGTTTGGGGACCACAGGCTTAGAGGATACAGAGTCAATGCTTAACTCTGGGAAGCAAAGACTTTTTGGAATCTGAGTTTTTAAAAAAGAAGATATTATTAAGATAGAGAACAAACTAAAAAACTCTTTCACCACAACATTAGAAACTATCACTCCCCATTATAACCCTGGGGAAGGTTACAGGAGAGAGAGAATCCAAGAGACAGAATGGAGAGTATTTTATGACTATACAAAAGGTTTGCAGCCCTTTTGCTTTGCAGTCATCTTGCAGGCCAACAGCTCATCATCTGCTTTAGTAACAAAGGAGTTTGGGCTATTTCTGGAATAATCAAACACAATCTCACCCCCTGCCAAGCTCAGTGCTCTGAGATTAATTTAATCTGCTTCCCGCTCTCCCAGACTGCTTTGCAGACTGCTTTGCGGCCTGCTAGGGGGAAAGCAGCTTAACAGTGAAACTTGCAGAAACCTGCCCTGCTGGCCCTGAGGCCAGATAAAAGAAACAAAGAAATACTCTATCTTCCCTACTCCATTCTCAGCCAGGCCTGAGGCTGTAAGTGCTGCCCAGGATTCCCACAGGTCTCAAGTGCCAGTCTGTAGTCAGGAACCTGAAACTGAAAGGTGGAGAAAGGACACCTTGGGCAGGAGAGGCTGGGGGAGGGGAGCAAAGCCAGGCTTCAGTGGGGGAAGGGGACAGGCAGACTCTTGACTGCAGTTGAAGCTGACCACAAAGGGCCAAGTATGCAGGTCACAATGAACAGAGCAGCATGTTCTAGGAAGTCTTACATAAAATATGTCTCAATCCCTAGGCTGCTTCTCGTTCACAGCTCTGGCAGAAGTAGCCCTTATAGGGGCAGGATAAAATAGGAAGGACTACCCAGTGGCCCTTCTCTCTGCTCCTGTTTGTTAAATTATCTGCTTTGGGGTTGGTCACCTCTGCTAAGTGAGCAGGTTTTTCTAGGCAAGGGACCTCTAGATTTTGAGGGGCTAATCCAATGTCCAAAATATGTCTGTTAACCTGGAAAGGATGGAACCCATGGCCTGTCTTCATTGCCCTCATAAAGAGTACAGGTCTCCCTAGTACCAAAACAAGCAGCTGGGCACCAGCTGAGATTTGCAGATTACTTTCTGAAACTATGATGATTTGAGAGCAGCTAGGCTGGTAGTACCTGCCTATAAGAGTTGTGTTTCTGGGTATCTGGCTATAAGAAGGTATAAGGGCTATTCTTTGGCCTACTTCTTCTTAATACATGAGGATTTCCTCAGCAAAAGGGAGGTACAGCATTAAGTCTACCCCTAAAGATTGGAGTTGAGCCCCCATATCCAGACCTGTGGATTCCCCGTCCCCTCTGAAACATTTATGCAGGATCCAAGCACTTGGCAAGGCAGGGGTGACCTCTAGAGGCAGAGGCAGGGAGGCTCCTGGAAAAATGGCCCCACCCTCACGACCAGTTGGTAGATAAGTGTCCAGGGAGGCCAAGCTCTCGAGCCTGCTGAAGACAGAGGGCAGGCTGATCCCAGCTATGCCAAATTTGGCTGCTTCAGAAGCAGTTCTGATATTCAGTTATACTGGAATATGGTTTAGTACATGCTGGATATCCCTTATCTGAAATGCTTGAGACTAGAAGTGTTTCAGATTTTGGATTTTTCAGATTTTAGAATACTGAATTTGAATTATATTTGAAAAAATATTTGAATTATATGCTTGAATATCCCAAATTCAAAACTCCAAACTGCTCCAATAAGCACACCTTTGGGTATCAAGTTGGTACTAAAAATTTTTCAGATTTTGGATTTTAGGATTTGGGATGCTCAACCTGTACTCATCTGCAATGTGTAGTTTGGATGACCTAGCACTCATTCTGATTGCCCCTACAGACCTTGAGGGCTCAGCTTCAGAGGAAATGGAGACCAAGCAGAGCTTCTTCTAGCCTTTAGCTTGGTCAATGGCTGATTTCTTTCCACTTTCTCTGTCATGAGAAGGAGGGAGTATATATTTTAATTTAAAAGACTTCTAACTACTCCTGCTTGGCTGGAGTAGTTAGTAGGAGTAAGACAGAGCTAACGAAGTAGATAAATACTTTAAGGAAGCATAAAACAGCAACTTAAAGTACTGTAAAAAAAAATGTAAGAAAGCAGAGTAGGTGATAACATGGATGATTTTCTTACAGTAAATTCTGTCAACCAATGGCAAAACAAGGTCTCATATAAAACACGGAGCACTCTCCAAGCCCCTGGCACTGAGGTCATGCTCACTGTGCGTCAGCTTGGCAGGCCCAGCCATGTGGCCAGGGTGGGGACAGCAGGGTTCCTAAGGAACTACTTACTCAGGAGGGAGCCTGAGTGCAGCACCTGCAAAGTGATGCCCTGTGAAACCATATCCAGGAGCCAGACGGCAGCGGACGTAGCTCGCAGCTGGTCCAAGCAGCAGGCTGTACTACGGCACAGTAAACTGAGGGCAGAATACCCAGTCCTTGTGGAAAGGTCTGGGGAACGCTCTTTACAGTCTCTTTAGTTATATGGGCCTCGAAGAAATTAGTGCCACTCTGAAAGTGCAGGAAGCAAGATATGTCATTAGCACCGATTTGTTGACAATTTGTTTCCTACCCAGGGGAGGGTAGAAAAAGTAAAGGGGAGGGAGAGAGGGGAGAGGGCAGGTAGAAGAGGACAGGCAGGCTCCAGCTCTATCCTGAGACCCCTGCAGAGTCCATCAATTAAAGAGATTCATTTGGTTAACAACCTTCTTTAAAATGCAAGTAAGTCTCTATAGTCATTCACACCTTACTGTGAATCACTTGACTCACATAAGCAGATAGCTTTCCTCCCAATTTAGGGAGGGTTACTTGGGAGGGGGTGGGAAGTGATTGTTTTGGATCACCCAGCACTGGATCACAGAGGATTAGAGTTAAAAAGGCCCTGACTCTAACATCTTAATTTCCCAGTAGAAACAACTTGGCCTTGGGAATGAGGTGACTTACCCAAGGTCACAAAAGGCAGGCAGTGGCAGAAGCCAGTGCTTTAGACTTCCCTGGGTGGGCTGTGCTTTATTAGCCATGGGACAGCATGAAGGCACTTGGGAAAAGAGGACAGAACATGTAAACTGCGCTCTGAGACATATTGAAGCAGGGGCCAGACGTCGCACAAGGGCTGGAGCATTCTTGGGCTGAGAAGGGTGGGATGATTTAGAAGGGTGGTTACCAAACTGGGATTCCTATACTAAGGAAGGGATCCCTGATCAAAGCAGGATCCACAAGCCAGATTCAAGATTTTAAGAAGCCTAAAAGGAAATAGCATATATACCTGCAATAGGGCAAAATGTGCTATAATTTCATGCCATGTTTCCCAAATTCTAAAACGCTATCAGTTGTTAAGATGACCCATCATCTCCCCCATAAGAGTTTTTATACTCAGCTCGCATTGATTACACATGCATCTCAAGTGCACACTGTACATGTTACAAGTGTGCACTTTAGAACTGTCAAGAGTGAAGGCCATTTATTTGGAAGATGGCATCTTCTAAAACACACACAAAATGAGCTTTTGGTGGTGGGAAAATTGTAGGCCTCTTCTTACCCTGGGTCCTCTGCGTACCAAGGTGGGAGGAACCAAGGCCAAATGTTTGTAACTTTTCAACTCCGCTAAGGACAGAGCTGTCAGGCAGGCAAGCCCTCCTTGCCTGGAGGACACACAGCAGGCTGTGGCTCCCACACAGGATACACCACCACTTCCCTGCCCCTCAGGGCACCTTCCTCAGCTCGTCAAACAAGGGCAGTCTGCTCTGAAGAGCCTCTCAGCCACAGGGGAAGAAGACAGAGCAGTGACAGGAGGATCCCTCTGGGGCTCTGCTGAGGGTCACGGGGAGGTGTGGCCCTGGATCCACACCCAGGTTCTTTGCAGGAGAGCCAGCCAGAGGAATTGAAATATAGGCTGAGTCAGGGGAACAACCCCCTCTTCCCGCTTCTACCCCCCAGTGTCACTGCAAAATGCCCTTGTTGGGTCTGGGTTAGAAGGACTGGAGAGCAGATGGCCTTGGCCTTGGACCTTAAGCATCTAGGCTGACCATCTCCACTTAAGGCATCTGTTAGGGACAGGGCTCCTCCCTTACTGGCAGCCATTACCATACAGCTGACTTTCATGCTGTCTCTCAGGACTCAGGCAAAGAGAGCAGCCCTTCTGACTCACCCACAATCCCCAGCTGAAGTGTACATAAGCTGAATTGTAAACAGCTGAAGGTTTTCCAAGCTGTCACCCCCAGCTATGAGGGAAGGAATCAATGGAGCGGACAGCCGCCCTCCCCCGTGCAGTTCGGGACAACGGGAGCAATGGGGGATTTCCAGACAGCTGCTTGAACTGCTTCCCAGCCCATGGCTGTGGCTGCGACAGCGACAGGGGCCTTGGGTCAAACTCGGCAGCAACACCTGCAGGACCACAGGGTGGCTTCCAACAGGCCAGCACACCAGGGAACAATAGCTAACCCTGACTGCAGGGAGTCAAGGGGGAGTTTTCAAAGAGTTGCACTTAACACTGGTGACAGAGGCCAGTCCGATGGTATCCACTGCCAGGGGCCAGGGCTCCCAGAGAGTCTCACATCACAGTGCTGTCAGATACCATGATGTCAAAAGGCAAAATGTCTAGCGCCAACAGGAGAGGTTATACAGCAGATACTGGGTCACAGGACGGAAAGGAAGAATGGCAGAGGGGAAAGAGCACTGGCTCTGGGGGTCAGACCTGGGCTTACATTCTGGTTCCATCTTTGGAACCAGATGTGGCTGGTTATCTGTGTGGCTTCAAGCACTTAGTACCTGCTCCGAGTCTTAAGTTTCTCCATCTGTAAAAATTAGGATCATACTGCTTGCCTATCTTGTGAAATTACAGTAACTATTAGAGTGTGTACATGTAACATACCTGCACTGAATACATGTAGGAACTGTGACACATGGCAGTTAAGACTGAGATCAAAAGACCATAGGCTTAAATCCTATCTTGTAATGCCAGGCCAGTTACTCTAGGCCTCAGTTTCCTCATCTACGAAATGGGGTCTTATATGGCTATGGTGAGGATTAAGATAATGCAGGTAGAACAAAGTGGAATAAGCTTGGCTGGGCCACAGGAGTGCCAACAGTACTAAGACCTGAGAGATTAGGAAATCACCCTAATCTTACTTTCACTGAGCCTGGCCTCTTACAGCCTTAGAACAGAGCTGTTCTTCCAGTGGCCCAAACTTAGGGATCACTGTGTTCCTTAAGTGCCTTGGTCTAAGCAGGGTGTCCCGTCCTTGCCCTCTTGAGGTCAGGCTTCAGGCAGAAATGTTACCTCTACTGTGAATACAACATAACAGAAATGCTTCTGCCCTTTAGGGCAAGCCAAAGTCTCAATTCATTGTCATTGGCTATTAATCCAAAGGACAAGAAGACAAACACCAGAATTCCTTTCTAGATAGTTCTTTTATAAAGAGTCCCAGGGCATCAAGTAGACAGTGTAGAAGAATGCCAGAAACCAGAAAAGAGGCTAACTCTGAGACAAATAAAAGGAAGCACCATTTTACCTAGAAAATAGCAAATTTATGGAACTTATAATGCCAGGAGGTGATTTATCCTGTGAGAAGAAATCAGTTTAAAAGTCTAAACTCATGGAAAATGAATTTCTACCAGTTTACAAAAGAAATCTTGAAATGTTTAGTAAAAATCCCTAATTATTTTCAGGTTGATAACAAGAAAAGACAACCATGTTCTCCAATATGATGACTTATTTAATTTATGTGTTACCAACTTCAGGATCACTAATACTTTTAGACAAATGACAGAGATGGTGGTGGAGACAGAGTGGGGAGTGCTAAGCCTCAGTTGTCTCTATAATGGAGTAAATAATACATATCTTTTTTTTTTTGGAGACAGAGTCTCGCTTTGTTGCCCAGGCTAGAGTGAGTGCCATGGTGTCAGAATAATACATATCTTGCAAATCAATCCTACAGATAAATTCTGCTCCTGGAAAACATGACCCTCTTCCTTCTTGTAACCATTGTTTAAGTTTTCAATCACCCTACTTAACTGATAGAACAGATTATTACTGGAGAACTAAAAATGTGCATTTAATCAAATTTTTTAAAAAAGTATTTGCTTCACATAATTTTCTTTTAACTTACAGTGTCATTGCTTTGACTGTTTAAAAATGTCTTAATATAGCTGTGTGGCTTTAGGCCACATATAGATGGTTTCAAATATACTAAAGATATCAGTAACTAGGGATAATTATACAGTATTTGAGACATAATGGCCATGCAACTAGAGCTTTAAAAATAACTCGCAGCAGTCACGGACTTTCATTTTCTTGCCAACAGTTCCAATATTCAGTATCAAGCCTTGTCCTCCTAATATACTGGAGAGCTGGTTATGACGTGGCATCTAATAGTCATTCTGCTTAATAGAAATGATAATAATGTCCACTGCTGAAGAGAAAATCATCCAAGAAACAGACATTTGCTTATGCTTTAAAGAAAGTCATAAGAGCAAACTGGGACTCTTTTCAACATCTGGATTCATCTTAGAACACTGGCGATCTGTGTTTAACAGCAGTCATTTCTTTAGCAGATGTAGAAAAGAAATGTTCTCTTCTTTTGGAAATCTAAACTAAAATATCACTTGGAAACTGAAAGCATAGGAAAGCACATCGTTTTTTTTTTTTTTTTTTTTTGGACAGAAGTCTCGCTTTCTTGCCTAGGCTAGGTGAGTGTGCGTGGCATCAGCCTAGGCTCACAGCAACCTCAACTCCTGGGCTCAAGCGAATCTACTGCCTCAGCCTCCAAGTGCTGGGACTACAGCAGCGAGCCACCATGCCCGGCTAATTTTGTTTATATAGATAATTAGTTGGCCCATGATTGGTCTTTCATTGTTATAGTAGAGACGGGGTCGGGTCTCGGTCTAGGGCTGGGTTGTTGAACTCCGGACTTGGGCATCGCCCGCAGGCTCCGGCCTCCCAGGAGGCTAGGATACAAGCGTGAGCCACCGCGCCTGGCCTAAGCACATCGTTTTTTTACTGTCGATAAATAATTTGGAAGTTTGGAAAAAACACTACGAAGTTTTCTACGCTGGCCTAGAAGGTCTTATAATAAATCCCCTAATGATTGAAATTATATGCTATATTTTGCTGTAGTTTTATCTTCAAAAATGAATACTTTTTAATTGTGTAATTCTTGATTAACTATAAAGTAGCCCATTTCCTGATCATGTCAATTACATTTTATTTTTCTTATTGATGGGGAAAAAAAGTCCAGAATTTGTAAGAAAGTTGTCTTAGGTAAGCAACTGGTTGATTATATTCCTAACAAGTCCCAAAATATCCATGTTGTAAAGTAGAATTAAAGGTTTGCCTCTGAATATCTTTACAGATATCAAATCAGTGTTCTGATGTAGCTAAAATAATTTTAAATAAATCAATGTTTAATAAAATGAAACCTACATCTATTTGAGGTGTGAATAAGTAATCAATTATCTCAAACAGGCAATCTTTTTTTTTAAACAGAGAACATACTCAAAAAGAGTTTTAACTGGTGACTCACAATATAGTTTAAGTCATGCCATAATAACATTTAGAACATAAATCCATGTATGTTCAGATTTCTATCTTGAGGGGTAGTCCAGCTTTGGCTTCCACCAAACAAGGTGCTAAATCACTGAAAAGAGCCATTTCTGTCATTGGCACAACGGCCCCACATCACAGTGGATTACATAAGGCAGTCAGTCCTCACCCTGCGTCTCCATGGGTTGGGAGTGGGGTGAGCTGGAAGGGGTGGGCAGGCTGACACGAGCCTTCATTTCAGGACAGTCTCCTGAGGGGTACGCGAAAGCCCTTCTATATAACCACTTTTGTGGGAGTCCACCTGGCCGTAGAAAATCATCTTCATCCTTCCAGTTGCAAAATGGCACAAAATAAAAGGAATGAAAGAGAAACTATTATTTACGAAGACTCCTTATTCTCATTTCCCTACTCTCGTCTCTAGTAGGTATCTTTTCAGAAGAGAATCTTTTTGTAGGTGGGCCTAGATCTGTCTGGAGATTAAATATTGAAGGCCGGGCACGGTGGCTCACGCCTGTAATCCTAGCACTATGGGAGGCCAAGGCGGGCGGATTGCTTAAGGTCAGGAGTTTGAAACCACCCTGAGCAAGACTGAGACCCCCGTCTCTACTAAAAATAGAAAGAAATTAATTGGCCAACTAAATATATATAGAAAAAATTAACCAGGTATGGTGGCACATGCTGTAGTTCTAGCTACTCAGGAGGCTGAGGCAAGTGGATCGCTTGAGCCCAGGAGTTTAAGGTTGCTGTGAGCTAGGCTGATGCCACGGCACTCTAGCTGGGGCAACAGAGTGAGACTCTGTCTCAAAAAAATAAATAAATAAATAAATAAATAAATATCAAACAGCTGAGAGAACTTTAATATAAATTTAGAGTGACTCAAGATGAGGGAAAAAATCCTTGGTAAATATCATACTAACATGGAGCAATATTCACCAGAACTGGAACCACGAACCTATTCCCTAGTTTTTTTTTCAAGTTTAATTTTATTGTGGCTTGCTGATCCATGCTAGTGAAGGAAGGACTCTGATAGGTGGGTGAACTTTACTCAGCACATGGTTACTGAATGCCTAGCATGAGGCCCACAGCCTAAGCAAGACAGAGACTTACAGAAGAGTCACTTTAAGGCAGTCAAGTAATCCTCCTTATATATTCAGAACAGAAAAAAATAGAGATAAAAAGACATTCATGAGCACACCAGTAGAGGTTCTTAATTCTGAGATAGTAATCATTTTGTGTGTGTTTCCTTAAATAAAAAAATCTAGGGAGGGGACAACCTATGTAAGAACATGCAAGGCCAGAGGCAAGAAGAGTTCAATTTTAGAAGATCTCTATCCCTTTATTCCTCTTCTCTTATGTATTCCCACTCCCTTGGAAAGATCAGAACCAAGGGATCCAAAGTATCTGAGACAGGAAATGAGTAAGGCAGGAAAAAGGATGTGGTCTGAAAAAGAGTGGATTCTGGGGCTGAGCCAGAGCAAGTAACAACAGGCAGAGCTGGGGGAAGGGGTCTTGGTGATGACAGGAAGAGAAATCTCAGGGTCAGTCAGCTTAGATGAGAAAGTCAATGACAGAGGAGATAAGTCTGCAGAGGCAAAACAACACCTTCCTAAGCAGTTATCCCTCCCTGAAGGATGCAGAGAAACAATGACTGAAGAGACCTACAGGCAGGAGAATCACTACTGAGACAGAAGGAAGAGGGGCTGGAGTGTCCTCTTTACTTTGAGGGAAGTGGAAATAATATATATGGAGTGTGCTTGACAAAGGTAAATTAAAAATTAACCTAGGAACAGGGAGAGAAGTGGACAGGGCAGAGAGATGGGTACATGATGAAACACCAACATTTATTAGGCACCTATGTGCCACATGTCAAGTAAAGAACAGTTGAGGGAGTGAAGGGGGTGAGAACAAGAGAGACTGCTCATGAAAATGCAGTTGGACAACTGAGAAACCAACTCAAGAACAACAGAAGAGTGAGCTAAGAAACTACCCACTTTCTCAAGATTAAGGCTAGAGAAAAAAGGCATCTATTCTTCCTCGTATGTGGACGTGCCTAGAAACAGATCCTGGGTGGGCTGAGAGGCAGAGCTCACTTGATGAAGAGTGCCTGGAAAGGGCAGGTGCCCAAAGAGCACCACTCCCCATCTGCCGGACCCTCTGCGGAACAAGCCTGCCCTTGTGAGTGAGCCAAGCCAGAAGCCATGGTTCCCGCCTTGTGGGGGCTGGAACTTAGGTGCAGAAATCAGCAGCGGAAAACACTATTTATCAGCTGATTCATAAGTGTGAATATTCCCAAAAACAGATCCAGATGTTGAGGACTATGTGTTAAAATCACTTCTACATTCTCCAGTGTTTAGGGCAGTCTGTACATAAAGCAGAAAGCTAATAATAAAGGTGTGTTAAGTCTAACCAAATGAAACCAAAACTACTTAGCTGTGCTGGTATCTTAAGATTCAAGACAGAATCTCTTGCCCTATAACCAACATAGTAAGGTACCTTCTTTCTATTCTAGAGTCAAGATCCTTTGAAGCCCTCCATCCCTCGTGACTAAATCTAAACTCTCATCAATAGGCTCTGCCACAGGTCTATTTTGTCCTGTACTAGAATAAAAAATGTGGTGGAGGGGGCTGAAATACAAGAACAAGAAGGAATTTCCTTGCCTCATTAGCCTGTAGTGTTCATGCTGACCTAGAAATCCCGGCAGTTCCAACATTTGGGTTGACTCAGGAGGGGAAGAAAAATCCCAGGTGAATGATAATTGGATTACCCAGTCATGCCCAAGAGCCAAATGGCTGGAAAAGGCCAGGTCAATAGGGTCTCCTACAGTTAAACTGACATTATTTTCTAAAACAAAAATCAAGACGCTTGGGCTGATAAACAATGGGATGGAATAGTTCAAATAGGGGCTGTCCTAGAAAAATTGGGGACATATGATGGATTTAGGTCGGTAGCTTATTTCACAAGGGACTCTCTGGGCCCAATATGCTAATGGACAGGAGATTAAGGATCAAAGAGGGGAGATATCTGAGGGGAAAGCTGTCACTGATTTGTAAAGCAGGAAAAAGAAAGGAGTATGCTCTGTAGACAGCACAGGAAGGTAAATATTTCAAGTATGCAGTAGGAAGGAAAGTAAAGTTGATCAAAACTGAAAGTGTGTTAGTGAAATCTGTCCAGGTATCAAAGGCGGCGGTGAGAGTGGGAAGCTGAAGGTTGGGAGGGTGGGGGTACCACTGGCACAAACTGGTATCCAAAACCACAGGAGTCCAGGGGCTAGATCAGATTGTAGCTTCACCACTGGTTTGCAACCTGACAAATTATTTTCCTCTCTGTAGATTTCAATTTAACTCTGTAGATTTCAATTTAAATAGAGAATCTCACATATCTTGATTTTAATGTAAAGAGGGAACAAATATAGTATACCTTCATTTGGCACAGGAAGGAGAGAAAAGGCTCTTCTAAAAATGGAAGAGAGGACACAGAACAGCTTGTCCCTTTCCATCCAATTAAAAACCTCGTGAGACTGAACTAGGTTAAAAACAAAACTCCGGTGAAGCCGCAGGCGCCTACCAAGGTAGGAAGCCCACCACCGATGAAGCGCAGCAGATGCCAGCAGTCTTGCCCCTCAACGGACCGTCCATCGCGGGGAGATCGCCCTCCCGGGGAGGACGCGACGTGTTAGGGTGGGGGTGTGCGGGGACTCGAGCAGGGACGGGGACACACGGAAGCGGGTGGCACGCCGAGGTTGACACAACGGCTTGCAGGGGTGCGGGCGGGCAGGGTCCCCAGGCGGGGGAGGCAGAGGAGCAGGGCACCTCCCAGGCGCCGAGAGGGCGAGAGCCGCGGCTGGCACGGCCTGGCAGCCGAGTAGGCCCGGGCCGCGAGGGGCACCGGAGGGCGGTGCCCGGTTTCCAGTGCGGCGAGCGCGGCCCCGGGCCCCCCTCCTGGCGAGAACCCCTCCCCCGCCCCGGCACTGACCTGTCCAGGGCCCGGCTGGGCCTGGCCGGGCGGGGCCTACGCAGCCCCTCGGCCGGGCGCCGCCTGGCGC